GACAGCCGGCGTTCTATTATATAGAAATTTTACTGAATGATTTAAAATTAAAAACGTTTGCTCAAAACAATAATATTACTCTAATGATCGCTTAGAACGAGGAATTCGAGTTAGAACGTTCGCTATCCTGACCTTAAATTTTAGCTTAGATAATTGTAAACTAGACTCAATACGCCACTTGCACATCTCCCATAATGCACTTTAGTTATTTGCCCCCCAAAATTTTGCACAACCTTTGTTTTTTATTTCTCCGGGTATTACAGCCGTCCCAAGAGAAATTGAAATAATGCTTATGTAAAATTAAAAGGGGGGGGGAGGGGGGCGCAAATAAGGTGCATTATGGGAGATGTGCGAGTGGCTTATCCTTGGGTTTCTCAGCCGATGAGAAGACCTGGTATCTAGTTTTGCGTTCTAATTTAATTGTTTTAGAATAGCTCCAGCGGAGAGGATGGACGGATTCTTTGACCGTTGAATTCTTTCTCACAGGTTCCAGTATGACATGCGTAGACAACACAAGTGTTAAAGACATCTGTGATAGGAAATGCGAATGTCAGGATGGCGGCCTAGCTTCTTGCTACAGAGTACGAAAAGAGTTCACCAAAATGAGCCTTGAAGAACGAACACACTACCTAAAAGTGTTCAAGCTGTTTGCGACTGATCCAAGATACATCAGCGAATATGAAAAAATAGGAAAAGTGCATACAGTGGTACCAGGCAAAGAGTTATTTTTCCCTTGGCACAGGTGGTATGTCCTGACGTTCGAGAACCTTCTTCGCCAAATCGACTGCCGGATTACAATTCCTTACTGGGATTGGACTAAAGACGCGGCGCACTGGACCCGAGGTTCTGAGATCGAGGATGTGTGGAATCCAGGTCCTCACGGTCTGGGAGGTAATGGAGTCTCCCCTTTCAATTGCGTAATGGATGGTTCGTTTAAAAAGGGTGAATACTCTTTACCACAGTCTGCTGGTGGAAATTGCTTAAAAAGACATTTTAATTATTCTTGCACCCTACGAAATGCAGAACAAGCCAAAGAGATCATCAAGCAGCCAAGTTATACTGTTCTTAGGGACACAATTTATAACGATTTCCACCAGACTTATCATCAGTGTGTTGGTGCCACACTGGCCTTTTTTAAGACGGCCCCATACAGTCCGGAATTTTGGCTTCTCCACAGTTTTCTCGATAAACTTTGGGTGGACTGGAAGAAAAATAACATGGATAGTAAGTCAGATTTAACAGATATTAAGTATCTGATGTATGAGACTGGACACTATGCTTGGGAATATCTTGATGCGGACCACTTACCTGGTAACGTACAAGTGTCATATGAAGAATGAAATTGAGATTTGAAGAGAATGTAACGTGGTGAATTATAATTAGACTTTTGTCATGGGCACCCAACGTCAATTTTTGGAAAATATCTGTTCGGAAGACGATTTGAGATCTAGAATTTTCGGAACATTTGTTGTAAAATTTATTGCTTCCCTGTCTCTCCTTGGATTTTCGAACATTCAAAAAACGGTATTATTGCCCATTTTTAACGGATTTTTCCCGTTGAAAGGTCACCTAGAATTTTCGGGATCAAGCCTTTTTATGGCTAAAATTTTCGAAAAGGTAAGTTTTGATCCCTATAATTTTCGGATCACAAGACTTTCAGCTAGGAAATCCGAACACATTAAAAATTTTTAGGGGATAAATATATGCCTATATCTACCTTTTAAATACTAAAATACGTTAAACAATGCTGTGTTTGCGTGGTTTTAAACTATATTCTCGTTGGGTGCCCCTGTTTTGTCTGTAGTTTTGCCAGCAAATCGATAAGAAACTTGGAGTCGTTTATTAAAACGGCGTTTAATTATAAGGCCGCGGTTTAGCAAATCTTTGGTCCTCAGTCCAGATATCTTCCTTAGTGGGTCATTTTAGGAAGATAAATGCTTTTCAAGTGTACGCCATGTGCTATCATGAAACTGTTCAGTATAAATGGTTTTAAGATAAAAGCGTTGCGCAAAGTCAAATGGCTTAGAACGCGGTTTTGTTAAACAGCGGCTAAACTATACGTTTAAATAGCTGGCCCCAGCTTAATGTTTTACAAAGAAATATCTACGATTCCTTGACCTTGTAAGCTTTGCTCCCGAGAAGTCTCCTTCGAAGGGGCAGTTTTTGATCGATAAGTTAAAAAAACCGTAGTTAGCAACTCTGAAAACACGGCGCTTGATCCCAAACTGAATAAAAGAAATTTCGATCGGGCAGGGGTTAGCAATGCTCATTGACAAAATACCTCATGAAAAATAAATAAGTAAAATAACAATAAAATATTAATAACAAAGGAAATTTCTAGCTCTACATTTGAAGGAGTCGCGAGAATTTATTCGAGAGTAGCACGCGAAAAAAGACGCGACTGCCACTCACTTGTGCGTTCTCCTCCCGGGTTAGATGAAGAGGTTGCTAGCAGGCTAGGAAATGTCCCAACAGTTTGAGATTGTCACATTTCCTCCCAAGGTAGTAAGTAGGTACGTACACACATGCGAGTTGATCCAGTATTATAAGCCCGACTCCCCATCTTCAAAAATTGTTTCGTGTTCAGCGTGACTGCTTTACACCTTCCCCTTGATGTAATTTATCGCAGTAGGTAGGGGGAGGGTGCTCAATCCACCGTACTCAATATATACAACTCACTAGTTCAATCTCACTTTGATTAATGCAGCCTAGTCTGGGGTAATTGTGGCAAAACATTATCTAACAAGCTACAAAAATTACAAAACCGTGCTGCACGAGTAATACTTCATCAAACTATGCCCGTAGATGTCGATTTCTTGTTCACAAACTCAACTGGAAAGATTTGAAATCTCAACGTCAAATTCAGAACACCTTAATGGTTTCCACGTCTATAAACCGTCTGGTTCCCGAATATCTCACGTCTAAATTTATAAAGCGAAATGAATCAAACTATATTCTCCGTGGAACTCGGTAAAGAAACTTGTTGTCCCCTTTCCAAAAACTAACTACATGAAAAATAGTTTTAGCAGTTACAGCGGCGCAACCCTTTAGAGCAGCGTTCCCTGTAACATTTAAGAGAGTCTGGTTCATTAAATCGATCTAAACGCCTTTTCTATCATAATTTTTAAAAACACAGCATTCATGGAAATCAGGTTTTTTAGTGGCATACCGTAAAATTCCGAAAATAAGCCCAGGAGCTCATTTTTTTCAAAGGCGTCTGCACGCAGGCAGCCCAGTATTTCAAAACGATTTTACATTTAGTGGAAAGCCTTTGAGCTCCTCTACAAGATGAGGTATATTTTATGGGTGGTGGCGCTGATGGGGGTCTGTGACGTCACTAACAATGGTCGCCATCTTGGATTTTACTAAGAATTAGAAGTCAGGTTAATACCGCGAGAAATGGTGAATTTTTGTGCTTGACATAAAAAATAACACATAAATAAGCACTTTGCATGATTTTAGCCACACGAATTACTTTTATTGTTGAAAAAAGTTGAAAACATGTACTTTTACTCAAAAATGGCTTGACCACCTCCTACTTATGTCATATCTCGTAACCATAGAAACTGGCCATCACTGAACTTCACTAAAAATGCGCCTGAGGGATGAACGAACAGCTACTGAAAATTCATTAATTGCTTTATTATTTATTCCTCGTTTGAAAACAAGCTAAAACATGCTTACCTTCGTCGATGTTAAGTTCACCTCGACAGTGGATGTTTAGAAGATAAAGGGCTGTTCAGGTCTGCAAATATAATCCAAATAGCAGATGTTGTCCGTCGAGCTGTCTTTCTTGCTATCTTTTTAGACAGTAGTTCGTCGTGGAACGAGTAAAATGTTCGGCAGACTATTGCACCATTTTTGTTTTCACAACCAAAACAACTCAACCTCGTCCCCAGGTCTTCTCGGTTAACTTCCCATTAACCTGCAACTGTGCTGCACTTTTGACGTCATCGGTTGATTAATCGCAAAGTCCTTCCAAATTTGGCCAACAGTGGCTGGTTATGGTGAATTATGCGTGTGCTTTGAGCCAATCAGAAACAGAGAAATATTTTGAATGATTAATTATAATGATTAAAAATTAAAGATTTTAAAAACTCGAGTGAGAAAATAAATTTAGAAACAAACTCTTTTTCTCCGTCACACGTGCCCAAATAACTTTTACCTCATTTCATTTTTAAGGAGGACTAATTTTCTGATGATATACTTTATTAAGGGCTGTAATAGGCCCCTGACTTAATACATAATGGTTGTGTTAACCTGCGAAAAAGATTTAGTTTGACCGATAAATAGTAAGGCTTACTAAAATTGCACCTGCGTTCCGATTAATGCATGACCCCTGCCGAGTTCTTTACACTTCACAACATGACTCGCCATGAACTTCCCGTTAAACCAACGAACATTACCTGAAGAGGCGAAATAATCCAAAACTAGTCAACTTAAACCTTTCCCAAGAATTTAAATTTCTTACTGAGCGATTTTTTCAATGAAGAAGAACATGAAATTTCAATTCGTCAATTTTATGCGGCGATAAAAAACACGTTTTATGACCTAAAGCTGACCAGAGAAGTGAACGGCAATTAAAGAAAGCTGATTTTAAACGAAAAGTCATATTAGCAAACTCTGTTTGAAGTATGATGAAAACAGTTTTTAATAACCAAGAAACTTTTATTAGTAAAACACCTGTTAAAGACCGGATATCTCGGTATAGCAAGACGCTGTTCAGAACTAAACGCGAATTTGTCACGAGAAACAAGCATGCTGTTTTTAAAACTTTTCTCCATGCTTTTGATGTGCCTAAAAAGACAGGACGTTTCGGCAGTAGAACAAGATTCTTTTTGCCAAGCGAAGGTGATTCAGGAATGCTCTGATCAGTCTCAAGGGCTTCTGAAAGCAATCGAAAGTGGAAATAAACGCCTGTTGAGGGAGGAGTGTGACTCGCTGCAGGTAGGTTAATATGTTGCCCTCTATTCTAGCCATAATCTTAACAATTCTACTGGAAATATAGCAAGTTCTAATTCAAGCAGTAAGAAAATGAAACTGGAAAAGACTAGCATAATTTGCGGAGTACGTGTATTACATTTCACTTGCTAGTTTCTGGCTGAGACTATCGGTAGCTAGAATGGAACAGTTTGTTATGCCGGCATCACAGGACAGTCTTGCGAAAGGCTTTTCTTTTCAAGAGAATATGTTATTGTATACTTTGTTAATGGGCTTTTAAGCGCACATGGTTGCCGTTCAGTTTTATCCTTTCGTTAAATTTTTATTTTCTTCTGCTATAACTTGTTTCCATGCATTTACCAGTTACAAAGAAAAAGGAGGTATCTTTAAAATGTATTTTTGTCTAGTTCTATATATTTTGTCAAGTTTGGACAAAAGCGACAATATAAAGTCGCGGGTTTTTTCGCCGAATTACACCCAAGCCCAAAATACGACTAATATCATTATAACCACTGTGAAAACAGGTTTTGCCTTCACAAAAGGGTAAACTGACGGACGGGGAAAAACTCTAAAATTCTCTGGGAAAGGCCTTTTCCTGGGGACACTCGCTGGCTGCGGGAAGGCACGGAATCTCTTACGCCTGCTGAATACCCTTGAGACAATGATTACAACAGAACTTGGCTCCAATGTAGAGGTTTAATCCAAGACTATACTGCGAGTAGAGTCAGGAACATAACCAACCAAAATGTAACCAAGACTAGATGGACCTGGATGTAACCGAAGAAGCTCCTACAAAGCACTCGTATTTAAGCCTAAGCTAGCGAAGCGATACAGATTACAACAATCATTTCTAAAAGACTATTGGTGGAAACCTAAGTTTGCTTTGAAACATTAATTACTTCCAAAAGCTACACAGGTGGATAACGGCTTCTTACAGGTTGATTACAGTTTGAAGACTAAATACAATTATGACTTGACAAATAAGTTAACGCTCAATAAATCAACAGGTTGTTTACGACTTAAAGAAGTTAAGACTAAAGAATAAATGATTTCTACATTGGCTTTTCACATTTTTACCAGCGAAAGCAAAATAACTGAATAACAATAAATTATCTCTTCACACCACACATCTTCAAAACATTAAGCGAAAAGTTAAATATAAATAAAAATTGGTTTTGAATACTTATGAATATCAGATGATCTAGCCAATGTGTCACTATCTTGTGATCTTGTGTAACTTTCTGATACATGATTTCTGGTGAATGACTCGTTATGATTCCTCCTCGCTATCTCTTCTGCATTTAAAACCATCCGCCTCTTGCACATCTCCCAAAATGCACATTGTCTGTCCCCCAAAATTTTGCATAAGCATTGTTTTCAATTTCTCTTGGGACGGCTGTAATACCCAGGAGAAATGAAAAACAAAGGTTATGCAAAATTTCGCTGAGAGGGGGTTGGGGTGGGGCAATTGGAGAATACTGGTTTTTGACGACAGCGGAATGGGAAAAAACAAACCGAGTGAAAGACTTACATTGTTTTATTTTTAAAAGGTTACCATTGATTGCCTTTCCTTTCCTCGTTGCCCGGGAAACATCTTGCAAGCTTTTCGTTCCATGGTTTTAACTGCAGCAACCACCCTTAAGAAAACTTCAGACGCCTGTCACAAACTGGACGTCAGTATCCTGGAACGTTACGTCAAAGGTTGGTTTAATTATCATTGTATATCTATTATGTAATATGCATTATGTTAAAAAGTCGATTCCTGGATTTCCTTCCTACAAGTAAGTTGTGTGCCCTTATGCATAGCTCATAAACATTATTAAAACTAATTTTAAACAAAATATGGTAATTTCTCTCGATGTGAAAAACGCGCCTAGTTTAGTTAGATCAATTTTTTGTTTATGTAGCTAAAATAGATGTCTATAAATTTCTCACTGTGAAAATTTGGCAAGAGCTGCTGAAAACTGTTATATGTATTCGAAACACGGGGGTCGCCAGAATAGTTTATTAATTTACTGATTTATTTATTTTGAGTTCCCACGATCGCATGTGAAAACAACGAAAAAGTTGAAGATGTATGTGGTAGGAGTTGCAAATGTCAGGATGGGAGCCACATATCTTGCTACAGAGTAAGAAAAGAGTTCACTAAAATGAGCGTTGAAGAACGAATGCGCTTCATAAAAGCCTTCAAACTGGCTTCGTCTGATGCACGATACACAGGTGAATATGACAAAATAACGAACATTCACTTAAGAATCCCAAGCAAGTTACTCCATCACATGCCTCAGATATTCCTACCATGGCACAGATGGTATCTGCTTGAATTTGAAAACTTTCTTCGCCAAATCGACTGCCGGATTACAATTCCTTACTGGAATTGGAGCAAAGACGCGGAACACTGGACCCGAGGCTATAAAATGGAGGATACATGGAACCCAGGTCCTCACGGTCTGGGAGGCAATGGAGTTCTCCCTGATAACTGCGTAATTGAAGGCCCATTTCAGAAGGGTGAATTCTCGTTACCACAGGCTGCGGGTGGTGGTTGCTTGAAAAGAAATTTTAATAATTCTTGCAACCCACCAAACGCAGACTATGCCCAAAACCTTGTCATACAGGAAAATTTTACTGTTTTTGAGAAAACAATTCGCGAGATTTTCCACTCAAAATTTCACGATTGCGTGGGTGAAAGCATGTATTGTTTTTTGACGGCCGCGTACACTCCGGAATTCTGGCTTCACCATGGGTTTATCGACAAACTTTGGGCGGACTGGCAAAAGAAGAAAGGTAACAAATTTGAGTATTATCCTGAAATCAGCTTTATAATGCCGGGGTCTGATAGGTTTCCGTGGGAATATCTTGATGTTGACCAGTTACCTGGCGATGTACGAGTGTTGTACGAAGATTAAAAACGAGATTGTCTGACGATTCTTTTGTCAGGCTTTGTGTTTAGTTTTGTTTTTTCTTGACTTCTCAAAGTATTATCGGATTTTACATACCGATAATAATTATGATAGCAATTATAACAACAATAATAGTAATGATGATGATGATGATGATGATAATAATAATAATGATGATGACATAATAATAATAATAATAATAATAATAATAATAAACCAACATATAGATTGCAGCCCAGCAACTGTCTGCTACACAAAGATGAGAGACACGTACTTATGGACTACAATACCAATACCAATAAAAAAAGCCCAGAAAAGAAACTAGTCTAGTATTGATTATATTTTACGGTACGAACTGATCACCCCTAAAAGAGCTTTTCCAGCATGATAAACTGTTTGTGTATGACGCCTGTACCTTAAGGAACGGTAAAACGGGCAACAAAAAACATGCAAGTTGTCTTGCAACATTGCTGCAAAACGATTTCACATTTTACCCATAACAACCGTCTTGCAGCAAATCAAGTTGCTAAACAAGTTGCACGTTTCACCAAAGCTTTAGCCTACAGTGTGCAAGCAAGCTAAACAGAGGAACATGGTCAAGCGCAAAAGGATGCTGAACCTTTTGTAGCTCACTCGCGCAAGGGCTTCGACTCCCACCAGTTCCACATAAAGGGCCTGCTAACAGGCTAGTGCAGAAAAAGGTTTATCCGTCCTCATCTACACTTACAAAAAGGAGCTGTCAATCTCTGCTCATCCAGTAAAACCCGTGAGTAAGAACCTGCATTTCCCAAAATAGTCTTGACAGGTTCTTACAACATAAATGAAAAAAATATATAAGCTATTTAGGTTCTTAGATAGATTCTCACTTTCTGAAAAAAAAATACCTGGAAGCTAAGAGTAGTTAGTGGCATTCAGCTCATTCCTGTTATAAAATCTGCAGACCATTACATTGCAGTCGGAGTGATAAGAGACCTATGGCTCCATACAGAATCCTAAATTTGGGAAGGGGGCAGAATTGTTATCATAGATGTTAGAAAATAAGAACCTGTTTCAAACTTTAGGCTAAATGGGTTCTTGTAAGAGGGGACCTAACAGGTTCTTACAAACCAGGTTCTTACTTGGGGTTTTAACTGTATTGTGTGGCAAAAGAAAGTCAAAGAGACATGTAAGACAAAAGATATCGTGCAGTTGGCCCAAAATCTTTATTTCAACATGGCCAGTGTTGAGAAAAAGCAATTTTATGTACAACTTCATTTGATGTCAGCCTGCCAGTGAGTTATTCCTTATTTTGACAGGAGACCAACTGGCTCAAAGCTAGACCAAATTTTCTGTCAATTCCATTCAGGACCTCCACACTATGACAATATTTACATCCGTTTGACATCATAATTTTAACGGGTGTCACGCGTGTGTAAGTGAAGATCTGCACCTCTTCAGATGTCCATCTCAAATTGTGGTTCTTCCTGTTCTGCTGGTGAAAGAAAATAACAAAATAAACAATAATAAACAAGTTGTAGACAAATATTATGGACACAAGGCAGATGTAGACGTACATGTTCAAGAATAATTTTATCAGTGAAATTAAGAAGACATAGCTCTGCATGTCACTAAATTTTACAGATGTTTATATGATGGGGTGAAAGTTTGTCCACCCCACCATACAAAGAAAAGTAAAATTGTGCGCCTTAATGAGCAATATCTTTGCCCTCTTTGGACATATCACCTTTAAACTTGGTAACTGAAATAATAAATAATTATTTTACAGCACTTTTTCCAGTAGCATCATTTGATAGATATTTCCCTACTGGTCTTTATCAAGGCACTCAAAGTGTAATGTACTGCGCTCACTCGGAAAATATTTTTCAACACTCGAAGAGAAATTTCGTATCTTCGCGCGGCCATGTAATATTGCCTATTTATAACAGCATTATTTCATCAGGACCCTCAGTAAGGGCTGAGGACCGGAGATTTCCCCTGGCTACTACACTGCACATGCATGGACATGACCCAGCTACTTTCATGTGAAAATAGAAGATAAAATTTATTTATTATAGAGCCCCACCTACTACTACTACAACTAGAAATCTTAGTGACAGCCCAATTTAATGTTAAGTAGTGGTTGTTTAAATTTCATAGAAATGCTGTAGCCCTCAACAGCAGTCACTGTAGTGACCAATGATTTGTCAGCCTGTGCAGAAGTCACCAAGAGTCAAAGTTTGTTATGTATTGTTTAAAAATTAAATAAAACGTCGCTTAATATTCCTTCACTCCTGTACCAAGTCATGGCAAAATTATCTGCCACCTTTCATTATCCCTGTGGACAAAACCCTACAAGCCTCTTTGGCAATAGACTTACATACTACTACATGTACAGCATACTTATTTCTTGAGATTCTACCCAAAATATAAATTTGATTTTCTTGCAATTTGCTAGGGTCAAAATACGGAAAGATGCCTTTATGTAAAGCAAAAAACTCTTCCCTTACTACCAGCTACAGCTGTACATTCAACTTAGCTTCTTACCATGGTCATTTTTGTCATTCTCTGGTTCTGTGGTGACCACACCATTGTCCTTCAAAGGGCTCTCAGGTTTTACCTTTTCATCGCAAGTAACACCTGGAATAAGCGGAAGATTCCGTGGAGGAGTACGGGACAGTGGCGAGTTACGTAAATCCAGAAGAAACTTGCGCTCATATATAATGCGCGTTCCTATAAAGTGAGACAAACAAAGATGATCATTAAATAAATTGCAAACGTAAATCCAGAGGGGTTTTAGTTTTACATCAGTCAATGTACAAAAATCCATCAGTACTCATAGGTCAAGAGCTACATGCAATGGTTACAAAAGCAATTGGATACATGTGGAGGAAAAAGTACCTCAAGGGCACTATTTTCTCTCTTCCTTCCAAGAAACTTTACTGGAAATAAACCGTAGATGTTCTCAACTTTCAGTGTAATTTTAAAAAAAGAATTGACCACAGTTTCCATCATTTACATTCTTAAAGACAGACCTTCCAAAAGGGCAAAATAAAAGGTTAAATATGTACCTAATTTCCAGCATGTTGCATGGTACAACACGAAAGGTCAATGTGATTTCTACACAGCATATTTTGCCTAGAATAATACTCAACTTAGTTTCAGACTAACACCAGCTGCTCTGAAGACAAAGTGCCTAGGACACTGGCAGTTTTAAAAAGGGCAATTTTTCAGAAAAAAACTAGCATATAAGGTATGGAACTTGCACGTACTGCAAACCATGCAGTTATTTAAGAAGTACATCATTACAATGGGAATTCTACAATAACCAAAGAACCAAAACAATGACTGAAAATATTCCCAAAACCAGCAAAAATGTTGCACATCTTACCGCACAATGTTAAATTTGTTACTTGCATAAATTGGCTTTCCATAAATAGAAAGTAAGGCCCAGTAATTCCTTAAGAAACAGAGCCGCTTTGTTTTGCTGGAAAACTGGTGTGCACTGTTGCACACACTTTTTGATTTCCCCAGAAAACCAGCACATAGTGGTAAAGAGGTTAAGAGTATTTTGTTTGTTGGTATGCAAGACAAAACAATTCAGGGTTGACATAAAGAGATTAAAGGTCACAATAACTTGGTAAATTTGTGAAAATCATTGCACTTAAATGAGTGGAAGCCAGTGGTTTTGCCCGTAACAAGTCTGCCCCAAACTACTTCACCACGTGAGAGTAAAATTCATAAAAGCTCATCGTCAATTAGCCTCGTAACCAGTTATCCCCATAAAAACGTTCAGAATTAAAACCACAATCCATGAACCATTTCGATTCTAATATTACCATACTCTCCCTTTACTAAAGGTTGCTTCGATATCAACGGTGATCCGGCTGAAGCATTACATGTATGTACCTCTGGCTTTGCCAACCTTTTGTGCATGTGGTGTGGTAGATTTCAGTTTTTCAAAATGGCTAAAACTGACCTAGTTTGACTTTATTATTTTTATTCCACCTTTGATTACAAACGCAACTTAAGCAGCTTGTAAGGAGATGCTGTTTTCACACAGTTTTTAGCTCATGGATGACGTAGTCATGCCATGGGCTTTTGGAGGCACTCGAATGGCACTCGATCACTCACCCACTCACTCACTCACTCGATTCTCATTAATTTATTCATTAAAGTCAGATTGCCTACCTACCTTACTTAGTATTACTTTTATTCCAAGTGCCTTTTACGTATATGTTTGAAATATTCTAGAGGGTACTAGTAAGGCAAATTTTTTTCGCGACACATCAATAATAGAGATGGGTTTTGTATAAATGGAAATATTCTAAAGAACACTGGTAAGATCATCCACAAGAAATGGACTTAGAATTGTTAAAAGGACATTGAAATAATTGAGCGTGGATCATTGTTGTATATTTGGACGAATTGTGCTCATTTGTTCCCGATATTATACTTGATATGGAGAAGATGGGATCAACAGGAGTGTGAAAGAGCTCTTGCAGCCTGACAATGGGATTTCGTTCAGCGAAAAGCAAATAAGCCAAAGAGCCTTATAATCACTGCAAAAAAACGGTCCTCGAGTTGTTAAAGCGACATTGAGGAGTATCTATTGAGGTTTATTCAGTTATTTCGACGAATCCATTCGACCAATTGTCTTGGTATGCAAACAGGGAATGAATTTATGTTGTGTCAACTAGAAGCACAGGTTTTAGAACCAACAAGCGTTACGCTATTTTGCTTGAATTCTTAGGTGGTCTTTGCCTTAAAGTAGGCTTTTGTTTGTCGGTGATTCCATTTAGCAGTGTGCTATGAATGTAATTTCTACAAGAAATGCTGCGCTGGTATAAACAAGTCTCTGGCGAAAGGCAATCGCATACTTCGACTGCGTTTAAATTACTTGGCTACAATTGTAGGTCAGAGCACGTCGTTTTATTAAAATAATTTTTAGCTCGTGTTTATCAAAAGCGCATTCTAAAGCAGTTCATTTAGCCATAAACGCCTGTATTCTGTATTTAATATAGCTCGTACTGCATAAACTAACCGTTACATACTCATCATATGGAAACATTTCTTTGAAAGCATCGCACTTTTAAAACCACGGTTTAAATAAAACTCATGTATGTAAAACTTGGCTATTTTACAAGAAATTGCACTGTCGTTCGGAAAGTGTTTGACAGTCACATGAGAAAGCAAATTATTTTACAACTAAAAAGCATTAATAATTGCTTGCAAAAGTGACCTTTGCTTTGTAAGTAGAAATGCTGTACTGATAACAAGTTTTTAGAATATTCAGGTGCACATGCAATCGGATAGTTCAAGTCACGCTGTATTTTGGCAAGTCCGTACACAATGAAGCGTTCAAAAAGATTTATGTGTTTTTCTTTGATTATTGAACTGTCTTTTCTACACTAATTCAATTCATCCATGAGCTCGCTCCTAGGAGCCTTTGATTTTTTTTCACGGTCTTAGGTCATAGATTTCGAGTGCCACTGACCTACAATAACAATAATTTCCTAACTTTGATTACAGAGATTTCCTTGAATAACCCAAGCCAATTCACAGGTACATGTACATTTTTCACTGCAGGTAAATGGCTAAATGCATGATTTCAATAAAATTTGGAGTTAAACCACTGCATGGTTAACTTAGGGGGAAAACTTACTGATAAGAGTATGATCTGAAAATTAAATTACCATTAAAATCTCATTACATGTAAATCTTTTTCAGAAGAGTTTCACGAACCTCACAATAAAACAGTGTATTTAGAAGCTAAAAATACAGCTTAGTATACATAGCTTCACGCACATTTCAAAACGTCAGCTTAGTTTATTTTTTACTGTTGTCATATAAAGGAATACCCACATTATCAGCAAATTAAAGAAGTCTACCAAAATACGAAATCTCAGAATAACTTGATGCACTTGAGAAAATCATCGCAAAAAATGTGCAGCGTCTGGAACCAATTTTAGAAAAAAGCTCATCACTTAATTGAATATAAAATAAAAACACATCGACCATAACCAAAACACGTGGGAATTGTTTATATCGCCATCACAAAAACAATACACCAAACGTAAACACTGGAAATTTTTACGAAAGTTATCAACCTCAAAGCAAGCCACTGCAACGATTATTCGTAGACTCCCTTTGAGATAAACAGGAATGCACTGCAATTCCTTAAGCACAAGCTTTATCCTATCGACATTATTTCCACAAGCTCCAAAAAGCTATGACGACACATCTTTGCCTTTGTTTGTAGGCCTATGCCTTCACAACGATATCTACATTTGTACTTTTTTCAAGTAACTGTATGCACAGTGAAATGCAACCGAACTATAAACGATAGTTTTAACACCAAGGATTGAAATAAACGAGCAAACAGAGGTAATATTCAACCACATTTGATGCGAGAGTTCGCTAACTGCACGTCTGGACAAAACGAAACTTGCTGAGCAAGGCTTTGTACTTTCACAGCAAAACAATGTACAAGACCACCAATATGAGTTTTCATTACAGGCAACACAAAAATATTAAGATGAACAGTCGAAACACAGGTTACGATAAAGTATGATTGCTTATTTTGCCTGTGATCGGTTAAAATTATACTCGAAACGAGAACGTGTATAATCAACACGACGTTCCCCTCGTTTAGCCTACGCAAGCGTAAATTAACCGGTGGGCCACAACGTACTCGAAGACTTGAAGCTTACAAAAAACTTAAGATAGCAAAGTGAATAGCTTCTTAACGCTTTTAACCACTACTTTTATCACAGTAAACACTTTAAGCCCAAAACACGTTCAACATACCGCCTGGAGTCGTAGAGAATATGGTTCCTCCCGGGGTAGTAGAATAGTCCATAGGCATTTGCCCCGGATCGTTAACCACAATTCGTCTAGAAGGAATCGGTCGAGATCCAGATGGCAACACGTTAGTCTGTGCGCTGTTCATAATGTATGGTTCTGGCTGCAAGCGGTGAAAAAATCCCTTCAATCTGAGGCACGTTCCTGCAAACTCGTTTTGCCTTCCTTCCAAAACCTTCCAGCGAGTCACGGGATTTATTTGCGCATGCTCATTGCTGTCCAAAAGTTGCGTCATCTGTTTTTATCGATCGATCACGTGCTTCCACGATCGTCACGAATTTTGCTATCCTGCACGCAAGTAATTTTTATCGGTTCGGCTATCGATTTATTTGAGATACACAAACAGCTTAGACTTTTTTTCTTCTTTTTCAGTTTCTCGTGCCGCATACTCTTCTCAAAAATAGGAAAATTGAAAAAATAAATGAAAAAGAAAATAATTAAAGAAAGAAACTTTAAGACACAGCAGACCCGGTGTCACAGTGATATGTGTATCCCCGTGATATGTGTATCCCCATACACATATCCCTAGTGATATGTGTATCCCGGGTGGGGATACAATAAACACTGATGCTCATCCACGACACAATAAGGAAATATCTTCTCTTGCTAAAGGAAATGTTGTCGATATCATCTAACATAACTAGTAACACAACTAGGGTTAAGACAGGAATCAAACAACATGCAAAGGTGGAATATTGTGGCGCTCACAGAACGGATACACATATCACTGACTAGGCACAGAGATATGTGTATCCCCTCTCTATTTTTTGACTTTTTGAGTTATCCCTTGTTGAATGAAATTTTGTCAGTCATACTTATTTAACGCGACTAGCTATAGTGACATATGAATTATAATCACGTTGGATAAGGAGAGGAGCGAGAACGAATGTTTACATCAACATTGCGGCCCACGAAGAAGTAAACTCGCCAGAGACAGCTTTGCGATTATTTTGTCTCGAATCGTTGCTCTTTTGTCGATTGTGTTGCTCGTAATCTCGAATCATTTTGTAGTCCCTTTGACGATGATTCGCAAAATTCACAAAAACAACAGAAATAAAACCGACACTTGTTTGGAGGGGTGGGGGGTAGGGGATACACATTTCACTGGCAGCCATATTGGAGGGATACACATATCACTAGGGATATGTGTACGGGGATACACATATCACGGGGATACACATATCACTGTGACCGGTAGTCTCCAGTCGTCCACTAACTACTATATGTACGAGGACGACATTTGACTTAAAGTTTTTTCGCGTATTCTTAAAAAAAGAAACCCCTTTGTTTACCCAGAAGGGACCAGATACTCTTGAATGGCTATCAGTAATCTTGGTTTCTATGGTGAAAATCGATAGACTAAATTGCTGTGTCAAATCGATAGTATCGATTTTACATGATTTTAACGATTTATACTCCGCGGTAAGTCCGACATTGTTGTTTAAATAGTGCAGCTGAGAAAACAGATCCATGAGTAACAACTGATCAACAAACATGAAAATAAGAAATGTGGAAACTATTACAGACACAAGATTCTCTCTAACACCGTGACCCTTTTATACATAATAACAAAAACGGCTCGGTTTAATTACATTCGCAGTTCTCGCAGGCAACAGGCCATCAATATCAACGTCCTTGTGCTTGTGTGTGGGCAGAATTGCAAGGGAGGTCAATTTCTGGTCTGCCACCCTACTATAACGTTTCTTATCACGTCTGTTGATAGAATAATAAAGGATGAAGGAAATCAGTACAAGCACAAACTGCTGATATAATGCGAAAAATTTATTAGTCATCGCGAGTTAATGAAATAAACGCTTTCAGGAATATTTTCGCCAGATTTCACCTGTAAGCAAGGGGGTTTGTGCGTATGAGGACGCAGCGCTTCTGAGTTCAAGGGGCGTAGCTAGAAATTTTCCAGGGTACGCACAATTTTCCAAGTCAACACACACTTCTACCAACTTCTACCAGACTAGTCGTACTCAGTCGCCACTTATTTATTCTTGCGATTTGACACGCGCAAAGGCGCTTGGGAGCGTTTTTCTTCCTTCCTTCCCTTGATGCACCGCCAACTCACTAAATCACAACGCAAACAGAGAAGTAACTGGGTACGAGTCTGTCACCCTTCCCCGTCAAAAGTCCAAAGAATTGTTTTCTTGCCATGCTTGCGGGTGACTTGATTAATCACCTCTTCTGGCGTTAAGGGGCCATGTTCTTCAGCTGGCACTGACAATAAGTGGAAAAAATAGGGAAAACACAACATTTTCTTGAAAAAAAATTATCTGAAAGAACCAAACAGTGGAATAACATAGCCAATTATACGTGTTATCTTTACTTTTTTGTTACTTCTTTGCTTATCTACTTTTTAAATGTACATTTATGACGGTCATTTACTTGTGACAGTTTTTTTCAGGGAAAAAGACTGACTCGTGAGTCTGGCGTACACGCTCCTAGCCCCGGTTGGTCAAACGGTTGGATAGTACTACTCAGTTCCGCCCGAAAACTGATCACTATCCAGCGGATTAAAGTCTTAGGGGGAAAACCAATTGCGCTCTATACAGTGGATAGAGATTCATCCACTGGATAGACTCTGGATAGAGTTATCCACCTGGGCCGGGTTGTTCACAGCTGGGTTAAGATAACTTAAGGTTAGTGCGAAATTTGAATTCAGACATGAAGCTTAAAAAGTAAATTCATTTTAATTCTTTTTGTCAACAAGTTGATGATTGGATGCTCTTGAAAATAACAGAGAAAGTTATCCGAGAAAATGCTTTTGAACAAAAGAAAACAACGTGTTAAATTTAACCTTGGGTTAAGCGCTAATTGGCCTTCGAACAACTCGGCCCTGGCTTTTGAACCAACGAGGCCTGATAATTCGTACCTGCCTGAGCAGTCTTTGCCGTGTTAATGTTAATCCGAGTAATACTTCATGGGTCGTGCGAGACATGATAAAGTGGTACGGCCAGGAAACGAACCGACCTAAGTAAATTTATGAAAGCAAACTGGGAGGCTTTCTTCAGCTGTTAACCCTTTTCACCTCGCTCTTCCCGTTTCCTATCACAATTAAACGTTGATACTCAGGAGTGACAGATCCAGGGAAAGGACCGGGGGGGCCGCCCCTCTTTATTTTTAGACCAAACTGAGGCCCGAAGGTTCGAAAAAAATTTGGGAGACCACCCTCCCCCCACCCCCTTTATCTCAGGGTCTGGGAGACCAGACCCCCCTCCTCCCTTAACTTAAGGTCTGGATCCGGCACTGCTCAGACTACTATAAATGTAGCTAAACATGATCGGATTGAGTTGAAAATTACGTTGAAATTTAACATGAGTTGAAAGAACATAATTATAAGGCCTTGCCAAAAGGTTTTTACTTCAACGGCAGATTGAGGGTGGGTTTATTAGAAGTAATTCCCGGTTGCGGAATATTCTGTGAGGTTTTAAAATTTTAAATATCATTTCTATATTTGCCTTGACTCCCGTGGTATTACTTTTTACTTCTTTGCACCCTAAAGTATTTTGTATTGTTACCTTAATTATTTCCGCTGATGTTTTTTTTGTGTTTTGTACCTGATGTAAATGTCGCCTACTTCAACAACATAAAAGCGTTCAAGCAGTAAATTTTATTAAGTTTTCATTCACATTAATGATTGAAGGAACATTTGCCATATCCTCACCGAACCATCCACCTGTACTGACCCAGCAACTCTTTGTGCGAAAAAGATAATCTTCAATTGCCTTCTGCCAGATTGACGCGTCATGAACAACACGATCATTTGCTCTCTGCCCGACTTGATGCGCTATTCCTTTTTACAAGAGTTCTCAAAAAATATCTTCTCTTTTATCTGTGTACTTGACGTCCTTGTGTTCTTGGCTGCTTCAATTGGAAATACGCTCACCTTGGTGGCACTACGAAGAAGCCAATCAATACATCCTCCTTCCAAAGCTCTCTTCTGCAGTTTGGCATTGTCAGACCTTTGTGTTGGTTTAGTCGTTGTTCCTTTACACTTTGGCCTGATGTTGGCAACCATAGTCGAAGTTCCATCTTTATATTGTGCGCTGGTATCACCCACGACTGTGATCGCTTTTGTTATGGCGTCGGTTTCTCTCATGCCCACTACCGCAATTGCTGTGGACAGATATCTCGCTTTTTGCCTTAAGCTTAGATACAAAGACCTCGTACGTGTTAAACGAGTTGTTTTGGTACTCGCTTTGGAGTGGCTTATAGGAATCTTATGGGCAGGATTGTGGGTCCATAGCAGAAGTGCAAGTCACACGGTAGGAGCTCTTGCAAACCGCCTGTGTACCATGACAAATTTCGTCTGTTACTTGAAGATCTTCTTTGGCTTAAAACAGCGCCGAACATTTCCAATTCCAGTTCAAAGCCAATTGGAATCAAATCAGATAATGTTTTTTAATATCCTTATCTACAAAAAGTCCGCCAAGAATATGTTTATAATTTACAGCATCATGTTATTTTGCTATGTTCCATATTCTTTGGCACTGGCGTTGCAGTTTGCGTACGGTGTTAATAGCTCTACCTTCTTTATTCTTTCAATTTCATATACCATAATACTGGTAAACTCTTCGCTAAATCCTTTTGTTTATTTTTGGCGAATAAGAGAAATAAGGGGGCAAGTGCTGGAAATGTTTAAGAAACTCAAGTCGCATGGACACATTAACTCTTAAACCATATGAGTTACCAAGAGAGTATGAATTTCTTGTCAGCATCGGATAGTTCGTATTTTAAAAAGACTAATTAAAAATCCTCGTAATCAAGGAAATAGTGAATGATGAAAAACTGATGAATGATTAAAAATCTCTGATAGGCTCGGTTTGAGTTTTAGGCCGCTTGCTGTGGACGTAACTCAAATAACAGTTTGAGGAAACTGTTCATTATTAGAACTCGGTAATAATGGCAAAATCTCTTCTACAGAAAAAAATCTTTTATTAAAGAATTGTAATATAGGTAACCAGTCAAGCAAACAACATAGACATATCGTGATATAACTAAAATTTTTATCCCTTCAATGTAGCTAGGCTCCATTACCCCGGTTATTTCATCTTATAACCAACTGGCGCTTACCAATCTGAGGCAACCAACCAATTCGATGGGTTGCCGGCCAATATAAAATAGCAACCCTTTTATCCAGTAGAACTTGATACTGCAGTCCTGGTAAGGTGGTTGTCATTACAGGAGTTCCTCGTACCCATTTGCTTACCAATTAAGTACTAAGTTTAACTAAATCTTTTATTTTTTGCAAAGTGCTTTACGGTGGCTGGCTGGTCACGTTTGTTTAATTGCTTGTTTTCTCGCTGCCTCTCTCTATTTTTGTTGGTGTGCCCCAGGGATCGATCTTCTGACCTTTTTTACTTGTGCTTCATGAGAACCAATTACCCATGATCGTTGCTCGTAAGTGTAGTATGCTAATAAATATAGTTTACGTCACTGAGAAAGTGCCGTGTACGGGGTTATATTCACGAGTTGTTGGTGTCAAAACCCGAACAAACGAGGTACGAGGTACGATTAAAAAGAGCAAATAATTCGTTCGGCGCGGGCGCATTCTCCCTCGGGAAATTTTTTGATCGGACGGAGTCTATCTTTTGGTCAAGGGTCTAGGGTTCCATGTCGAGGGCGAGGGTTCCGGGTCGAGGGTACGGCAGTTTTTTTCCCAACTTTTTTTAATGCCAAAAAATTAAGAACGAAAATGTAAAGTAAAATATAGAAAGAATAGAAAAAATAATAGGATTTTAATGAATCGCAATTCTGTTAAATGTTAGGGGGTGGGGTGAGTTGAGATGGTAGGGAGGTTAAGCAACGACGAGGCGACGACTACGAAAACGGCACTTAAAAAGTGAAGTCACCCTGCGGGCTTATTCCATCTCGTTTAATTCGTCAAATGTTGGCAAATTTCTTTGGAGTTTAATTCTAAAGGATTGTATCAAAATTCAAGAAACGAAAAAGAAAATTGTTGTTTTGTGTTCCCGTCCTAGACAAAACGTGAAATTAGGCACTTTCACGCAGAAGTCGTGCAACGACAGATAAGAACTGTGTAAAAAAGAGTGATGCACGTGCAAAGTTGTTGTTTTGCCAATCCAAACCTATTGCTTTTTACCGTTCTCGTCTTGCCGTCGCCGTCGTCATTGCTTAAGCTCCCTGGTAAAATAGCACACTCGACGTCCCCTCAAAACAAGCCAATTACATTTACAACCCACACGAGCCCATATTTGATTATATAATGTGCTTACCGTATCACTGTATTACCACAAAACTGAAAGCACCGACAAAAGCGAAATCTCATACCACTAAAACTCCATAAACGGTTTCAAAACTTCGTCCAAGGTTTAGTCAAGTTTTTCTAATTCTAAAGCTTGGAAATTTTTTTTTCAACAAAATGTAAAAAATCATGCTCATGTTTCCTTACACGGTAACAAGTTATTACTCTTGGGAATGAGTTTAACAACATCCACGAAAGACTTAAAATCATCGACGCGGAACAAGTGATCCTGGTAAGGGGAACTGCAGATCCCCCTCATCTCTTGAATGGCGGCGGAAGTATATTTTCCTACTGCTAAAACAAACACCTCGACTCCCGCGGCCTTCAGTAAATCTGCTTGGGGTATTGTTTGAGTCTTGTTGATGTTCGATTGACCATCCGTCAGCACTAATGCTGAGCGTCCGCCCCCCGGAGTAATACCTGAATTGGGATTTTCGAACAGCTCTGTTCTAGCCAATCGCAAGGCAGCTTGAGTGTTGCTTGCACCGCCGGTGTAAGGCACGTTCAACAGCTTCTGCCTAGCTTGGCATCCTAAGACGAACGGGAATAGAACGCTAGCGGTGGTAGAAAACTTGATGGCGGCATAATCAGATCTATCTCCTTTTCTGTCGATCATCATTCGTAAGGCTGTGACTCCTTGTTGGAAACTTTTGTTGCCTATTGAACCAGAGTCGTCTATAATGTAGGCTACGTTGTACACATACGTATCCTGGGAGCTTGGAGGTCCACGAATTCCACTTGGCCTGCCAAGGAAATGCTTGGCTATGTTGTTTGCTGTTTCATTTTTTGGAGGGACTTTTCTTTAACACTGAAAGTGGTTAAGAAGTTGAAAATATCGGTGAGATTACTGTTTAAACTTCGGGAGTATATTAAGCGTTGTGATACTTCCATCATTGTACAACTTATATACATATAAACGTATGTCAGATCAGGGACCGTGGCTAGGATGTGTCTAGAGGTACGCAACGTTTTCCAAATCCAATCCACCCAGTCTCCCAATTTGTTTTCATATGCGGGTGCTTTGAATACATTTGCGTTTTTCCTCTGTATGGTGTGCAGTTGATATCGGTCGTAGGACCATATTCTGCAGGTAACTGGTGCAGCCCTCATACGATACCGAGTGATAAAAACTGGTTGGGGGAGGAAGGATACTATTCGACAGCTGTCAAATCTAATTTGCATAATATCTTGTGCTTTTTCTTCGATATTTTTTCAGGTATGCTTGTGCGTAGTAGTTCTGAAAGGTAGCTACTAGCTTCAATTCCAGAAACTATAAGGGGAATGAGTACAAGCTTTAGGGGCAACGATTTCTGCGATGGTTTGTGTAGACAAGCGTTATTACTTATGATTGGTTAAAGTAACTCTACAGATCAGCTTCTTTATTGTTATGTTGAGTCATTTTCATTATTTCCAATACGATTACTTTTCCCTGCCTCGAATAGCAGTCACTAATAGCGTTTCTTTGCTAAATTGAGGGAAACTGTGTTTAGGCTTAATCTGTGTGAATAAAAGTTTTGTTTGTTTGGTTGCCTTGAATACCATCGACCAATCATAGTTAAGGCTTGTCCACCCAAACGATCCCAGATATCCCTGCTCCCCAAACCTTTTACCCATTCTCCCTAAAGTTTCTGAAGTGGGTAATAACAACAAATTAGTATTGTGCTCGACAGTGATGGGTTGTGGAGAGGCTTTTTTACATATTTTTCCCAACACTTTAGTGAGTCAAAAAGCATTATTCCAGCATTTTAGTGGAATTTTTATGGAAAATTGTCAGTTTTCTTTTTCGGAGAAAATGAGAATTGAAAACAAAAAAAATAAAAGAAGACGAACACTTACAGTCACAATTCCGAAAAGAAAACAATCAAATGCCACCCTAATACATTTGTTAGCGTTGGAATTAATAAGAAAAGCGTCCGTATCATGCGTATTTGAGTAAAAAGGGCTTGAAATGACGTATATGACGTCGTATCTCGTAACCATAGCGATCGATGGTTAATATCAGCATTTTTTCATTTTTGTATAATTTCTGATGATTTCCTATCTATTCTTTAAAAATCAAATCAGAAAAAACATTAAGACCCTGTTTACATGGAGTGGGGGACCCCGGTCCAGTGGGGTAAGTTTCTTTTGTTTTGTGTCCCCCAGAGCGTGAAAACAAAAGAAACTTACCCCACTGGACCGGGGTCCCTCACTCCATGTAAACAGGCCCTAACAAAGGACTTGTCCTTTGTATTATACAATGAAGTAACTGTAGCGGGAAATTCTATAAAGGTGATGTTACACTGGACGATTCGCAACGACGATTTTTAGCGTAACACAGCTAGCTAGCGTTGCAAAGTTGGAACAATGTTGTACCTATTCGAAACAATGTCGCAACAATGTTGCAACGCTGTGTTGCGCTAAAAGTCGTCGTTGCGAATCCTCTTGTGTAACATCATCTTAAGATATTTTCCATACAGAAAACTCGAAGTAAACCGAATTTATAGTTCTGGGTTGCCTGCAACAGCCCACCATATTTCTTGACTCGAGAGAGGATGAGAGAAGTGCGTAAAAATTTACTGAGTAAAACAGTAAGTACTGAGTAAGTATGATAAGAAAAAATAGACAAATAAATAAATAAAATAAATAAGTAGATAAAAATTAATTATAATGTCAAGACGTCTTACCATCATAGGAGGGTGGTTTGATTGGTCCTTCTACTAAATTTTTTGCTGCAGAGACGTGAAACAGCAACCCGCAAAGAGCTGCTATGAGGATCATTCGGTCCATACTTCGTCGTCTTAGTTATAATGGACTCTTCTTGTCACTTATTTTTTACGTTTACTTCTTTGGTTTTTGCTCAGTTATGCTTGGGCGGGTTGTCTCCCCTGCTTTTATAGCACCCATTTAGAGGTAAAGCAATTACAACTGACACGATTTAGTTGCTGAACTTATGACCTCTCTTATGAGAGTCGTTAACGACATTCGTATAAATGAGAGGCGTGTACGATAAAAGGAAAACCCTGTATCCTGTAGCAACACAGGATCGGATCACAGGGGACGTGACGAAAGCTATGGACAGTAAGTCGCAGGAGAGATAAATCCTTGCTAAGCAGTCAGTAAATCATATAGAAATCACAGACGACATAGCCCACGTGGCAGACCCAAAAATAAAGTAGCCATGCTGGTAGCTTGCAGGAAAGCCACTACTTTTGCGCTTCAAGGAGAGCACGAAGCAGACGTGGAACGTGAGACACACCTTCCACCTTCGCGCGCGTACCGCGCTCCACGTCCACCTCGTGCTTGCCTAACATAGTGCCCGTCCTGCAGGCTAAAGCGCAGGCCACGAACGATACAAAGAGAGATCACCAGCAACCAGCACTTAACACGACAACAACAACAACAACAACAAAACAGCAGATAAATGTTCATCACAGGTTCATCAGAAAGCATCACTTTCATCACGAAAGCTAATAGTGGCTATTAGCACTGCACAAACGGGACGGAAATACGCAGGGCATGTAATTGGCCACTTCAAATTCAACTCCTAATACGGGGGAGGGGGGGGGGGGTTACATGCTTGGGTTAATTTTTGCTGGGTATGTGCCGCCGGCCTCTCAGAACCCCTTTATCATTTTATTATATTCTGTGGCCATATTAAGTAATTTTCGCAATCCCAACTTAGTCACTTTCTGTTTATTATGCAGTTACCTTATCAAGCCTTTTAAGGTGATTCCCTGGCGACCCCATTCTAGTAACTCTTATAAAAATGCAACCCCATAATAGTCAAACGTCGTGAAAATGCGACCCCATCCAGTGGCACATACCCATGAGCCTACTACTAGGAAGTACCTCCGCCCCCCCTCCCCGGGCGTTTAGATTTTGAAAGGTAATTAACGCTCAAACATTTATGGTATATCAAATTAAGTTAAGAATCATTAAATTAAGAGTCACGAAATTTTGTTCAAACGTTTCAGTTTTTAGGTTCGATAAGTTATTTTTAATGAGTGCGTGATAGACGGAACGATATTAAATTATTATTTTATTTATTTATTTTTAATTTGTCACACTGAATTAAAACCATCAACACCTAACGAGGGTATTTCAGTCTTCCCAGCGTGTCATGCGACTATATTTAGTGTTGTCGGTCTATGTGAAAAGAACAAGAATTTTTTAAAATTTTCTCTGATATAGAGACTAAACAGAAAACGACTTTAAATTTGAATTGAAGCACTTGGAGGAAGACAATTTGATTAGTAACAGCACGTAAAGTCTTTGTTTCAGTTACTATTTTATGGTTTAAACGGAAATAAATGTTATTGAACCATCACAAGGTCAAGTGTTTAAAACCAAACTTTGTAGTCGAGGTATTTGTCACGCACGAATGATGTATTGGGCAGACTTAGCAATGCAAAGCTACCATGGGCGCAAATTTCTACAATTGACCAATGGCTGAGCGGGAAATTGCATATGAATGGAGGATTAGTCCTCAAACGACAGCTTTTGAATCTCCTACGGGAACTTTGCTTTAGCCTGCTTTAATAACTCATCCTTCAATTCTCCTCCAAACCTTAAGATAGCCTCGCGGCATTCCTTTATTGCTCCCCTACATTTCGCAGCTCTCTTTGCTTATGGCTAGATTTTATTGTGAACTTTGTTAGTTCATTGTTTTCCCAACCAATCCTGTGAGCCCTTGTTACAGCCGCGAGACTGACTAGACCAGCACCTCAGTTCAACTAAAAACTAATAAACAAAACATGGCCAGTGTCTGAAGACTTTTAATTGCATTTTACTTTACATGACAGGTTTTCAAAACGACTTTATAAGCCATAAAATGATACCTTGCACTCGCACGTTCATTCTTTTAAATATTCTCTGTTTTCACTATCGTGCCATCAAAAATAAAAGATGAAAACCATTCAATACAGAAAGTCCAGAATCTGGGAAATGAAAGAAGATAACTATACAAAACGCCTTGCCAAAATATCAGGCCTGTGCGATATTAAATACGCCAAATATTCAGGTAATTGTTATACGCAAATTCACAAAACTTTACATGGAGACGCCATCTTGGTATCCCTTACAGGGGCACAAACTTAGGACAATTTCCTTTCGAGAAACGCTCTCTTATTTCAGGAAATGACGTCATAACGCAGTTAACTTGAGCCCCATCTCCTTAAGCACTCGGACAACCCGAGGGGTGTGGTTAAAATTAATAAGTGGCAAAATAATTCTGATGTTTTTTTGTCTGAGGCCAAAGTCTAGAAGAAAGTTCAGGCTAAACAACTGAAAGTAAATGCGATTTGTTTCCATTTCGGCCAATATTTTGCTTGAAAACTATGTTTTCAATAAAAATTAAAATAGAATAAATTATAAATCTTCCTCTTTCTTTATATTAAATTTATCAAGCATTTATAATAAATATAATACTTTTTTGTTTACTTTCAAGGTAGTTTAAAAATTTTCGTCCCATCCTGATAGGTCATCTGGTGGAACATCCATATCCTTCGGGTAATGATCGAAATTGCTGAAATCCGTGGCGCTTTTTACCTAATAATCGATCAACAACAACAACAAAGTTTATAAGGACTGAAAGCTATGTAATAGAGATCGTCAATTGGATCTAGATTCCAGGACAAAGATGACTACGACGACATTCCCAAAAATAGATACCCGGCAAAGCTTCTTTAAACTTTTTTTCAAAGGAAAAGTTGGCACTGTTAAGATAAAACTTCTCACATTTGACACCTCTGCTACTACGACAATCCCACTAAACCTCTCAACCTCTCAGTAGAATGACGACGTTATCACGTTTTCCCGCCAAAATGACGCTGGTCCACGCGGGTGCTCTACTTGGCATTGAGAAAATCTCGTACTCGTAGTCGTCCTCGTCTTGGAATCTAAATGTCTCTAATAGTTACCACTAGAACAACCTTCGCCTTTGTTTGTCTGTTTGCTTGTATCTCTGATGGTCCTAGCATGCGTGCGTGGCAGGTATCGAAAGGGAAAAGGAAATGGGGCAAGGCAATGATGCGTATTCGCGCGAAGCATTTTCTTGTCCCCTCTCGTTCCTGACACGCAGGTTATGATGGCCCTAAAGGGGCGGCTCCATGAAATGGACTATAGGGGGACGCTCTGTCACAGAGAGGTATCGCTTTTCAGGCTGGAGGTACATAAAAGAAATGCTATTTAGGGTTTTGAATTTTTTTTTTCAAAATTTCTCGAGGAGACGCACCTAACGGCTGGTCATTTGTATTGCAAGCACGGTAAACGTCCGATTATAAGACCCCTCCCCCCCTCATTTATAGGCCCATCTACCCGTAAAAAAAATGCATCAGGATATAAGCCCCCCTTTAGCTTGTATTGAAATGGATTCGACATTTTTACGACGTTTTGAAACTGAAAAACATCCTGATTTACAAATTTTTAAAAAAAAAAAGTATTTTGATCAGATGCACTTCCATGTTTTCAAACATGATTGTTTTCAAAACACTTTTTGAGTAAAATGGAAAGATAGTTATGTTGACTAACTCCCACGCCCCCTTTTCCCCTGGTTATAAACCCTCCTAAAACCCATTACGAGGTTGTATAAGCCCAGGGTTTATAATCGGAAGTTTACGTTACTTTAGAAGGTTAATTGAGAGAACCATTGACAGCTATGCAAAACGCTACTTTTGTTTCCTTGATATTATTATTATTTTTGCATATTACTATTTTTTTTTACATAGGTCAATTCGAGAAGCGCAATTTATGTCTAGACCTAGGAAAATAGCTTTGCTTCCTTGAGTATACAGGAAGAAGGTAGGTTGTTTGACAGCCGAAGAAAACAAATGGAAATACACGAAAAAACTAAACCAAATACAGCATCTAAATATAAATCATATTTTTTTAGAAAATTCTTTGCCATCTTAAAGATCTGCTAAAGAGAATTATATGACTTGTGAACAAAATACCTTAGGCCGTATGGGAGGTTCAAGTGTTCGCTCTAAAAGACCTTGCCAGTGAAAACCTTGAAACCATCTACAAAAAATGAGCACAATATTAAGAAATAATAGTATTAATAATGATGACGATGATGATGATGATGATGATGATGATGATGATGATAAACGAGACGTACGATCATTCTCCAGAAGCAGTGACGGAAAATGACTAGTGTGGGATTTCAGAATGCAAACAGACCATCATTTAGACCATAACAGGCCTGATATAGTCGTAATGGAAAAGGCGAGCAGAGTGTGCCAAATCATCGATGTGGCATGTCCTTTTGATACCCGAATCGCAAAAAACGAACGAGAGAAGATCGACCACTACCAGGACTCCAAAGGGGAAATACAAAAAAATGTGGAGCTGCAAAAGCGTATCTATTCTGTTTTTCCAATTGTATTTGGGGCACTTGGGTAGTGACTAAAAACTTCATGATGTGGGTTACCAAGATAGGCACACCAAAAATCTTGAATTTACTCCAGAGAGTCTGCTTGTTAGGAACAGCTAGTGTTGAGAAGGGTCCTAGACACCTAAGGCTATAGGAAATAACTCGATGACCTAGGGATACGTGACTAACAATACAACTAGCGGTGTGAGATATGAACAATAACGTGTGGAAGAAACAAATTGGTTTCCAAGCCGTTCGTCTCGCTCGTCATAGTAATGCATGAACGTAAAGGCCTGGGACTAGTAAGGCAGGCTCTTACTTATGTTTCTTGACGTCTGTGAGACCGTCCTTTTGATAACCCAGTCTTTCAGTGGGACTTTCCTTGCAGAGCCTTCTTATAAGGTTCTGAGGATTGCGACCAATCTTTTTTGGAAATTCAACCACATCCATTCCGCGCAAGATAATGTTGTAGGTCTTCATGGGGTCTGCGCCATAGAATGGTGGACTGCGGTGAAGAGAGAAAATAATATATTAGAAAACGTCGGTATTTGGAATCTCTGTTGTGAACGGCACAAGACAATAACCACGTAGTTAAAATAGAACACTGAAATAACGTTACTGCATTAAATTTTAACCCCAGGGGGTACTCCTGGGAATTCTTGGTGGGGGTGTGCCGCCCGCTTCTACAAGTCCTGACCGTAGTTCAGGCCAAAACATGTCATTTTTCACACCCGTTTTCAGTCTAGAGCTGGCCTCTAAAATCCATATTCCTTTTCAGGTTTGGCCTCTACGAAATCATGACATTACGTAATAAATTAGAACCCAACAAAAAGATTTCTTCAAATCCATCCGAATTCACGTATTATTCTTTCTTTCTTAGTCATCTGGAATTGAAACTGCATACACGTTCATACACTCCCGTAGTTCCGTCGAAAACCATACCCGATTCCAGACCAGAATGGGCAAAGTCTATACCCGTTTTCAGACCGAAAAGGTGCAAAAACCTTACCCTTTAAGGGCGGCACATACCTGTATGGCTTATATAAGAGAGTACCTCGATCCTCCCCCTCCCCGGGATTGTAACTGCCGTTTACAACTAGTTGACCATAAAAATCACCTTCCAGTTAAAAGCTCAAAAATGAGAATTCCCAGAGACCAGCAATCGGCTGACAAATCATGACCCTGAGAATCAAATGAGCATAAAAAATAAATGAGCGTGAACGTGAGTGACAACACCTACAAAAGAATAAATAATACGTATGATGACCTCTTTTTTTTCTTTTTTGAACTCAAACACCCGGGCAATGTTAATTTGTGAAATATTTTCACTGCTTTTGCTGTTAGTTTGAGTGGTTGGAAGCTCAATTCCACAAAAAGGTAGAACGTTCTTCATGATTGTCTTCGACTGAATGGGAACTTTGATGAAAGTAAACAAAATCTGAGTTTAATAAACACAACTAAACACGTCTATAGGACTTAGAAAGGGTAAGCACACGCCCTATGTTATCAAGTGTTTCCATCAAGAGCATCATAAACGAGGAAAGCCCAGGATTGAGTTTTGCTACCAAATTTTGCCGCATAAGGGTTATGCATTTACACACTATTTCTTTTAACGAGAGATCAATTAACTATTATCAACGGGGAAGCTTAGCTTTATCACCACTTATTATTAAACAAAAAGGTGTCATTGCTTGAAGTAAAGCCAATGTAAACTTTTGTGGAAGCGACCGAACCCTCACAGTCAGTTTTATTTCCAGGATTTAAACTCTGACTGTTGCTATCAGACAAAAATTAAATGCAAAAGAAGCGAATGGCAAATGTGATCAACGCTGTTTATTTCAGCTGTAAGGAGTCGAAAAAAAACATGAAAACTTCAGGCCGTTCCTTTTTTCATATCAGTTGCCAGTTGCATAATACTGAGCTCTCAATAGTCCTGTGCCGAATTTATCGTGGCCGCTTAATAAATGCGCCAAAGAATTATTTGTAAAGGGTTTTGCTCAACCTGAAGTAATATGTAGATTTAGCCAAGGCTAAGGGCGAAGCTCCCGTTAATGAAAACCATTGCACTGAAGAAATCCAAATAGAGTTGAGCCTGTGATTATTTGAAAACTAGAAACTTGTCAGCGGTAGACGTTAAAAAAAAAACACGTAACCTCGATGGGTCAACACCCGAGTCCGCGATATAACTGGAAAATTGAAAAGGTAGTCCTGTTATCGCTTTGGAAACCATCCAATGGAAATGCATGTTCCATTTAAGAGTTTTCGCAAGGCAGTTCCAGGCTAGTCACGACGATACCTCAGCCATCTTCTTAAATTTTGGTGACGAGAGCATAAACGAATGGAACTTGTGTCAAATAAAACACGTTCTTCATTCGATGGACCTTTCCATGTAAGTTTCTCAAAGTTTTTGGTGAATAGAAAGCGCCCAGTGTAACATTTCACATCGGTTCCCTGTGTGCGGACGGACGGACGGACGAACGGAAGAACGGACTGGGGGTTTGCGCGGGCGGGTGCACGTACGGTCACGTGACTTCCAAAATTTTTTGGGGTGGATAGAATACCAAATTTTTTCAGCTATGGCGCTCCGCTCGCGCGCGCGTGGAGCTCCGGTGAAATATTCACAAATACCGGTGAGAGGATGCCTGGGAGTCTTCGGTGCTTCTATTCAGCGGCCGCGAAGAATTCGAAACTGGACTATTAAAGGTAATAAACCGCCTGCAATGTTTCTCACTCGAAAAAAGGTAAGACTATTTAATAGGACAAAGTCACATTCTTATATGAGCGAGAATGGTTATTCGTATCACATATTATAATCTTTACCTTGTTAAGAATAATTTCTGGAGCAACATACTCCGGTGTTCCACAAAATGTCCATGTCTTTCTTCCGAATCCAATTCTTTTGGCGAAACCAAAATCCACCTACAAATAAAAAAAAGCGTGTCTGTTTTATCGGATTTTATCACAAAACCACTTTAACATAAAATGATATACTAAAAACCTGATAGTGCAATATAAACAATGTAACTAAAACCGAATGAAATTCAAAGAGGATACAAAAAAGAAATACTTCCATCGTACCAGTTTCACATATCCATCTTTATCCAAAAGTAAATTTTCCGGCTGATAGAAAAAAAACAGACATCAATCAACACTTTAAATCTTTTATCTTCAAATACATCGTAATAAAATCGAACCACTGTTAAGTGTACACGTTTGGGACACGAAAATTAAAGTCGGGGCCCACTTATATTAAGAGCATGCTTCCTGCGCAACCAAGAAATTAGTAGCGCGCATTATCAGTGTGAGTAACGCGCAAGTCACGTACGAGTTCTTTATGACACATGATAGTCTCTTGGAAATCCTAGTTATTTGTTGTGGAAAAGTGAAGCCGCTGGCAACAGTTCACAAATCTGAAGAGGTGTGGGTAGGTTGCTTATTCAGCCGCATGATCGATTTGACCTCTATTTAGTCGACAACAACTGTTAAAGCATTTTAGCTTTTTTAGCATTCCTAAAATCCCTTAAAGGCAAGTGTAATCAGTAAATCAGTTTGAAGGTAACACTAAGACTATGTATTATAAAGGAATGTACTTTATCGAGAAACCGTCCAGGCTGTGTTTGTATGAACTGTGGCTAGGATACTGCAATGCTGATCGTACTGCAAGACATCAACACGGCACCGAAAGATCTCAAAACAGAGCGGGATTGTAGCCATAGACAGCTGTTTCGCCCTTTTTGGGGCTCGTCAGTATGGCGCAACAACCACAGAAAGTTGCGCCATACTGACGAGCCCCAAAAAGGGCCAAACAACTGTCTATAGCTACGATCCCGCTCTGTTTTGAGTTCTTTCGGTGTCGTGTTGATGTCTTGCAGAGTTAATTTTCACGTAGTACGATCAGCATTGCGTAACATAACATAACATAAAACTTTATTTATACTCGAATTTTAGAGTAGCTAACAAGCTAATATCTTCGAGCTGACACTACATAAAAACTATATAGAAAATATTTATATACCTTAAATGCAAGGAAAGAAAATATCATTTACAATTCACAATTTTAAGTTTAAGTATGTCAGGCAAAAAGAATCTACATGAAGGTAGCATCCTGTATTTTAGTCTTAAAGTCTGCAAAAAAACTGTACGAAAAAAGTCCGGCAGTGCATTCCACTGCTTAGCTGAAAAGTAAGAAAAGGAGTTAAGACCATAGGTAGTTGTTTTAGGTTTACTTAGTGAAAGAATGTAGTTGCTTGCTTAGTGAAAGAATGTAGTTGCTTGCAGAATTTAATATGTCTACATTATTATTTTTGCTGATCAAGTCTTTATAGATCCCACGTTCTTCGGCATATTCGTTCGCGGTCCTTTGCAGTCCTTTGTGGTTAATGTTTGTAGCTAGGGCTTCAGCGCGCGTCTCCAGGAAGTGTCCGTTCGCGATTGGAGTTTGGACCATAACAGTGGCCTCACACAGTCACCCCATGCACTCTAAGCAGTATAGATATCATAATCTACAGTACGAAGGGTATTTAAACATGATGATATTTGAACATTGCGTTTATACCTTCAGATCGCGATAAACAATTCCTCGTGAATGCAGATACTCAAAAGCTTCCACGACACAGGCCACAAAAAATCGAGCGGTAGAGTCATCGAAAAACCCTCTGTCTCTTAGGATGGTCCAAAGTTCTCCGCCTAGACAAACTTCCAACAACATATAAACGTACTTTCGATCCTTGAAGGTCCGATACAACCTGTAGTTAGAGAATGAATCATTTTGGTTTGACAACTTCAATTACATCAGGGGAGGCCGCAACATATTATATAGTAATGGTTGCGATGCAAAGCACCAAAGGTTTTGCCCCATGTGGATACGTTTCTGGGAAACTGCCCACCTACGCCTCTCCTAAGCCAGCATTAACGCTTACTTCTCATTTAGGGCAAAATGTTGGCTTAGCGGGGGGTAGGTGGGCAGTTTCCCAGAAACGTATAATGATCCCATGTAAGGTAATCCGCATTCCGCGAGTCAGGAAATTTTGCTCCTGGAATCCAGAATCCTAGGCTTTTGAATCTAGAATTCAGCTTAGGAATCTGGGATCCGGAATCCGGCTAACGTGGATTGGAATCTGGAATCCAAGTACTACTGACAAGGAATCCGGAATCTGGTACCTGAATTCCGGAATCAACAGCGTGGAATCCAGAACCAAGACTGTCTTAGATTATCACACATTACATTTAGGCGAAAAGGTTTGCATCTCTTTGTTTCAGTACATTAAGGAATGGGGCGCTTCCCAAACGCCTGAAAACCAGCGCCGATTTTTTGTCACCTTGCCTACAACATTCATATCATACTTCATCCTCGAAGACCCAGAGGCAGTCTTTAGGGCAAGAGAAACTGCACAATGAATGTTTCAAAGCACGGTGCGTTTCTCTCGACGCGACTTACTAACCCCTCCAGGTCCCCAAGGATGACAATATTTCAGCTCTTCCGGTTACCAAAATGAAACTGTTTACATAAAAGTATGATTTCCTTGTTGTCCTTTTTAAGATTAAATTAATAATAGAAAGCTTAAGCAACGACTACGGCAACAAGAACGACAAAAAAAGCGATAGGTTTGGATTGGTAAAACAACAACCTTGCACGCGCATCACGCTTTTTTCGGTACATTGGAAACTTCCCAAATCCACCTTTTATAAAGGACGTGAATGCAAGAAAAAGATTTTAATTTTTCTTTTGCTCAACTTAGATACAGTCGTTTAGAATTCAGCTCAAGAAAAATTGGCCAAAATTTGACAAATTGAACCAGACGGAATAAGAGCGAAGAAGTTTGAAGCAGCGCGAATCGTTTTCGCTACCGTCGCCGTGGTAGATGTTAAAGCTCCCTAACTTAATGGGAGGAATATCGGTTATATCTTACTTGCAGATAAAGGGTGAATTTGCTTGAGACATTATTTTCTTCTCGGAGTAGATATGCTCTTGTTGCCTTGTGTCCACGATGTGTTTTTTCTTCAAACATTTTAACGCGTACGTTCTTTTGTCTTTTACATTTTGTACCTTGAAAGGAATGCAGTAAACGTTATGTTATATAGGTGAGTGGAAAATACTGGGAGTAAACAAAAGAAATTACAGTATAATACTTCGTAGTGTCCTCTCCCTATTTCACGGGTTAAGCACTCTCGACTATCTAGTTTGGTGGATTATTACTCAACCACGCCCAAGGGTCCTCTCGCTTCCCCACCCTCCTGAAAAAATTAAAATGTGTTTCTCTTACCAGCTCCACGCGTCCAAATCCTCCCATCCCCAGGGTGGCCACTACTTCCAGTTCGTCAAGAGTCAACTCCTGGAACTCTTTGGAGATTTTCCTATCCTCGTTATAGCTTGAATCAAGTTTAGAAGCCGACAGACATCTGCAGAGGAGATGATATTTTCTCACTAATATGCCTTTTACCTAGTCGAGAGTAAGAAATTATTATGTGCAGTTGTACCTTGTGGCTCCTCTTTCCATATCGCCGTAGTCTTTCTTCTTGAGTTCATCAAGGTTGCCGATAAGAGCCTTAAAAGCACTGAGAAATGCATTGCAAAACAAGTTATTTCCGTTAGTATCTTGGAGGGGTAGGGCGGCATTGGTTCAAAACAAGTTCACGAGAAATAGTTTCGTATTCCTTATTTTAACGCTACCACTTAAAAACGTCAGCTAGATAGTTTTACGGTAAAAATTGATTTCTTGTTAAACTAAGAGCTAAAGGTCTGCAAATAGGCCACTGGGTTTCTCCTGCCAGATGACGTATTTAAACTATGTTTTGTTGTATTTAGATTATTCGTTCCTGACTATCTGAGTTGTGTGCCTCTAAACTAGCTTGAGTCTCTGGCTAGGTGCACTTTCATTAAAAACAAAGATTTACGTCGTTTTACTTCTACAGTAGTCCGTGTACCGATGATTATGAAATTTATTCTTATAGGAGATCAAAGGAGTTGGGCACATGAAAAGAGGCTTTAAAAAGTCAAGACTTCACCAACAAGTAAGTAGTGGTAGTGGTGGCGGTGGAAGCAATGTAAAAGTTTCGGTATTAAACTCACGTTCGTTCGATAACCAAGCATTCCACGCCCGGTGTCTCAGCAATCACATTTGCTGTTCTGCGATCTTCACTGAAGAAAGAGCAAACAAAAATCATTTAAGGCTACAGGTGTAAACTGTAAAACAAAACAAAAACAAAACTATAATAATCTTACAACTGATTTCAGAAAACGATTGGAGTGAAGTGAGACCCAGACGACTGAAATTCCAGTTTTAACCTTTACTGGCACCCCAGGCAATCGTAAGAGAAGTGATCAAAAGAAACAGAGCTGAACAAATGAGAGATTGATGATAATATGATGATGATGATGATGATGATCAGTAGTGATAAGCATGGTGATGGTAGGTGACGTTAATGTTGATGCTGATGCTGATGATGACGATGATGCTGATTATGACGATGACATCATAACGATGACGATGATGATGATGACGATGATGATGATGCTGATGCTCATGACGGTAAGAAGGGAGGAAGACGTTGGAGGGTGGTACCTTAAGAGAGCTTTTTCGCCAAAGTAATCTCCTCTCTGGAGTCTTCTAATCTCCCGAGGCTCATCAAATCCCGCCACTCTTTGAGTGACGATCACCTAAGCGGAAAACATGATACACACATGATAGAAACAAGCAACAGACTGCGCCATATACAACATGCAACGATGTTGGGAAGTGTGAAGGAGCTTCCCTTTTATAAAACCCTTATGCTGGGAAGATGACGGTTATTGGTTTTCCCCTTTTTGTTTTCTTTTGTGGTTCGTAAGAAATACAGCTGCGCGAAAACTGAACCAGAAAACGATGGAAGTGGGTGAGAGGGGAGAAGGCTGTGCTGAGCCCTCAAAAGGGAGATAGAGGAGGCTGGTGGATACCAGGGGTCACTTCTACAACAAAATGTAACCCATGCGTTGTTTAATCAAACCGATCCGGTTCAACAGCATTTTCAGGTTGGTGATCCTTAAAAGACTTTCATTTTTAGCAAAACAGTTAAAAAGGGGCTTCTCTATTTTTAATATAACGGTTCTATTTTATCACAAATTACCATCGTTCCTTCCAAAGGAAATCGATTCTTGTCACAATTTGCTAATATGTGTCTCAAGCCCCTGAAGCCGACAGGTCAACTACCATCTCCATACGCTTGCTCCAAGGGTGATTTGCGTTGTCTATAAACAAAGCATTTTTATTGCGGGTTTGGGGGGAGGGGAAGGGGGTTCTGGAAAGGTTTCCTTCGGGATTCACTACACCGGGAACTAATCCCTTGCAAAAAATTTCGTGCAAATCAAATCAAAAACAATAAATTATTATAGCTTTCCACGTGAAGTCACAGGTTCCCTTTCTATTTTCTCCCGACAGAAGCATGGTTGTAGTATATAACAGTTACACACTTATAGAACATACCGATCCTCTATTGATGATATAGAATGTGTCCCCCCTTTCTCCCTCGCGTATAATGAAGTCATCGCCATGGTAATAATCCTAAAATCGCGAATAAAAGGAAACGATCACATATACTTAGCAATCAGACTCCAGTCAGCATCAGCCTTCTGCTACATACAATTATGACCAACAGGGAACCTTTAGTCTAAAAGTGCCTAGAAATCTAATTACCTTATTCTCACTTAACTTCGCGACTATTTAATGTCGCGATTTTCACGATTGGAGAAAAATCCCGAAATTTAACACTCGCTAAATCTAAAAATCCCTAAAAATCCCCATTAAATTGCTAAAATTCCCCAGAATCGCGAAACTAAATAATCGCGAAATATGGCTCATGATTTTGAATTCGCGAAATTTAATACTCGCGAATTAACTGAGAATAAGGTATAACTACACCAGTCAGGCTGAGTAATCGTGGGTTATTACCTCTTCCATAACGTCGGCAAGCTTGGCTAATTCTTGTTCGGATAAGTTTTTTAAAAGAGGAACACTGAAACATGAAGGGCATGATGTAGAATTAGAAAAAAATCTATGCGGTGGAATACGGGCAACGCATCACTTGTAAATGCAACAGTTTAGCGTAAGCTTTTGTTAGTTTCTTTAACAAACTACCAAAAAGCCAAACCGAAACTTCGTTTTTATAGTTTATTTTAAAAATTCAATAACTAAAATGGGGTGTTTTTTTTTTGTAGCAATGGCTGCTCTTCGTAGTTCTGTTCAGTATGATTTCAATCTTTTAGGAAAGCCACTGATTGTAGCATCGAAAATAAAAAGAATATAAAGAAAGTGCCTCGGTAGATTGATGGAGAGTTTGTACTGCGCCGCAAAAATTATGAGGGAAACGACAAGATCAAATATAAAGGTAAAGCGCCTATTTTTTACCTTCGTAGTTCGAAATCTTCTAACTCACTGAAAAATATGCGCCCTCATAGAACACTCACCGATACGAGCAATTTTCTTCGAAGGTTTTGTTTCGTTTTAAGCTAATCGTACAGCTTCTCTATGATCTAGGTTCCATTGGAATGGAAAGCATTCATGTATTTTAGAAATATATATGACGGGTAATAGAGAAAAGCGAGAAGTAGCTTTAATACTCTTCACATTTGTTGAACACTTATCACGTTACGCCCGCCCTTTAGTGTCGATAACGCGCGCGAGTATCGAAGGAGAAAAGGAATAAATACAGGGAAATGTTTGTTGGATAAGTCGGTTTTTGTGACACGAAGAATCCTCGGAAAACAAAATTTGACTTTGTAGATAATCATGGAATGACTGCCATAGATTTAGCCAAGCCTAAAAGCGGAGCTCTTGTTTACATTCTAACCCATTCGCTGGAATCAATATACTTAAAAACAGTATGGCTCAGTCAATCACTAACCATGTCCACCCCCCCCCCCACCACCACAGAGGCATTTGTAATACTCATCATTGATAAAAGTAGCCTGGGAATGGTAGCTTCCTATGAAGATGTCCTTAGTTTGGCTACCTTTTAAGGAATGCAATATGTTCGGCTTGTCTCATCATTCCCGTCCTCATCATGATCATCTGAAACACGCTACGATCGATAATCCATAGCTTGGCACTGTCCATGGCTACGGAAAAGAAATAGAAGGCACATTACAAAAACGGTCGAACCTTCAATAAGCAACCACCCAAAATGCGTATAGTTAGTGGTCGCTTACGGGAGGAGGTCATTTACTCGGCTGTTTTCTGAGGCTAAATTATGTGTAGTTTCGTATTCTTACTAAAAGTTCTTCGCATACTCTTAGTAGCCTAGTTCACACTCTGAGCATAGAGATTGCACCTTGAATCAAGCGGTCGCTTAAAACCAATGGAAACTAAGAAATCATCAGCCCAAAAAGTGATCGAGGTTGCTTACGAGGTGGACGTTGATAAAAGGTTCTAACTATTCTAACTAGAGGCTTTGGGAAAATTTCAGTTTTTTGGATCGGTGATGGGTCATGGGAGATGCACGCTTACGAGAGCTGGTCGTTGACGACAGGTTCTAAGAAGAGGCGTTGATAAAATTTCAGTGTTCTGGATCAGTGATCGTTCATGGCCATGGACGCTTACGAGAGATGGTCGTTGACAAAAGATTCTAACTAGAGGCTTTGGAAAAATTTCAGTGTTCTGGGTCAGTGATCTTTCATGGGAAATGGACGCTTACGAGAGGTATTCGTTGACGAAAGTTTCTCACTAAAGGCTTTAGGAACATTTTCAGTGTTCTTGATTGGTGATCGTTCATGGGAGATGGAGGCTTACGAGAGGTGGTCCTTGGCGAAAGATTCTAACTAGAGGCTTTGGGAAAATTTCAGTGTTCTGGATCGGTGATGGTCGTTGAAGAAAGTTTCTAACTAGAGGCTTTCTGGACCTCGTAGTGGAGCTTGCTCTGTGAGTGATAGGCCTCATGGCGAAGTTTATGAATAAATAAATAACCAAATAAATAACATTTCAGTGTTCTGGATCAGTGATCGATCATGGGAGATGGTCCCTTACGAAAGGTGGTTGCACATGGAGGTTCGTCTGTTATTTTACATATTTAACTCTTGTTAGGCCAAAATATCATATTGACTGGAAATGACTAACTCCTAAATTACCTTGAAGAACAGTGAGAAAGTTCACAGTCAAATGAGTGAGTTTGTTCACATGCGTCCCGGCCACTCAGTTTGCGTTGAACGGACGAAATTCTTCGTTTAAATTTACCGCAGCACCGCATCATCTTTTCAAAGTAACCTCTTTTTACATGACAGCTGTCATCATGAAAGGGTTCACATAGCAGGTGAGCCCCAAGGCTGTTCTGGGCAAATCAGTTGAGCTTACATGCACATGAATTAATGAAATATGACTTAAGTCAGACGCAATACAAATGGCTAATACGGATAGCAAATACCTTTGACAGTTGCAGTTCGTTTACAGTTGTACAAAATGGCCAACTCCCCAAACACAGTTCCGCCGTTCATTTCACCTAAAACTTCTTCATCTTTTGTGACTTCAAGACGGCCCTCTAAAAAGAACGCTAATCAAGTCAATATTCTAAACCGAACCAATATCACAGGTGTCCCTGTTCTTAGGGCCCTATCATTATTCATTCCGTTTCTGATTGGATTAAAACCCCCAGCTAATTCCTCATAACCAACCGGAGTTGCCCAAACTTGAACGAGGATGCGAGCAATATACCAGCGATTCAATGGTTTATTGACATGTATACGAGGTTGAACGATGGTATATTTGCCTGGAGCCGAGGCTGTAAGGGCAATAGACCATCGATCAAAAAATGGTGTTCGCAGCTATCCGAAAACGAAGAAGATGAATTTCTGACTTAAGCTGAACGGAAGAGATGCAAGAATAAGCAAAACATATGGCTCGATGGATGTTATCTACTTTTTAGGAATCTGCAAGAAAAAAGGTCTGTTTATATCCTGAAACCGCTTCGTAGAAAGTCTAAGAGGAGTTAAGCTTTTGAGAACTTAGAAATATTTTGAACGAATAATAAAACAGTTATTGAATTCGGCTTTCGTATGATGTGAATAATTATTATCCGTCCACCTCGGCCTTCACCTCGGTGGATAACAGTCTCCTCGATCTGCATAATTCTTCACATCCTACTCAACCGATCATTCAATACTGAATTGCAAACTATACATAGAAGGTTTTTCCGGGCGACAAAAGGAGCCCGCAGTCCTAATCTCCTCTCTTTTTCATTGCTTCTCCTCAAATGATGTCATTCAGAGTGAAAACAGGTAATAAACGAAATTTAAGTTTTGTTAAAATGAGCTTGGATCCTGAATTACTTGTCCAACTGTGTGATTTCAGTGTTCCACCATTATCGCCCAGTCAACTGTTGTGACTTGAAAATGTGAAATTCTACATACTATTTAATTTCACTGTCTTTTCGCCGACGTTACGACGGTTTAACGTGTAAATACAGTGCTGTGGGGACATGTACCAGTGAAAGTTAAAGTCGTTGAAAATATCGTCGCCGAAAATATACTATGTAACTCAAACATGATCTCGTGTTAACAACGTTTCGGAGCGTTGGAAATCCATAAATTTTAAGAAAAGTCTAGTGTAAAAACCATAATAAATCAGTACAAAACGTTATTACTTATTAAAAATCTTTTAGCAAGATAAAGGACTCAGATGGATCTTACCTGCAATGACATACAAAGCGTGGCCAATGTCTCCTTCTTGGACAATAATTTCGGACTTGTTATAAGTCTTGGGATACATACAGTCAACTACCTCACGCACTTGGGCCGACTCCAAGTTTTTGAGAAAGTCATTCTCGTTGATGGCATCCTTTATAAGCTGCTTAGATCTGTGAAACAAACGACACAAAATTCAGAATTTGTCGACGGGTTTTTACTTCTTCGGACTTTCTTTATGTGATGTGGAATAATTGTTAAGTATACTGATAGACACAGTCAAACAATACAGAGAGTTTTCCAAGGGGCGTGCCCAATGCTATTTGCTAGGTGAGGTTGTCAATTTGTCCACTATTTAACTTTTCTACGTTACTGCTCCAAATTTCGTGTCGCACATTAACGCAGTGAATCTCTTGTTATTATTGACATGAGGTGTTCATATGCTACACAGAAGTATCGGGAAAGAGAAAAAAAAGTACGAGCAAAATAGCGTTATATTGAGGAGAGTATGAGTTGAGATTAAGTCTTTTTGCTTTTTTATATTGTCCAATGGCCATGCATGTGTCCCCTCTGTTTTTCTTGCACTCAAGTGCAAAGATTGTAACTTTATTTTTAAGCACCGGTAGAATAATACAATAAAACCACCAGACACACATAAAAGAGCTCGTGAAAAAAAAATAATATGATAAAATATTGAAATTCATATGGGTAACTACAAGCACAAGTATGGGAAGAGTTTGTTTTTCCATTTTTTGTGTCCGTTTAGCTTCTCAAAGAGTGTAGTTGGGTATTAGGTTCACGCAATTTAGTGGTTCTACAGGGATGCGCAAACCCCCCTGAAGATTAGTATTCTGCAAAAAACAAACTATGTGGTTTAATGGTGTTGAAGTAGCGCAAGAGACGAGTGCACCCCCTCCTAAAAAAAATCCTGGATCCGCCCATGGTAAGCACATTACTGAGATTATCGAAATTACGGAAAGGAGCCTTTTCAAAAATTACGCTGTATTTAACAAAAAAACACGTCATTAAATGGAGATAGTAATCACAGACTATTTAATACAGCCTATATCTCTGTTTTTACCTTAATTTGCAAATTCCGCATTAGTGATTTTACGGCCGTGAAACACGACGACTGTCTGTATTTTTTTTTCTTTTCTCATTTTTTTCTGTTTTATCTCAAAGAACTTTAAACTTTCAGTGACTCGACAATGCATACTTGAGGTGATTATTCAAAAGGTCATATGCCTTATTGTCTAAATGAAAGCGTCAATATCAAAATAAACTCGATCTCACTGGACAACGACTCAAAACATGCGAAAGGAAGTGCTGCTGTTCCAGTACCAAAACTTCCAGTCTATAAATTCACCACCACTGAACGTCGAGCATTCATGACAACCCCCAAATAAAGAAACATTTTTTTGCCACTTGCCTTTTCAAACTGTCTCTAGATCTGAATTATTTTTTTTAGCATTGTTCACATAAATTATATTCAGATGTACTTTATATCACATTAAGTACATAGTTTGGTCGCTAAGGCAGCTAAAAGAGTAATGGAACACTGATGCCTTGTCGGTTTATTAAATTGCAAGAACGTTATGGAGCTGGACGTTAAATTCTGAATAGGTCATTCTATATTTACTGCTTAAAATTCAAAAGGACCAATTCACGGCCTACAACCAAGAACCAAAGGGGACAGGATTTGAAAAAATAATTGGTTTTTGCAAAACGGAGCGAATTAACCTGACAATCAGCTTTTTAACAGTTCGAATGGATTTTAGATAGCACTCTTCACGAGACTTGAGGAATAATTTTCATTCACTTAACTGATAATTAAACAGTTTTACCGTGAGCTTAGATATCACTATTCCTGGCAGGACATTATTTCTCATTCAATTTCAGGTACAAAGAAGTGAGAAAAACAAACATTCTAAACAAATATATTACTCCGGACGATTGATGACTTTCAGCTCACTGACAATCTGTTGAAAATATTCATAAACGGTACTAGCATACCTGAAGTCTTTTGGGTGGCGGTCCAGTTCCTTTTTTGTGTCCTCTTGCACTTTCGAACTGCTCTCCCCGCTGACAGCCATTCGTTTTTCCTTTCTGCTTGTTCTCTCTTTGGCGTGTCTGAGCCCCCCATCCTCTTGAATGGTAGACAAAACATTAGCCTTGGAAGCAGTTTGTTGCACTACGCATTTCAACTCGTGAATTTCTTTCCTCAGTTTGGCCAACTCGGCGTCTTTTTCTTCAATAATACGTTGTCGATGTTGTAATTCGGCGTCTTTTCGCTGCAGAAAATCATCTTTCTCCTTCAGTTCGCGTTTGAGTTGAGTTGTACTAACCTTTAAGCTCGCCTGGTGTTGTAGTTTACCGTTTTGCTCGCTGCTTTGATACGAATTGTTCAAACTCGCTCCGCTCCCCATTATTGAACGTGCAATTCCTTCACCGATCTGTCCGTTCAACCCAAAGAATCTCCCCGACCGAATTGTCGGTGCGTTTGAGCTCGCCTTTCGGCTTCATCTTGTAACCTTTTCGATCCTGTGCACCAATAAATTCCTTCTTGTTGTCATGTAAATAAAGAATTCACGTAAGTGAAAAGCAGATTGACAGACGCAGAAGAAACTGGTACTTATCTCCTGATTAATAATAATATAAACTGTTATTCAAACTGATTTATTATACTTGTCTAGCCAATTACAGGTTATATGAATAGCGTTTTTTTTACCATTAGTTGCAAAGATCATCGAAATTGTCGGACTGACAAACAAACGCTCGAATCTCGATTTGACAGCATTATTACCTTAAGACGACAAAAAAAGCGATTTTTTTTCACTTTACTTTCTTTAAGACCTAGCCTGTTCCTAGCCTGTTCCAGGCTCCGAGATAGTCGGGTCCGCGAAATTAACGCCCCCTTTTCCCTGATCACGCGCTCATATTTTCGCGTGCCTTTCACTTACGCGTCATGCCCACTATCTGAGAGTCTGGAACAGAGGCTAGTTAAGACCAAACTTTGTGCATGTGAACCTGAGAAAACTGTTTTCTAAGGTTATGTGCATGTTTGTTAGTAGGAGTTAATCTACAGAAGGCGAGTAAGCTGGACTAAAATGAGCAAACACTGCCTTCTCCGCAGGAAGAGTGAGGAAATGTTTTAAGACATATCTTTTTAAGAAAGCTAATTTTAACAAACATATTTATTAGGTAGTAATAGGTAGATAGTAATTTCGATTACGTACCTTATCACTCTTTTAACTGTATAGAACTTTCTATGTAATTTTAGGTCTTAACCATTTAAGTCATATAGTCTATATGCGTGTGTGTAAACATCATTGACTGTAATTTTATTTCATTTTTTACTAATTTTATACTTTTATATAGTGTTTTATTTTAGAAATTGAATATTAAGTGCATTTGAAAACTTTGAGTTGAATTTTCGCTGTAGAAGTAAACAAAATGTTATTTATTATAAATAAATGGATTTAACTAAAATATCATATAAGTGAGCGATCGCCAGCGAGTAGGGCATGGCAGGAACATACAAACATATCGATTTTAAAACAAATTATTATTCATTTAAAATATTTCACCGTCTCTGATTGGCTTCAATTCTTCGGAGAAATTTTCCTTACTCAATAAAAGTGAATTAACCAAAACAACAAAAACAACTAGCCCAATGATCGAACCCACATTGGACGGTAGCCCACTCAGTGGCTGACCCGATCAGCCGATCAGCATAGAATCTAGTCAAGTTGCTACAAGTCGACCTCTCATTAGTTCTTAAAAGTGAGCGGAGCGACATTCAATCCATGAGGATCGAGCGCCGACGAAGTCTCCAGGTGAAATAGAAATCACTGTCCTATTGGTCAATTGTCATGACGTCACCAGTGAATTTCGCGCCAAACAGGGATGAAAAGTCTTTTAAAATGACATAACCAACCAGGAAAAAAAAAAGAACTTTTAGAAAGTCTACATAGAATCCATAGCAACGCCATATCTCGCTAGATCAGTATCCTTTTTTCCCCTGGAGTGGGGTCAGTTTTACCTCTGTGGTGATTGAATACTTGATCAGCTTAAGCAATGGATTCAGAATGAAAGGATTACTGTGAAAATACCAAAATTTTGGTAATGTGCGCCACTTGTGTCACAGTCGAACACAAGAACAGCCGTTAATGTTTTAATTGACTACACACGCTGCACTTCCAAAGTGAAAGCTTCCCTTTCCTTGAAATAAATCCACGATAGAAACCAAATCGCGGAAAACAAAGTCCAACAAACTGGTAACCGGGAAAAAGAATCTTCTTCTCTTAAATGACTGAAATTTATAATAAGCGAGCAAGGGAGATCAGGATCAGAGTTAAGATTAGTTTCAATATTGTAACTAGAAATTTACTGACGCGGTTTGACTTACTTCAGTGTTATATTTTTGGTCGATTAAAAGACCTTATTTAGTTATATCAAAAAAATGCTTTTGTCCATGTTAATGCAAGGCAGCTCTAACTTGATTTTAGACTGATCTTCGAGATCATCAGAAGTGAATTTCAGCGATTACAGATTGACAAACAAGCAACTTTTTTCAATGAAAGCGTTTATTGTCAAACACATTACACATTAATGTAACTTACTCTCCGGAGTAACAAAATAAAACATCAATTAAAATTTATTACAATTTAGAAATTATTAGAGGCAAAGACATTCACTTTAAGCGATTTGGACACACACAAAAAAACCTTCATAAAAACAACCCTGGTTGGGTAACAATGGGGGCAAGCTTAGTTAGCCTGCGTAGCATGGCGGTTTTGGTTGAGCGCGCTAAGTAATAAAGGCGGGCGAGGGCAAAGCAACCGCGAGGAGATTGGGGCGGGAGCAACTTGTTTTTATTTTTCTCGCGACTTCGGCGCTCGTTCTCGCGCGCTTTGCGCGCGAATTTCGCGGCCCGCGGCTTCGCAGTGCGCCCGGCTCGACCAAACCGCCATGCTACGCAGGCTCGCTTAGTTTCATGTGCCATTTTCCATACGAAAAATAAGATTCTCGGAGAATTGAAAACCACTAGGACGATTATATCCTGAGTAGTCACCAAACGCGCAACTTTTCCTGTTGCTTAAGAAAAACAGATTAATCTGATTTAAGGGGTCGATTACGGCATTAGATAAAGCAAACGGTGGGCGCCATTGACCCAATATTAACACGAGGGGGTGATAGGGCATCCTCTCCCATTTAAAACCAGGGGAGCCGTTTTCATGATACATCACCTGTTTTTTGTAAAACAAAAAATATGTACACCTTGCCTATTTGGTGCCTTTGAGCACTTCTTTCTACCACATTATTTCTAAAAGCTTATTTAAAGGCCTAAAAGAAGAAGCTAGCTAAATTATTTCTGGGTTTTAACATCTCCCGTGAACATCCCGTCGCAAATAAATAAAGTCGCCCCCCATGGGTCCTCAAGGAAAGGCCTTTTCAACCTCGTTCCCGCGGTCCCAGCCTTCTCCTAGTCGTTCCCCAGAACATTCTCTCTGTGCGATGTCTAGTTGTGTCGCTACAATTTTATCAAAGTACAAAACTAGGATCGCGGACGATTTACATATTATTTTATTCTAAAAGGGAATTAAGCTGAATAAAATTTTTTATCCTTGCCTGTGCGTCATATATTCGTGCAAGGAATTAATTAAGCTGAACTATAACGAGCTTTTAATACTTTTATTGCGAATCGACTTTTCATCGACTTGGCCTCGGCGTTCAGAATTGTTCAGAAACAACTTAACTGACGTGTAGCGAAACGGTTTGGTATCAAAATAAAAAGGTTTCATATCAGTAGTATCCTGTCTGATTAAGGCCTGTTTCGCTTCGTTCACCGTCTTACTGAGCTCACTTAACATGCAAGGCCTACAGGTCTAAAAGTATTCAATACGAGTTTTGGAGCTTTCCTAAAAATAGTCTTATTATATACCGTAAAACTCCGTACCAAAGAAACTGCAGATGTAGAATCTCCAGGCTGACATTTGGCCAAACAAACAGCATGTATCAAGGAACCAAACTCAAAATTCTGCCATAGAATCATTTTAAGCCGTTTGCAGAAATAAAATCGGCAGTTATGTGCGTGTTTTCACTGTATTACAAGTCCACAAGCTGAACTACGAGAAATCATTAATATTGCATCTTGACGTAACCGTAAAGCCAAGACTTGTGCATTGAAGACTAATATTAGGAGTCAATTTTAATGTGCTTGTACTCATCTTCGCCATCTGATTCACTGTATCGTCCATTCACCATGCAGTTCAAAAGGGGACCAATCTGTTAAATCAAATAGATACGATCACTTTAGTTCCAAATACAACTAGGCTAAACTTAAATAATACATATACGAGTAGTAAAAAACAAGATTTAATCCATTCGCCCATGGAAATTTTCCCGAAAAATGCTTTTTGAAGCGACTCTTGCCGAGACGTTTTCTGGTCACTATTTGGCCAAAAAGAAACGGACATGCCAAAGACGAGGTGCGGGATTTAGAAGCGACACTGCCCCGGGACGTTTACAAGGCTTCGTAAAGGTATGGGGAAAGGTTCCACGAAGAACCTATTTGAGACGAAGCAAATGAACGGGTAGGTAGTTGAACAAGATTTTCGTTGGCCTTTTTTTGGTTAACTTGGATGTTTTTTTTATTCCTTGTGTTTTGTTGTTTTTTCTTTGCGTTTTTCTCCAGCCTGTTCAATTGTTCTTATTTGGGTATATGGTTCGAAAGATCTCTTTCCCCTCCGCAAAACAGATGTCAAAGTTGTCAATACCCATTAAAACTGATGACATCACAAGTGGTAAATGGGATGAAGATCTGCACGGGCGGTTTTCGGACATTTCAGGGAAACATGTAAATTGACCACTCCAGAAAATACCATAACACACCATGATACTCTTTGTTGGTCACTTCAAAATTTTCATAAGCATTGTTTTCAGTTTCTTTTGCGGCCATTTTAATTCCAAGAGAAACTGAAGACAATGCTTATGAAAAATTTTGGAGTGACTAACAAAGAGTATAATGGTATGTTATGGTATTTTCTGGAGTGGTCAATGGGTTAAATCCCAACGAGCGACTGATGGCCAACTGTCATCATGCTGTCCACTCGACCAATTGTAGGCATTTGAATATCTTCAAGAAGAGAGCATTTTCACACTCGCCCCACACCCCCACCCCCACCCCCTTCCCCCTTCCAACGCAACCCGCCCACTAGGGAAGCTGCTGATCCGGGAGTTGTTCTCTACAGTGCTTGTCAAAATCTCAGTGATGTCCCTTTGCTCCCTTGATGCTTTCATTTCCTCGTTTATATTCAGTCTGAAAAAGCATAAAACACACCCTTCCAAAAAATGGAATTGCACCCATCAGGCTTTCCAATATTCTGATTCCAAAATTTACCTCGCGATGATCGCCTAGTGCTTCTCCCAACATTCTTTCAATGTTCCTCATGACTGCTACCTTCTGTTGTGCCGTCAGGGGGTGGGTGATTTGGCTTGGAGTGGGGCCAGCCTGTAACAAGAGAATATCCATTCTCCATTCAGTGTTATGAACAAAACAAAAGATAAAATATAAGCAGGAGAAATGTATGGGTATTTATCGTAAGATCTGTATATATAAAAGTCGATAAATACTCATTTATTCAGCTGAGTAAGATTTCGAGTCAAAAGTTAATTTTACTCTTCGATTAATTAATCAACCCAGTTGATTTTTACTGTGCTTTCAGAAAGTACACCACTGTACAACACTACCTAATGATTTGTAAAAACTTAAAAATGAATAAAGAGTACAATGTTTCCTGACATTTCAGGCTCAGTCCTTAATCAGTGGAAATCAAGTTATGTTTTAGAGTAGTGAATTCAATAGGTAAAAAGGATATCGAAGATCAAGTGCAGTTTATTGCACTGCCGGGGCACATTAATGTTATATGTCACCAATGGATAGAATCCCGTGAAATTTGGAACAACTTTGCCATTAGCTAAGTATGGGTAAAATGCTACAATGTGTACTTTAGTAGTGGATGCTATAGACTGAAATCTAGAGAATTTTGTTTGATGATTATGATTATGATTATGATTATACAAACCTTGTACCAGAAGTTCACAGATGTTGTTATTCCTCCATTTATTGTTGATTCCACGTGGTGCCACCTAGAGTGAAAAATCAAATCGTCATTTTGTGTTTTTGTGCATTGGTATTTAGACAGATTAAGCAAAGACAACTCATCAGCACTAATGATGGCAAATTGAGCATTGGGAGACACTTCAGACCTTTTTGCGCACTTTCAGAAATTCACAATCTCCTTTGACGTTGCATTTGCTACATGCAAGTCCGATGAATCTTAAAACAGCGTGATGAACATGATTTAACACCCAAGCTCAGGGTCCTTTAACAACATTTCCTAAAAAAAGCTCATTGGTGTATAAATTGAATTGTTTTGGCTATCTCATTAAAACCAAAAATATACTGGCTGGAAACTTGTTTTAAGAAAATTTACATGTACTCTGATTAACAGCATGGATACCTCCTTTATAGAGCTAGACAGCAAACCGGTCGGTTTTTTTCTCAAAATCGGTTTAGTGTGGCATAATAGTCTCATGCACGCCTCGCCCATGAGCCTCCGTTTTCAGCCTTGCTCCAGTCCTTTTATCTGACTGTTCACGCGTACTCAAATACACAAAAATAGACTATTTTGCAGTCTATCATAGAGCGTTCTTGTTTACCAGTCAAAGTGTAGTAACCACATGTACTAAATGCTTGAATAATTGAATGATTACCACCTAGTTTCAATATAACTCATACGTTGATGAGGAAATGAGTCATGACAGAGTTGGGTGTTGAAAACAATCAGCCTAGCAACAAATTTTAGAGGCCAGAGGACTTCGAAAACCATCTGAAGTGAAAGTACATGTCTGCACCAATTGTACACAGATAAACATGCACTGAAACGATATGCTTTCAGTTTTCCTGTCTAATCTTATTAATAGCTTTTGTTCATTTGCAACATTTACGACACTTTGGTAAGTGACCGCTTAATAGAGGGCGACCACTTAATACAGGTTTGACTGTAAAGGAGTGAGTTTGTAAAGTAACTGAGGAAAGGAAACATAGTACTGTACTGCATGCCTCACCAATACATTGGTAGGTAAAGAACGTCTCCTGGCCCGACTATTGCTTGAAATCCTTTCACCTCTTTGAACTTGGGAAACCTTGCATAGTCTGGGTTATCAAAATCAACCTTTTGAATTGAAATGTGATGCAACTTTGTTAAAAACAGTATAGCAAATATAAAAGAAATACATGTATGACAGTGTATTACATTTCACGGGAGGTGGGGGATGGAATCTTGCTTGCTGGACATAGACATCAGTATGACCAGTGATTTTGTTTCCTTAGTCTGCGTCCTGCGTCCCTGACTCAAGAAAATCCTCAAAGATGCAAAATAATAATTCATGGCATGCATCCCGTAGGACACAAAGATTGATCAATGGATCTGAACATGTGTATTTGTAGAAATATCCTGTTCATGTAATTTCTGTGGCAGTCATTGTGGCTGCTGTTTAACGATGCATTATTATTTCTTTTTGCCTTTGTTGTGCTTTAAGATAGAAGGACTTTATTTTAATTTCAGTAGACTTAAATAAAGAGAGTTGGAGTCTGTCTTCAGATTAACTGTCTGGTTTATACATAAAGGCAGAAGCATTTTCAATTTTGGACTCAATTTTTTTTTTCTTTTTTTAACTGGCACTCATCGCTTCTGAACTGGGAGTCATAATAAAATTATGTCCACAAGATCAGTCCTAGGACTCGCCATAACTATTTGTAACAAAATCACTGTTTGACCCTTTTTTTCCTCCTTATTTGTTGTAGAACAAAGCTTGTATCTTTCAAAAAGAAACCTCAATTGAGTGAGCATTAGCAAAGTCCTAATGCTGTCCACTTACACTGTACACTGTCCAGCCACCCTTAAAAGCCCCATTTACATCCACATACAGCTGTACACATTTGAGGGAATTTGACTAAGATCAAAGCATTTTCCATGATGATCACTATAATTTCTCATAACCTTTTCTCTTCCCAGTTGTTGATTACAGTGTATGTACAGCTTTTTTAGAGTCAAATAGATTCCACACTTCACGCTCCTTTAGGCTATATTTCCCTCCTGGTTTTCTTTGCTTAGAGAGGGGCTGAAGAATACACTTGGCATACCCCATTTAAGGCATGGTTGCTTAAATAGCTTAAATAAAAAAATAATGAATTGTCCTGATATAGAAAGCTTCTCGGCATTTGTGACTTCAAAAATGTGTTTCTCAGCAGTTTTTTCAATTTTTTTGTGTCAAAATGAACTTATTTTGTTGTAGTCTCCAGCATTCAAGGCATTTTAACAAAATTCAAGCACTGCTTCTACAAATTCAAGGAGTTTTCAAGGACCTACGTGTAGCAGTTTTTCAAGTAGTCCAGGCCCATGCAAAACATGCTTTATGTTATGTACACATAGTGTATTCACGTAGATAGTATGACTTTTGAAAGAAACAGTACTCAGGTAACTGCCCTGTAACATCATATGCTTTTTTTTTTTCAAAACAACATCACATGGTTTACAATGGGAAAACAAAACATACAAGCTAGGAGGATTTATTGTGCAAAATCGTACTACCATATAATATCAAAAGACCTGCTAACCTTACCTGACTTTGCCTATCACACGGATGGTACAGTGGAAATGGATAAAGACATTTGAACTGATCAGGATGAAACAAAATTATTCTCTTGTACCCTGACACCTGACAAAAAAAGTTCTGCTGTTCGTCATAATGAACTGGAGTGATATTTCCAGGTAAGCCAATGAGAAGGAGATTTGAAGTAAGTGTTCCCCATTTCATTTTCCTCTGTATTGCTGTCAGCCAGTTCCACTTAAAGCCAAGGAAGTCTTTAACTATATTTTTTCCTACAGAGTCATTGAGCATTTGTTGCAGGTATATTCTGGTGTCAGAAGATCTAAAGTTAGCAATTCTTTCAAAAAACTCCTCAAATTTCATCTCATGTCTTTCTGTAGGTGGTACAAAGTTGGGCCAATCCTTGGCTCTTTTGTCGTCAAAATACATGAACTTAGAAGTCTTTGAGCTGTAGACTGAAAAATTCCCTGGACCAATGTTTTCCCTGAGATAGTTTAAGTCCCACTTAAGAGCAGTTGCAATAATGTCAGAATTTGTTAACACAACAGGTTCCTAAGAAAAAGTGGAAAGCATAAGATTAGAAAAATTGTTTTTACTAGTCTTATAGTACAATAACAATTTTAATCATAACTATAACAAAATTGTCAAATCTGATTGGCTCTCAACTGCCCTGATTTCAGTCTTAATTGGACAGTTTAATAGGACAGTACGCGTCATGCCTAAGTAATCGGACAGTACGCGCCATCACGCGCGCGCTTAAATGGCTTTTGTTTCACTGCTAGCAAAACAAAATTTCGAATTTCTTGTGTTTTGGTTTAACAAATAGCCTATTGTATCACAAATTTTGTTAAAGTTATGATTAACTGGTAACAGAACTTTGTGTCGTCCAATTCAGTCTGTAATCATACTCGTGATTAAACAAATCGGACTCCCGCTACGCGGTCGTCCGATTTTGTTAATCACTCGTATGATTACAGACCGAATTGGACTCCACTCAGTCCTGTTACCATTACTTATCCTCCATGTACCAAAGCAATAAATTGTGAGTCTCACGGACCCAGTTTCTCAAACAGCGATCCATTTTGAGTCAAAATAACTTGGTCTCTAAACAAAAGGTGACAGACTAATATTTATATATCAGCTTGAGTTATTGCTTTTAGGAGAGAATTTTCTGCTTTAAATTTAATTTAATCCAAGGTTAAAGTTAACATCCAAAACCTGCTGACTGACACAGCGGTCTACTTCATTGTTAATGCAGCCAATTTTGCACTTCATATTATTTGCTACTTGCTATTCAGCTTCATTTATTTAACCAGTTATCATGTCTCCCAATTGAAAGCAATTTATATCAAACTGTAAAACAAAAAAAAATCAAAAACAAAAATGAACTGAACTGATTGTAGAGATAAGATAATATTATGGGAGTTTCCCATAATAAGTGAGATCGCTCCTGTTCAGTAATTTAGGAAAGACGAAGAAAAGTACTTGCAAGAGGAATGGGCACTGTTTTTGTTTAGATGGTTGATTTATCCGGAACATGGGGCTACTAAATAAATATAAGCTTAAGCTTACATTGTAGCCAACTTCCTTGTTTGACAGTTTATCAAAATTCATGCTACATCAGACCCGGAATTATAAGTAGACCACTAACCTCATTTGCGATCATTGATTCCACTCGCGGATCATCATGGTTGAGCCTTGGGATATCTTCTAGCTGTAAATCATAGTTCCGTACTACATGACCTTTAAAATCTATATACTGATGACTATCCGCGCCATTGACAGCAAGCACGTCCGCCGCAGAGACGACCGCAGAGGGCTCCGCAGAGGCCATTTTGAAATTTTGAGCCAGCAGTCTGTAAACTGTAAACAGGAAGCGTGAAATGATGCGCGGTCACGTCGAATTCAAGTGGAGCCCAGGACTTTTCAACGGTGATGTCACCTATTGATGAATAAAGTACCTCAAATTGCGTACTTTTTGTCTTCGACATCAAGATTTGCTACAAGATTTATCATTTTACGCCTGGTTTTCATCATTAAATATTTACTACAAGACGCGCCTTGGATAGCTATTCGTCTAATGCAAGAGCCTTATTGCCGACAAAAGCGAAGCAACTCGTAATTTTTGGGAGACATGAGAACTCACTTCTTCCCAACCGTAACGTTTGTTCTGTTCTCATTGGTTTCACTTTGTATAAACGTTAGTGCTAACCAAGGTAGGTTATACATTTTAAGTTTCTTTTTACCTAATATAGTGCATTGGAAAGGGATTCCTTGCTGCATTTGGCTTTTATGTTACCTAGGCACCTAAGTGGTCATTGAAATCAGCTGGCAATATTTGCAGGCTTTTTTGTTGCCCTGAAAACTCGAGAAAGCTCAGCGCTGTAGCATGGCTGGGTATTTCACATGTTCACTGCATTTCACTTTAGTATTTATTTTTTTTTATGTGAATAATAAAACGACGGCTTGGAATCGAGATCTTTATGTTATGTTTTTATTGCCGACTGATTCCCCTTTGCCTTCTTTGTAACTCTAAACTTACATGTACAGCCCAGTATTACTAAAGTCTTGTAGTCATTTAACCTCTTTCAGTGTCATATCCTACCTCCTTGATTCAGAAGTGGAACAACAAGTGGCTTCATTTACCCTGAAATCATTTACTCACCAAAGATTGATCAGGCAATTTTGGCAGAAAATTATAGGTGGTTTTCATGCAATCTCGGGAGACACAAATAACAATGGTGAAATGAACAAATGCTGGTGGACAAACAAAAGGAACTAATGAGCGATCTTTTGTTTACCGTCCACCAGCATGGCGGCGATGACGTAACATGAAAACCACCTATAGCCAAATTTGTTCTATCGTGCTGCGCTTTTGCAAACTTTGAATGGGTTTTCCTGTTCTGTCAATCATTTGATCCAATGAGTCGGGGCGAAGTTAATGCAAATCACAATGCCACACACTCGCTCAGCTTGGCCTGCAAAAACAATACTGAGAATGACTCGAATAGCAAAGGAAATCGTGGGTGGACTTTTTGTCAAGGGCAGGAGGCAGACATTGCTTTATTCTTGCAAGAGACAAGAATAAGAAAGATCAGAAAAATCTTTGAAGAAAACTAGTAGATTATTGCGATCGCAAGCAACGAACCTTGAAACACAGAAACAAAAAATGGGATCGAAATGCATCAATGACAAGTAAACACATGTTTTCTAAGAGGCCCGCTAAGATGATTGACAGTACAGAAAAAAACAAAATTCCTTTGAAGTTTGGACAACGCGTAGCGTAATACAACGAATTTGGCTATAAGCCCACTCGAACGCTTTATAACCTTACTGCACTTTTCAATAACACATGCAGGCTATCTGATATTACGCAATGGTGCGATTTCGCACAATTGACCTTGAATTGCTTCCGATCGCTCAATTTGAGGAAAATGGCATAATTCGTAAAAAAAATTTATACTGAATTCAAGTAAAGTAAACAATGAATTCTAACTTTAATTAAACATTTGAACCCAATCTTAATGTTATTTAAGGTGATTTACCACTAAAGAAAGTCTTGCAAGACATCTGAAACCATCGATCGCAGTATCTGGGCAGCCATTTTGACTTCAGAGACAAGCAGTGTGGTCAGCGGTGTAACGGCATCATGTAATATTAAGCAAGTGTCTTTTTTCTTTTCCGGGTCAAAATAATCGAACAAATTTAACTATTTTGTTTTAAAATAGATGTTTTATTATTCCTTTACATTCAAATTGCCTGTTAAACAACATTAAAGTGGTTTTCCTCCTTTGAAACCTGGTAAGACGATGTAAGTTAGCCCTGAAAAAATCGGATAATTTATTGCATAATAGTCCTATCTTATTGCACAATCTACCCTGAAAATATCGCACAATTTCTGATTTTTTATCGCACCCTGTCAGATGGCCTGCACATGAATTCTGCACAAAGCAAGCTTATAATTATTGTGTTTTTTCGTGATGCAAAAATTACTACAATCACAAGTAACGAACAACAAAACCACAAACTGTATAAAAATTCACCAATCACAAAATAATTTTAAACCATGACCTTTTGAACTTGTTGAAGTAAACCTCTGTTTTCTGAGATTTCTGTTAATATGGTTGATGGTGGCAAAAGATGCAAAATTAATGTTAGTTGGCTTTTGACCTTCAGGGTGTGCATGTTTTTTTAAAAGAGCAGTAAGGATGGCATTTAAACAGCAAGGAATATTCAAAATTGACGTTGGCCACTTTTGGGACTTTAATAAGGGATTAATAGTATGTCATCTTCTCATTTTTGTTTTATGTTTTGGCTGTTTTAATTCAGAGCTGTGTGAATTGCCACCTGTTACTGGCCCTTGCCGTGCTGCATTTCTCAGATGGTATTATAACAGTACTGCGGAAAAGTGTTTAGAATTTACTTATGGAGGATGTATGGGAAATGCAAACAACTTTGACACAGTCATTAACTGCACTAAAACTTGTGCCCCCTCTGTTGTTGCCCGGAAAGGTTTGTGCTAAATAATTGTGTATCTGAATATTAAAATTGTTTATGTACATGTACAGGCTAACATCCCTTCCTCAAAATTGTGAGGTGTTTGTTTATGGGAGGTGTTCATTTAGGGTGTCCAAAAATAAGGAGAAAAACTGCCCTCGGACTATCTCCTATCTGTAAGGGTATTCTCGCCCAAAGCTTCAGTTGCAAGAAACTGAGTAATCAGAAACATACAGTGAATACAGTTCACAGTACAAGAAGAACAACTTTATGCTGAATGCGGGGCAAGATTAAAGAGTTTCTATTTATCAAAGTTACAGTGTACTTTGTATTTGTCCCTCTCTTTTCAAAACCTATCTTAACAAGGCAAAGTATATTATCTACGAAAAACTCTCAAGAGTTTTTAGCGTTGCAGGTTTCCGTTTTGAGGAGAAAAAGCCACCAACTGCAGTACTTCTAAATGTCCATTTTTCAGCTGTACTGAAAATCCTTGTACTTGGTAATTTGTCAGGGTTGTCACTAAGATTTTAAGTTGCCGGGTAAATACAACAAGTAGGCGGGGAATCAAATGGCTAGGGATTTGTTTTGGTTCTATTTTTCTACTATTTTCCAATAAAAGTAGCCGGGGGCCACTCTCTTAGTAGCCGGGGAAAATCCCCAGCCCCCGGCTCTTAATGACAACCCTGATTTATTCAAGGTTTTTAGACTTGACATCACATTCACACGGGAAGTTTGCACTTGGGGGTAAAGATGAAGAAAACATGACAATCGTCTTATTCTTTTTCATTATCCCCAATGGCAAAATGCCTGTGCAAATGTGATGGCAAATCTTTCAAGCTTGAATAAATTACCTAATACAAGGGTTTTCGTTGCAGCTGAAAATGAATCGGTTAATTACTGGAGTTGGTGGGTTTATTTCTCTTGGAGACGAGAACCTTCAGTGCTAAAAACTGAAAGAAGATTTTTGTAGATGTTATATCATGCTTTGTTGAGATTTTTTGCGCCATACGACCACCCCATTAATATGACCACCTGGTCATTACAACCACTTTTTTGTGGCCCGAACAAAAGCCCACTCCTTTTCATATCTAAAAACCCCGTTAATCCAACCACCCTGTTATTACGAGTAACAACCACCTTTGGAAGTCCTGAGTCATTATTTTCTTTTTAAAATTACCCCGTTTATACTACTACATTAGAATTTTCTGCAATTTGATGGGCTTAGAGCAGTGGTATTTCAGCTTAATTTGAAATACCTACATGTGAAAATTACAAACCTTATATGGGTAGTAGTATTAAACAATTAATAGCATGATTTGTGGGTGATATTTGGCATAAATACCACTCGTGATATTTCAAAATTGTCTCAAATTTCACTCACCTAACGGCTCGTGAATTTATGTATATCAATTTTGAAATATCACTACAAATCATGCTATTACCTATACTAATACGACCAGTCAAAATGCTTGGTGGGGCTGCTGAATGAAAACAGACACAATCTGACAAACAATAACGTATTACTATAATATCAGTTTATTGAATGTTTTTAGGCAATGTGTTTAGTGGTTAGCATGACATCTGGTAAATTGCAGTGTTCAGTAAAAAGAATGCATGAATAAATAATACAAAAGATCTGAAAGCCTTCACTTTGCAGCATTTCAAGGCTCTCAAAGTTATCTGGCCTTCTTGTTTCTGCTGCCTTCCACTGTGGCTTTTCTCTTCAAGTCCATTTCCTGTTCTTTTCTCACAGATTGGTTATTTGGAATGTCTAATAATTTGTTAAGCATATCAACGTTTATTGGCTGTCCAGTCAACTTGTAAACGCATGGGATTTCCATCCCGCATCCTCCCCCATGATTAACAGCTTTCCCAACAACTTGAACTCACAAACTTTTTTAAAACCATTTGAACTTTATAATAATTGTGAAAGTGTTGTAAGCTACAATATAGAAAACGGCTCTTCGAGACATTTCACAAGCCCTTTCCTTTCATAACAAGGAACTGAAAGAAGTCAGTGTTTTTTCTCATTACTTGGTTTCGTTTACTGTTACAATGTTCAGTTCTGGGCTGTGCTCTAGCAGAGCCCGGTGGCCCCTGGCACCTAACTTTTACCCTCTGGCGACTAGAAAATCTCAGATTTTTCATACAAATCATATGCTGGGCACCCTAGATTTTACAGTTTCAGAGCACTGGGCTCCATTCAATTTTCCTAAGAGCACAGCCTTGCAGTTGCATTGAACTGTGGTTGTAAGGTTGTTAATTAACTGCAAAAAAGTTGATTTTATAGCAGATTAAACGTATACATGTAGTAGAATGTAGTTTAAAAGCGTTTTGCACCATTTGACCCTACCCCACTAATACGACCACCCCGTTGATACAACCAAATTTCCATGGCCTGAAGGTGGTCGTATTAACAGAGTTCCATTGTATAGGAGATAGTTTGTCAGCAGTTGTCCTCTATTTGTGTGTCAACTTTCACAAATGGATTATTTGTTAATGTTGCATTTTAAAGTTAAATATGACCAGCTATTTGTGCAGCTATTTCTATGGTCACGATTGACTCCAAAGTTGCAGATATAAAACTAGATAGCTGTGAGGCTTACTTGCTGAAGTTAGTGAAAAATCTGTCTTTGGATTATTGTTAACATTTTTTGTAAAAATGCGGTTTTTAACATAATGCCAATATCTCAAACGTTTTTATACATGCAAGAAAATAAATAGAATTTTCTTTAAGTTCAACCATTCTTTATTAAGGATGCCAAAAATCATAGAAATCGGTTAAATAATTTCTGCCGAGAAACGAGATTCAAGAACATAACCAACATGCAAATAAATAGGTTCGGGCCACCTTAAACTAACTAGCTCAAAGTAAATTCAAAGAAATGAAAGTAATTTTTTGCTTTATTACATATTGATAGTCTTAGTTGTTAACATAATTATGGAAAGAGAAAGCTAGAGAACATGTGTACCAATCACATAGTTTCATTTACAATTTAGATTTGAAGGTTTTTTTCTTTTGGACATCAAGAAAGTGATTGAAGGTCAAGGGTGAGGACAAAATTTGTCCTTTCATTCACAATCTGTAGAAAAGTACAGGGCCAAAAACAACGATCTATTAAAATCACTAAACCCTCTTTTTTTGAGAAAGGTCCCCTCTAATACATAAGTGGGCCCATAAAATGCTCACTAGCTGTAATTCTTAGAGTAAACCCGGATTTTTGAATTGAAGCATTTGCAGTTGTTTGCCATATGACTGCATGACTGAGTGGGTGAAAAGTGAGGGTCGAGGGATTCTCTTATTCTGTTTGCTTACAGCTGTACGAATTTTTTTTTACATCCTGTTCCTTGCAGTAAACATGTTACCCAACCATTATCAGTTTTTGTTTTGGCCTTACATTCCTCTCCTCTCTTCCTCTTATTATAATAATGATGCAGCATTGTAAATTAAGAGGTGGTTTTAAGGCTTTTCTCCTTATCCAGTTTTACTTAATCCTGCCTTTATTTTTGTTTTATCACAGATGTTGAGGCAGATGAAAAGACAGTTCGAACCTACTTGAAGCTGGTCAAAGAAGGAAAATCACCTGAAATTCCTGTTCCATTTCTCTCCTCAAATAGAAGGGTTAGAAGATTAGCAACAGACCCAAGTACTTCTATTAACACAAACCCGAAATCAAAGAATACTGCCACACCCAACTCTTCTGATAAACTCAAAAAAACTAAAAATCTAAAAGGAAAAGGTAACAAAGTCTTGTTTGTGAGTTTTAGCAATAGTACATGTACGTGTACACTCAAGCATCTCTCTCGTGATGGATCTTACATCATAGCATTGGTCCCTGATATTCTTTGCTTATTTGCTCTGATTCTTGATAAGCCAATAACTCTCCTACACAGACACTTATTGCTAGTCCCAATGAAGTGTGGAAAGAAAAATTCCCTGCTTTCCCAAAGAGCAAGTTGTAACTATGTGTTGTAATCCAATAGCATTTTTATTAGTGTGGTCCATTATAATCAACTACAGGTATATGTGTTAATCAGATAAACTTGTGAAGAAAGTAACAATTGGTTACTGTAAGGTTATATTTAACTGAGAAATATGTATGTAGATTTACTGTAGGATTCTGCAATAATAAAAAGTAGAATTCAAAAACAGCTGCATTGCTGCATTCCATTGGGTTGATCTAGATCAGGATCAGTGTACAGAGATCATTCAGATCATGGTACATCAAATGAAGTGAATCTATTCCCAGGATAGATTTGTCGGTTCCTTTGATTTTCTATGATCCGTTCATCTGGAGTCCTGTGTCCCTATGTCCTTTAAGTAACCTTATTCTGAAATACCAAACATGATTTCCAGCCAGTGTCAAGATATGCGACAGGCCTATGCAGATGAATCCACAACCCCTCTTACAGATAAAATGCCCGAGATTGCCCTTTTAAAAAAAACCTCTTTATAAGCACACCTTTAAAGTACTATATTGTACTATTTATTTTTCAGTCCCAAAATCCGCTGATAAAGCAAGTGACAGTTCTATTAAAACACCATTGCCTAAAAGCAGCAAGAAGGGTGATGATGATAGCCATGAGTCTGATAAGCAGGATGCAACACCATTGCCTAAAAGCAGCACTAAGGATGATGATGATAACCATGAGTCTGATAAGCAGGATGCAACACCATTGCCTAAAAGCAGCACCAAAGATGATGATGATAACCATGAGTCTGATAAGCAGGATGCAACACCATTGCCTAAAAGCAGCACCAAGGATGATGATGATAACCATGAGTCTGATAAGCAGGATGCAACACCATTGCCTAAAAGCAGCACCAAGGATGATGATGATAACCATGAGTCTGATAAGCAGGATGCAACACCATTGCGTAAAAGCAGCACCAAGGATGATGATGATAACCATGAGTCTGATAAGCAGGATGCAACACCATTGCCTAAAAAGCAGTGATGATAACCATGAAAAGCAGCAACACCATTGCAAAAGGATGATGATGATAACCATGAGTCTGATAAGCAGGATGCAACACCATTGCCTAAAAGCAGCACCAAGGATGATGATGATAACCATGAGTCTGATAAGCAGGATGCAACACCATTGCGTAAAAGCAGCGACAAGGATGATGATGATAGCCATGAGTCTGATAAGCAGGATGCAACACCATTGCCTAAAAGCAGCACCAAGGATGATGATGATAACCATGAGTCTGATAAGCAGGATGCAACACCATTGCGTAAAAGCAGCGACAAGGATGATGATGATAGCCATGAGTCTGATAAGCAGGATGCAACACCATTGCCTAAAAGCAGCACCAAGGATGATGATGATAACCATGAGTCTGATAAGCAGGATGCAACACCATTGCCTAAAAGCAGCACCAAGGATGATGATGATAACCATGAGTCTGATAAGCAGGATGCAACACCATTGCCTAAAAGCAGCACCAAGGATGATGATGATAACCATGAGTCTGATAAGCAGGATGCAACACCATTGCCTAAAAGCAGCAGCAAGGATGATGATGATAACCATGAGTCTGATAGGCAGGATGCAACACCATTGCCTAAAAGCAGCACCAAGGATGATGATGATAACCATGAGTCTGATAAGCAGGATGCAACACCATTGCGTAAAAGCAGCGACAAGGATGATGATGATAACCATGAGTCTGATAAGCAGGATGCAACACCATTGCCTAAAAGCAGCACCAAGGATGATGATGATAACCATGAGTCTGATAAGCAGGATGCAACACCATTGCGTAAAAGCAGCACCAAGGATGATGATGATAACCATGAGTCTGATAAGCAGGATGCAACACCATTGCCTAAAAGCAGCACCAAGGATGATGATGATAACCATGAGTCTGATAAGCAGGATGCAACACCATTGCGTAAAAGCAGCGACAAGGATGATGATGATAGCCATGAGTCTGATAAGCAGGATGCAACACCATTGCCTAAAAGCAGCACCAAGGATGATGATGATAACCATGAGTCTGATAAGCAGGATGCAACACCATTGCTTGAAAGCAGCAACAAGCATGGTGATGATAGCCATAAGTCTGATAAGCAGAAAACAATACCATCGCTTAAAAACAACGACGTTAATGATAATGGTGATGAAACTAATATGCAGGATACATTATTGTCATCAAAAACCAGCAAACAGGTAATCATTGAGAGTAGTCAGTGACTGCCAATATTGAATAGATGAAAAGTAAAGTCAACTATCTCTTAACAATCATGCAGGTGGCCCTCACATCAGTCTGATGGCATTACTAACTTAAACAGTGTTCATCTTAGAGAGAGTCAATATTGTATTTGTAGTTGGCAGATGTTTACATACAGTATGTGCTTAACTCGCAAACATGCATTGCATGATTAGAACAATGCTAAGGGGGTGTGCATTTTAGAGAAAATGCATCTAATTAATAATTTTGAGGGGTGACAAATTACTCCTTAATTTTGGCGCGAAATGTCAGCGTTAATTCATTAATGTGCCTGTGAAATTACCAAATTGCTATGGCAAAGTTCCGTATGGCTCAGTGCCAAGATAGCGTCAAGGTTTTAAGATGTTATAAATGAGGGTGTCAGGTCATTAAAAGACACTTTAGAAAACCTAAACACACGAAAAAACACAGCAAGGAGAATTCAAGCCGGTCTTTTGTCGAAGAATTCAGAAAATTGTGAATTAATGCCAAAATTTGTATAGGTAATAGCATGATTTGTAGTGATATTTGGCATAAATACCACGAGTGATATTTCGAAATTGTTATACATAATTTCGCGAGCCGTTAGGCGAGTGAAATTTGAGACAATTTTGAAATATCACTAGTGGTATTTATGCCTAATATCAAGTACGAATCATGCTATTATTTGTTTATACTACTACATGCTCTAATGTTTTCAGTCCGTGGTGTTATCGATACAATGAACACCTAGGTATACACATAAAATTTTGTTTTTGCTTTTCAAATGTGCCACACACTGAAAGGGGGCCTAGGGTCTCTCTAGAGCCACGAAGCCTTTGTGTTGCATAACATTAGGTATCGTAATACAAGCTATTAGGTTTACATGTACCTCGGTGTAAGAACCTGTGAACCTTTTTCTTTGTTTCGTACCTTTTGTTTTTCTGGGTTCTATTGCGTTGACCTTTGTTGTCTTTGTTTCACGTCAGAAAGAAGACGGAGATGAAGACGGCATTGAAGAGAACTTTTCACTGACGTATGGGAAGAACAGGTGATTTACCTTAATGCCATAGCAAATGGTGTCGGAAGTCCTGATGCCGATGGAAGTGACATCAAAATGTTCAAAACTCAACTAGAACCACGAGCCACAGGCGAGTGGTTTCACTGCAAAGTTTTAAACATTTTGACGTCATTTCTGGGTACAGACCATAGAATATTATTGTCAGTTTGTTGTTTAACTTTCCACTTGTTTTTGTCAGGGGTATCTACCGTGGATCTGATCCTCTTGAGCACACGTCCAGCCACTTTGCCGCCTTTTTCTTGACTGCTATTGTAATGGTATTTGCTGCTTATGTGGTGTATCACAACAGGCAGAAGGTATGAGGATTATTCTGTTAGCAAGCTCTCCATTTATGGCGAGCACAACGAGTCGCGAGTGCGCCCCTAGCACTCGCTTCTCCTTTCCCGTTTTTGCTCTCGCGTGACTTCTCGTGACTCCTCCAAATGGAGTGCTTTCTCGCAGGCTATATGGCAATGTGATGAACTGGCTATTGATGATATCTTTGTTATCTTTACTAATCAATTAATTATTAATTCATATTGATAATTTTTCAAATAATAGAAAAAGGAAAATTGTGAAGAAGGTCAATGCCACTTCTGCAAACAATGTCTAGGCCGAGTGTTTGGAAGCCAGGTTAACTCCAATATTGGGTTGTCTTTAAACGGTACATAATTATGCAGGGTTTATTCTGGGAATTGGCTGATGAGAGACTCATGGATCACCACCTACTGAAGTTTTAGAGGGTTCTTCTTCAAAGGAATGCCCCAGTGACCATTTGGTTTGGAATAAATGAATATCATTTTGAATGTAAGGGAGATATTAATAGACGTAACTGTACAGTAGTGCAAAGAAAACCTTTAAAAAAATCAGATTTCAAGATTCGAATCCTTCAAGAACCCTCGGCATTAGTGCATAACAGTGAAAGATCTTAAATTAAGCAAAGTAGCTGTCGGCTGTCCTGCAAAGTGTTTCTCACCAATTGAGCTCTTAGTTTTGTCACGTACCGTTGCCTGGCTACATCTCTAAGTTGTGTTGAGAAGGCGTAATAGCTAGACAAGTGCGGGTGTCCGTATCGTAACGATGTCTCTATTTATTGTTATTTTTTTATTGTTATTTTTTTTTCTATTTTGTGAAAAGAGTTTCAACAGTCTGAAAATTTCTTGTTTCCTTTCACAGATTGTTGCGATCATAATTGAGGGCCAAAATAACAGCGGTAGAAGGCGAGGCTACAGGAAACTAGAAACCAACGTAGAGGAGGCTATGCCTTCAATGAAAAGTGCAAACTCCACTTACGTTTATTAGTGTTTATTTAAATAGAACAGGAGTAAATTTTTTAGAAACAGATAATAATTGGGTATGTTAAAAAAACGAAATTATTTGTTAAGAAAAATAATGTGCAATATGGCCTGGTGAATAATTTCACCTGCGTTCAGGCGGTTTTTTTCTAGGGGGCGGGTAACGTGAACGGCAAGGGAAATGCAATAATTTCACCTGCGTTCAGACGGTTTTTTGCTGTTGACATGGATAATAGAGGGGCCTCGGGTTCAACGCGAACGGCGCCATCGCGGTCAAACAACAAACGAGTCGGCGGAAGAGCACTGAAAATTCCGTAAAAGAACAACACGCAGGCAAACAAACCCTACATTTCGACTGGTTTATTTTTCCGTTATCACTTTCAACTATGACCATCCAACGCCATCTTGCCCAACCAATCTTTTGCATTTTCCTTCCAGTTTTATCCATGCTGTTAACTGGAAATTTTTTCTGCCCTTTTGAGTGGACTGTAAAGATAATGTTTAGAGTTTGTTTAGTTGTGTTGCTTGTTCCGGAATGGAGACAAAAAAGCTTAGAGTGACAGCTGTTGGTTATTTTAGAATTTTGCTTTAGTGACTAAGAATTGGTGATTAACAGAATTAGGAATCGGAGTGTACTGTATATACAATGTATCTAATAGAATACAACTATCCCCCGAAGGAGGGGTGGATAGTGGTGCTATATACCGAGACGCAAAGCGTCGAGGTAAGTCGCTGCTCACCGACCCTGAGGAGGATAGTTGTTTGGTATCTACCAAATCAGTTGGATAAAAATGAAAAAAAGTTACTTTTTGTAAATTTAAAATGTCACTTAGTTGGAACTTGTTAAAAACATTTCGGGGATTTTGTCAAGTGCATTTGTACCATTTGTGGCAAATTCAGCATGAAAATAATTTTTTAGCTGACACCGACTAGCCAAAGTTTGTCGCTTTCTTGGTATTTGTTTGTACGACTGCTTTATTTATCGCTCAAATTTCGTCTTTTCCGAAAACGTCTCGAAAGGAAACGCCATCTTGGCTCCGGTCGCAAAACAATGAACAGCAAAGGATATTCCGAGTTACGGGGAGCCAATCAAAACGCGCGAAAATTGCTATTCACTGATTTGGTAAATACTAAAATATTATAGTTTTCAACCTTTCGTTGCATATTGTGAATGGAGGAAGCCAAATGGAACACGGATCTCAAAAATAAATTTCATTGAGGTAAAATTTTAAAAACCAGTGGCCCGCTTATTTTATTTTATTTTTTTTCATTTTGTTTTTCAATTTGAATAGAGATTTACTTAGTGCAATGTCAAAAGTGTTGGGACGTTTTCATTGTTATTAGTAAAGGTAGCGACCCCCCCCCTCCACCCCGCACAAAGTTGAATTTTGATCAAATGGGTGGAAATGACTGTTTTTTTTGTCCACAACATTGCTGGGGAGGGAGTAGGGTGACGACGGGATGAGCCCAATGCCGATCCAAAAAATGTCATTAGGAGTCGTACTTGTATGTAACAATCACTTGAAAGGGCTTTTTCACACAGTACCAAGTTCTGTTGTCCGCCTCAATCGTAGATTAAGAAAATTGTTTTTGAGCGATGGAAGGTGACCAGAAGTAAGGCGGTTTTTTTGTTCTGCCTTGATGTTACCACATTTTTAAAGCTCAATGTTTTTATCAACACAATTTGCTCAAAATATTTGTGTGAAAGTATTGCACGAAAAAGCAAAAAATCCACCTCTGGTTGCTGTCTGTCTCTCAATAACTCCCTTGCTTAAGCTCCCTAACAATGCTCAAGAATAAAGTGTTTCATTTATCAGTTCAGTCAAGAGAATAGTGAAAGTTTGTCTGAGCTTATCTGTTGTCCACACGCGGCGTATTGAAATCGTTTCCGCCTGTCCACATGAGAACGCTAAGAAAACGATGAAAATACGCTAGCACCCTTACAGAGCATGCGTAATGCTAGTATTTTATGATGTATGACCATTCTCCTCCCCAGAGCCCGTCGTTTCTTGGTCACGCTGTCTTGGTCGGTGACCTCACTATAGCGAACAAATTTTGGCAATCCCTTGTCACTTCGTTATATCAAGGTTCCACTGTGCCTCTCCGGGGTATTCCCTATGAAAGTGACGGGGTGCTCGTCGAACCTTTTAGGGGTTTATATTTGTGGATTGGTACCGCTTACGTGCGAAAACCTAAAATGACTGCTGCCAGAGTTGTCTCGGTACGTTTTAGGGGCCTGCGGTAAGGCCATCGCCCATTGGGATAAAGATTTATATTTATAACACTACTAGGAGATGGGCATAGTAATGTCTTACAAGCCCAACATGATTGAGGGAGTTCCTACTCAAGAGTTTTGAAGGAGAATCAGTCCATGTGTTTGCGCCCGCGCCTCACGGTCACCAAGACTTAACGAATGCCGATCGACGTCTGAATCAAAACAAACCGTGTTTCCAGGCTTTTCTACAAGGAATAAAACAGCAGACTTGACCAGAAAGGACAAAAGACTACTTCAATGTAATTAAACTTTATTAAAAAATACATAACCTTTAAAGAGTTTTAGTCAAGAGCCATGTTTCTTATAGCCCATGTGCCAGCTCGTTATGAAGAATTACTGAGCCGCGGGCGATTTGAGCAAGTAAGAGTTTTCAAAATGAATGATTAACATATTGTATCCTTCAATGCCCACAACTCCCGAGAAAATCGATATTCCTTCAAATTATTTCTGATCTCCCTTTCTGATTGGCTGAAATCCCCCGGTTAGTTCTTACCATGATGGTTAGCATGATAGATAATCGATATTCCTTCAAATTATTTCTGATCTCCCTTTCTGATTGGCTGAAATCCCCCGGTTAGTTCTTACCATGATGGTTAACAAATTACTATACCCGGCAAAATTATTTCTATACAGTGTTTTCACATGACGTTATGTCCGCTATATTGGTGTCCCAAAATCATGAAATGGCGGCCATATTGGTGTCTTAAACCAATCCCGTAGGAGTTGAACCGTTTTCTTATATAAAACATTTTCTTTTGTTGCAATAATGAAACTGCATAGCTGTTAGCCAAGTGTCTGAGAGAAATCACTGAAAAGCTCTTTTGTACAAGGTATCGCCAGAAAAAGGGACGGCAATTAAGAAGGCGTGGGAATGAGGTTCACTTGGAGCTGCACTCTCGTCCCCAGAGCCTCCTGTTCCCTTAGCCAGCGAGGCCTGAGCACGAGCTGGTCCTCGTGTTCAGGCCTCGCCGGCTAAGGGAAAAGAAGGGTCTGGGGACGAGAACGTTAGAGCTGGAGAAAATTGCAGACAATATTTACATGTACACATGTTGCAGTGAAGAAATGGCCGACCTGTGCTTAAAAACATAGCCAAATTAAACAAATACATCGCCATTTGTAAACTACACTTAACATTCCTTTGTATCCTAAATTTGTCGTGGAACAGAAAAATGAAGACTGCTCTTGATTTCGCGAATATTAAATTTCGCTAATACTTATGAGCCATATTTGGCGAGTATCACATTTCGTGATTTTTCCCAAATAGCGAAAATCGCGAAATTAAGTGAGAATAACATAACGGTTCTTTTCCTCGCAAGCAAAAATTTGCTCAAATATCGCGCAGGTTTGATTTAGCAGTGGTTGAGCAGAGACCGGCAAAATTAAGTCCATTTAGTGAGTACGAATTTTTATTATGATTTCTCTTTTGTACATGAAGGAGAAAATCAGCCCTTCACTTAAACTATATGCCTAAACGATGCAAGAAACTAACAAACCATATCATGATAATTCATCAATTTTACGTGACAATTCAACCGATACAACTAGCTATAGATACCGTCACCAACGTTATTACATTATTGATTAATATATTATTTCGCCTTTACGTCATATTTCTTCTTTGGCGGGCTTGTATGCTTTACACGCTCCTCCCTTGATGCAGTTGGTGATCTCAACCGCTTTATCGCGCCCAGTAAAGAGCGCTCCCTGAACGTAGCCATAATATTCATCACTGATGCTCTCACCGGCGAAAAAAAGGTTCCTAAGTCGACCGGACATGTTTTCGTAGTGTCCCCAGCTCGTTCCCACCACAGGATCTGTCCATGCACAGCGCACGAATGGGTTTTGTGACCATTTGCTGACGTGGATATCTAATCGTGATATAAGAAATAGTAAACAAATGCTATATAAAGGAACACTGCTTATAAGGTGAACGATACACTGTGAACTTCAAGGCAAACACGAGGTTCTTCAGTGAAGCCTTATAATTCTTTACAACCAATAAACATTGGATGAAAGGATTAGGATACAGTACGTCAGGTGAAAAAAGTGTCAATAATAAATAAATGCTAAAATGATTTATCAAAATAAATAATTATAATAGTAATAATGATGATAGTAATAATAATGATGACGATGATTATAATAATAATAATAATAATAAAACCTAAAGAGTATCTACAAAGTTGATTAACGAAGACTTAACAAACATCATGGCTTCACAAGTGGCAGATGAAATAATATCAAGACTTTATTGACCTATCTATTGATCAGTTATTCATCAATAACCTGACTGACTCAGCATTCACTCATGTTTCACGATTCATTCGACTCTGATAAGGACATTCGCAGACAGGTTGTTTTAAAAGCCTGGCTGAGACTGCCACCAGCAAACTAAAGAACATATAGTGCGACATACAATAGAACATGTAGTTCAATAGATGCTTGAAATAAATTAAAATGATCTTATTTTGATCTTCAGGTAGCTTACCTGAAGTGAGAGAAAGGACCAAAAGGACGCTACTTACCTGTCGCTTCCGGTATCGTGTTTCCATACATTTTTCGTAGGGCATCCATCACGTCTTTCTTTGTTTTCAAATCGCTTTGCTTTTCTATTCTCAGTGCTTCATCTCCAGTTACCACCGTGAAAAGAAGGTTGGAGCCAGGAAAGAATCCTGGCCGATTCAGGTCGTAGAAAGTTGGAAAATTGCCTGGTTTTTGGGAGGCATGCATAATCCATTCATGATCATCCCAGAAATCATATGGGAACTTCAGGAAAATCTTTGTGAAGTAAACAGGTCTAAAACGATAAATTGCTTCTCTCTTCCACTTTGGTAAGGGGGGTCTGAACATTATAAAACTGCTGCCAAGAACGCCAGAACTGAACGTGGACAAAGCGTAGTCTGCACTGAAGACTTCTCCGCCAGCTGTAACAACTGTAACGCTGTCATTGGAATACCGAATCTTCTGAACAACCTTGTTCAGCAAGATTTTGTCTTGGAAAGACTTGTAAAAGTCACTGAACAGCGTCCAGTAGCCTCTTTGATCAGTGACGAAGAAATCCTTCTCAGGAGGAAATCCCATGTTGTTCAGAGAAGTTCCTTTCTCGCCATCACCATATTCAAAATCGAGGTCAAACCAAGACAATGTTTTCTTTGCTGGAGTGTCTGATATCCAACCGAGAAGCTTTAGCGCAACTGAGACCGGCATATCTCTGGGAGGATGATCTTCCTCTCCCCTTTTCTTACCCATCGCAAATAACTTTTCGCTTACTTTCTTCCATTCACTGTACGTACGCAGATCAGTTACATCTTGGCCGGAGTCGTTTCTGTGGAAAAAAAAGGACACCTCGGCATAACAAGAAAATGTGCAAAATCAATTGTAGAGCGTGTTTGTTGTTGCTATAATCCGCTCCAGTATTTCCTTTGTCTTGTACAGTAAGAATCATGATAGGGCTAGGAAATCAAGGAAATCCTGAATTGAACTAGCCTGAAAAAACAGACGACATTTTGCGACGCCAGCAACGGTTTCCCCAGCGCGAAATGATGTCAGGAAACCTTTGGTGGCGACGCGAAATGTCGTCTGTTTTCTCGGGCTAGAATTAAACTAGGGTGAATACTACAATATGTAGATTACAAACATTAACCAAAAAGGCTTGCAAAGGACCACAAACGAATATGCCGAAGAACGTACGTACGATCTATAAAGACCTGATCAGCAAAAATAATAATGTAGACATATTAAATTCTGCAAGCAGAATTAATACTGCAATGCTAATCGTACTACGTGAAAATTAACTCTGCAAGTCGTCATCAACAAGACACCGAACGAACTCAAATCAGAGCGGGATTGTAGCCATAGACAGCTGTTTCGCCCTTTTTGGGGCTCGTCAGTATGGCGCAACATCCAGAGAAAACTCTGACCCAGAACTCTCAACACCCACAGAATCACACCACACCACGTGTCTTCTGGGGGGCAAGAGTCCGATTTAAATATGTAGATTAACCTGAAAACGAATTCTACCTGCAATCTATCAACTGTACATGCCGTTTATTAACGATTATTTAGTTTATTTCTGAATTTGTGGGCTGCGTCAGTGAGGGAACGAAACACATAAATTTGATTTTATCAATTCTGAGTTAATGAAGTAACTTGGTCATACGCTTAAAAGGATTAAAGAAACTGATGATGCTTCGATAGCTAGGCCTTTGTTACAGATCTAGAGCGAATTCAAAAATAAACATAATGAACAATAAACATGCACATGGTATTTCCTCAGTATTAAGCGTTGCATGCATTTGAGAAAAAGAAGTTTCATTCAATACCAGTTTAAACCTCCCCAGGTGTTAGAAGGACATTTTGCCTCACTTCGGTGCAATACAGCATACCATTGTAACGATGGCTCAACCATGTGTTGTGGTTGAGTCGCCGAGTTCTAACATGATTGACTTCTTTATTTTGTCGTGTCTTCGGATGGACTTACATGGTTTTCTTCTTTAGTGGCTACTCTGTCACACTGACAGGAGTTGCTGGCATTTTTTTTTTAATCGAATCATAGAGGTATTTACAAAGGCGGGTAAGGAGCGAGATTTGGCAATGCAACCTACATGAGATGATGCTCTCGTAAACATAATCTGACATCGGAATATTTTGATTCAAATCAAACCAAACTGAATCAAGGCACAAAAGCTAACTTAGTTAATATTGTGAAACCGTGAAAGGTTTGATGTCACATATTCTTAACTAAGAATACGAGGAGCATTTGTCTCACTTATTTACACTGCATACATTATACACTATGATTTAACTTTAATTAAGGTTATAAAGTGCTGCGTGCAGATGCAATTTATAACCTTCTTTTAGAAATTGCTATTTAAATCGTAGTCTATAATTTATGCATTGTACATAAGTACGACAAATGCTCCTCGTATTTTCGATCACATCTTTTTTCTGAATAACGATGCACTTTATTTTTTCATATCCGCTAGGGGGCTACCTTTTAAAAAAACGTATTAGAGGTACAAAACTGTATTTTTAGCCAGAACGACTAGGCTCCAGAAGCAAACGGATTGTAAAATACATAGCAAAAACATAAATTCCAATCGTTTCCAAGAAAAGCAGAATTCAGGTAGCATGTATAAAAGCATTGTCTTATCCCAAATTCAAATTCAAACGAAACCCGGTGAACTCCAAATTTTAGGTAATCTAATACAGCGATGCGCTTCCCCCCACCACCCTCACAAACCCAACCCCCCCCCCCCCCCCCCGGCCGCCCCACCGCGCCCATCGACTGGCCCTGCTAATTAAAAAAAAGGCATTTTTGCAAGTACGACTTGTAACCAACCAGTATTTTGGTAACCAGGCTCAGTGTAAATATGATCGTTTGTCCCAGAAATATCACATAAGGTGACCAGAGACCCGAAAAACTAAATCGAACACGATTTGCTTTCTTTAACTTATCTTTGGTTTTGTTCGGAAAGGGGTCTCTGATTTTCACATATTCAGGGTATATAAACTTGTTGGAAACGAGGTCGAATCTCAGTGCTGAACTAGATTTCTGTTTTTACTATAGGGTAGTTTCGAACGTTTCATCTGACTAGCTCTTTGGGCTATCGTGAATGAAAAGATGCAATCGACAGCTGATACAACTGACATTAACGCGCGATGAATAAATAAATGAATAAGTTACCAAGAAAATGTTACAATTAGAGCTCATGTAAAAAAGGATATTTCTTACTGTGGTATTTTTTTTTGTTTTTAGCACACCCTATAAGTTAAACAGAGAAAAAAGCGGTGGATGTGATTATTTCTTCATCTGTCATAAAAAACCGAAGTTCTTGTTGACAACGTTTTGTTTAAGTTCTCCGAGTATTAAACTCACCTCATACAAAAGTCGCTAAAATTAGACAAATATCCTGTTAAGTTGTACTTGTCGCGTAAAGGAAGAAGAGGATTTTCCTTTTCTTCCAGGAAGTGAATCCAGTTTGCTCCTTCCTCGATATTCTTGCCAGCAAAGGGCACTGACTTTATTCGGCCACCAATGTAGTCTTGAGCCTCCAATACAAGAAAATCTGTGATGCCTTGATCGTAAAGGGTCATAGCTGCGGTGATCCCTGCAGCTCCTGCTCCAAGGATTAAAACCTTTTTCCTTTCTTGCTTAGAGTTAGGTATAGCAGTACCATCAAGTTGTGGTAAAGTGGTGAGAAAAACAGAGAAAACGAGGCAAAGATGCAATTCGCTTTTCATGTCGATCTCTGCCTATACTTGAACACTCAGAAAGTCAGTCTATTGCTGAGAACTCAAAAAAGAAAGAAAACTGTCGGTTAGCGTTTTACTTCCCATACGACCAAAACTGTACTCTTAGCTGAGCCATTCAAGGCTAGATTTAGAAGGTCAAAGGGAAATAGGAAAATGAACAATTACTTACTGGGGTTAGGGAGAGCATAAAATGGCCCTCTCCACAGCCTGCAAGCTTCAAAAAGAATCAATCAAGAATCAGTCAGCTTGTCCAAATTAGAGAAATCTGATTGGTTGTAATTCCAGTTGTTGCAAAGTACACAGCAAGGGCACAATGACGCACACAATAAAACACAGGGATATAATATGAAAAGCATCAGCAACTTGTCCGCCAACATTTTAATTCACAAATACAAACAAGCACTTATTTTTATTTGAAATTGTTGGCTCCTAGTAGGAACAAAAAGGACGATGCAATTTACATCACTTAACCCAAGTTATTTAAAGCATAAAAAGAACAAGTTAGACTGATAAAGACAGAACGAATGATTTTTTGTATACTTTTAATTTATTGACGTTACATTACAGAATAATCCAGAAATACAGAAATCGGCTGGGTCGAAAACATTCCCTAGAGGAGAAAGGAAAGAGAGATCTCAAGCTACACCAAAGTTAATTTTGTTTAAAGATAGTGAAGACTCGTAAAGTGTTGAAAATCTGTGGTGTAAAATACGCCAAAATAAGCTAATAAAATGAACTTTTCTTTTCTGAACAAATTATTTAAGCACCTCGACTGCCAATAACTGACCATTTTTGTTCTTTGGCCTGAATCTTTTTATGTCGTCACATGTACAGTTAGTGAAGTACAAGGGCTTTCACGGCCTCTGTTTAAAAAGGCTAATAACTACATCTGTAATATATGGTCAATTTCGCAAGCTGTATTTAGTTTATAGCCTGCAGCATTTCAGAGTTTACTATTTCCAGGGCTCCCAGCTAACAGCAGAAACGTGAAAAAGTAAAAATCTTATTCAACTCGCCTCGGTTCGTAAAGGTGCACCCCACTGAAGTATGGCATGAAAGGTCTAAGTTTCATACCCTGTATCTATTTTTCTATTGATGCACGTACAACGAATTTGGCCGTATAGAGACGTAACCTTATAGTGGGGTATGGGGATCATATTCGTGGCCGGGTTCTTTTCTGATTTCCTGGCGTGCACTGCGCATCGCCTACTGCGCATAATATAGCGATTATATTAAAGGTACGTGGCGGCAATGTTCGCTGGCCACCTGAACAAAGGTAGAAAAAGCCGCTTTTGTAGTTTCTGAAATTGTAAAAGCGATTTTGATGGCTCAGTTCGGGTTATTACCGTCAAGCCAGGTCAAGCGTACCCCCCAAGATTCCATAATGAATTTATTATTCGAAAGTTGAATCCGTTGGTAGTTGTAGATTTCAGGTTCATCTCTGCATTCTTGATGAGCCGTGAATTCACACGCGAGGCAGTTACGAAATTTCTACCAGCTAAGGTTCCCTGAATTTGATGTAAATGTCTTTCTCAGAAATTGAATCCATTCAAAGATTTTCAATCCGACCAAATACAGAGAAGTTCTCGTACAATACTCACTGCTTGATTGTTACGCTTGCAGGAATGCCGATTTAAATTGGTCGGTAGTTACAGGAACGAACAACTGATTCATTTTTCAAAATATCAATTAATTAATAGAATCTTGGGGGGGAGGGGGGTACGCTTGACCTGCCTTGACTGTAAGGTTTTGGTCTTGAAACTCGTCCCAGTCGGCTTCGTGTAAAATGATCACTTGAAGCCAAAAATGCCTCTTTGTCATCTTATTCCAATGAAACGAACAGGGTGATTCCTCTTTTTTTTAGGTCTTATTTACTCGTTTTAGTTATTCAACAAACATATTTTTAAGGAAACAAAAAATTTCTGGATTCGAACCAATGACCTCCCAAACAACAGGCGGACGCTCTACCCACTGAGCTAAGGAGAACCTCATGGAGAGCGACGCCATGTACTAGGTTCATATCTGACACGCTTCCTACATACTGTTTGGATTAGCAACGTCGATGTTCTACTGTGTGATGAAAGAATGAAAGATCATGTACTAGGTTCATGATTTGACAAACAACCTACAATATTCAGGTGGCGAAAACGCCATGACAATATCTTGCCCACTTTTGGATTATTTTCGCCAACGGCTCTTGTCTTTAGATGTCCTTCATGTTTGAGCCCGCTGAAAATGAAACCCCACCCCTTTGAAAAATCCTGGCTACGCCCCTGAAGATGGTAGTTCTTAAGCTCTGTGATAGAAATGTGAAAATGACATAATCAGCATGTCACCACAAAAAAATTTATAGCAAAAGTTGTATTAGAATATCTGTATGACGTGGAGCCACGGGAGAGTTAGCCTGACAAAACCACACGACATATCGCGACGCCAACAACAGTTTCCCCGCGAAATGACGTCAGAGAAACGAGCTTAGAAATTCCATATGGATGACGCGTCACTACCCAGATCTGGATAGTGGATAGACGACCACCTTTGTGAAACTCCGTTTGAACTGTGACTTAAACTTTGTAATGAAAAGCTCTCGTAGGTTCTCCCTCCCTTTGCGACCGCAACCATTTTTGGGATTAGCCGGCTGGACTTCTCCTTTTTTTAATTAAGCTCTCGTAAGCGACCACTCAGCAAACACACAGAGTCAAATTTTTATAAATCAACACTCTTGATCAAGCTGCACATTGCGCTAGTGGTCTAAAAAAAATTGGACGTAACGTGTAGCCGTGTCTATATCAGATATAAAGACACTCATTAAACATTAATTTCTTTTGTTTTTTCCTTTATGAATTATTATAGCGAGTTTCTCGAGCTCTCGTATTAAAGAGAACACACCGCCATGCGTTCGCTTACGACCAGATCTTTACGACCACTTTTTCGAATTTCCGAGGTGGTCGCTTACCGTCAGAACCTCGACTGCACTTTACTGAAAGATAATAAACTAAAACAAACAAATAGGTTTAAGTTTCAGTAATATTAAAGACTTTTGCTAAAAAAATAACAACTTTTGAAGTAATATATCAAACATGAGATGCAGTGTTTCATCACCAGATGAAACAACGAGAAGAGAGTTTTGACGCGCAGGTTGTTTTTTTCATCTGGTGATGAAACACTGTGTCGAATGTTTGATATTTCTTCTCAAACAAAATCATTTTTGAAGGAGAAATTAAGGATGCAAATACTAAGCAGTGTTTCATCCGATTTCCAAACACTCATTAAACATTAATTTCCTTTGTATTTTCTTAATGAATTATTAATGAGTTTGAGAAGGTTGTTTTAAGGCTCGAACATTTCGCGTTCAACCTAGTAAAAAGCATCTGAATAACGGACAAGGAGGCCGAAAAGAGGGATGGTGATCCCATTTCTCTTTAGCGCGGTGTTTACATGGATATTAACTTTACAGGGTTTAAAAAAACTGTGCAGTATATTCTTTTCAAGTGAATTACCTTTAAAATTTAGATACCAAATTGGTGAATTGATAGAGAAAATAAGGTGAACAATATGACTTTCCACAAACACTATGGATTGAAAAATAACTATCGTTACAATTTTCAAGGCTAATATTTTCGCTTCTTACCTGTCTTTACTTGGAATTTCAGCGCTTGAGTAGCCAATTAGTGACGAGGCCTATTTTTAAAGAAAAACATAGTTTTCACCGTAGCTGGGCGTCTTACATGACGGCTTTCTTTAAACAAAAAAAATATAAGGGCGTTTTTGTTTGTTAACAGAGGCATATGTAAATAACAACATGTGCCTTATTTGGCTTGAAATCAGTAGTTCCTCAAATATTGCTGATTTTTTTAATGGTAGATCCATAACCGGAGGGATGAACAGAAAAGGAAAATATATTGGAATTGTCGCAGTACTGAGAAAGAAGCAAAGAGGCTCTCCGAAAATGTTTGCTCCCCAGGAGCAACAACTGTACTACTAAAAAAAAAGCGAAGCTGTAGTGTATTAAGAGAGCCTTGTTGAAAAACTTCTAAACTAACTACACTCAAGCTACATTCGAGGAGAGGCCTACTCACGACGCAAACAGCGTTTAGAAACGTTGTCGTATGAGTGTATGTGAGTTTTTCTCTTTTTCGTGCATCACAAAAAAAAAAACACTTCCTTTTCAAAACGATCCAATACGGTTGAATTCTGAAAGACTGTATCAAAGTTCAGGTGAAAGAAAAAGCTAGAAAATAGTTCTCTTGTGTCTACGTCCTCCACAAAACGTGAAATTAAGCACTTTCACTTCGCATAGTCGTGCAGTGACGGCAAATAAATTTATGTACAAAAAAAAAAAGCGTGGTGCCTGTGCAAAGTTCTTGTTTTGCTAATCTAAACTTGTTCCTTTTTTTGCAGTTGTCGTTGACGTCGTCGTGGTCATTGCTTAAATTTCTTCTGTGGCAGACGTGTATGCTTCACACTCTTCCCCCTTGATGCAGCTGACGATCTCTTCAGCTTTATCACGCCCAGTAAAGTACGCTCCCTGTACATAGCCATAATATTCTTGACTGGTGCTCTCGCCTGCGAAGAAAAGATTCTTCAGTCGACCGGACATGTTTTCGTAGTGTCCCCAGCTCGTTCCCACCACAGGATCTGTCCATGCACAGCGCACGAATGGGTTCTGTGACCATTTGCTGACGTGGATATCTGAATGCAACACAGAAAAAAAACCTTTAAGGTACACTCCGTATAAAACATATATAAAAAATTAGAACTGAATTAATTGGAAGACGCGATATATACTCATTGAAATAATAGGGTTGATTAACGAAGTCTTACCTTGAAAATCTTCTTCAGGATCACCTAACATGGGTAGTATCATGGTAAAAAATCCGTCAGATTCGAACCAATGAGAGTCATCAAAGCAAAAAACGTCACGACTCAACCAGAGACAAATAGTAGTAGTAGTAAAAATAATAATAGTAAAAATTATAATAATATTAAAAAATAATAATAATAATATCCTCACTTAATTGACCAGTCAGGCCAATAACCATGCAGACCTTTAAATCTACATTATAACTTGCGCTCAAGAATACTATACACTTTGACTCAGATAAAGACTTCCGCACTCGGATTGTTAGTTTCAAATTTCGCTCCCTTTAGCCAACAATCCTATCCATGAACACAGACAAAAGTTTGATAGACATTTTAAATCAACTGGGAATATTTTAATTTAAGGCTTAATATTGCAAGGCACATTTGTAGTAAAAGTTTCTTAAAATAGCGTTTCAGGTTTCTAATTTATATGGTGAGAGTAAGGACCAAAACGACGCTACTTACCAGTCGCTTCCGGTATCTTGTTGCCATACATTTTCCTTAGGGTATCCATTACGTCTTTCTTTGTTTTCGACTCGCGTTGTTTTTCTACCCTCAGTGCTTCATCCCCCGTTACCACTGTGAAAAGGACGTTAGATCCAGGAAAGAATCCTGGTCGATTCAGGTCGTAGAAAGTTGGAAAATTGCCTGGTTTTTGGGAGGCATGCATAATCCATTCATGATCATCCCAGAAATCATATGGGAACTTCAGGAAAATCTTTGTGAAGTAAACAGGTCTAAAACGATAAATTGCTTCTCTCTTCCACTTAGGTAAGGGGGGTGAGAACCTTATGAAATTACTGCCAAGAACGCCAGAACTGAACGTGGACAAAGCGTAGTCTGCACTGTAGACCTCCCCGTCATTTGTAACAACGGTAACGCTGTCGTCAGAATATCGAATCTTCCGAACCGCCTTGTTCAGCAAGATTTTGTCTTGAAAAGGCTTGTAAAAGTCACCGAAAATCGTCCAGTAGCCTCTTTGATCAGTAACGAAGAAATCCTCCTCGGGAGGAAATGCCATATTGTTTAAGGAAGTCTCTTTCTCGCCAACACCGTATTCAAAATCGAGCTCAAACCACGACAAGGCCTTCTTTGCTGGAGTGTTTGAGCGCCAGCCAAGAAGCTTAAGTGCAACCGAAATAGGCATATCTCTGGGAGGATGATCTTCGTCTCCCCTTTCCTCGCCCATCTCAAACAACTTTTCGCTTACTTCCTCCCATTTTTTATACAGACGCAGATTGGTTACATCTTTGCCAAAATCGTTTCTGTGAGAAAATGCAAACATGAATTTATTAAAACATATTAACATCAATTGTAGAGTATATCTTCTATACACACAGCTATTTCGAGAAAGGTTGTCGGAAAAAGTGCACGCGACGATCTCGAAAGGTATTGTGGGTGGTTTTGAGTTCACTATTCTTCAAAGAAATTTGAGAGAATGGCACGAGAGGCCATGGATATATGTTTGCAAGTGCAATAGGAAGGTAACAAAAGTAGGTTCGAAAGCTACAACGTCAGGAACAGTGAATTGATCGTATCCCATATTACCTTTCGGAATTGTCGCGTGCACATTTTTTCCGACAATCTTCCTCGAAATAGCTGTATACTATACTTCTGATACATCCCTCATGCGAAAGGTTCTTTCAAAATTTCAGCTATAAATTTGCATATTGTACTAAGCTCTGGTTAGACTGCTTGGGCGCATGGAAAAGTGAGGCGCAAAATTTTGATTTTATCAAGCAGCTAACGCTATGTTCACACTCTTTCCGGATAGCGTTTGCGCCCGCACAAAAACCATACCGAATATAGTGGGGAGGAGCGTTGCGTGACGACACTAAAAACGGCTGTGTAGCAGACTATGCCGAATAGGGCTTCTATACATGTTCACACTTGAGAACCGTGATGTCGGCGCGATTTCTGCAACAGAGCGAAGCTGCTACGCGCCGCTCTCTAAAGTGGAGAGTCACATAAATTCAGCAACATTTTTTTACCTATAATAAAATAGTATTGCTATGGGTTGCGCGTAAAGAAATATATATTTAGTATATGACTGCCGAGTATCCATGCAGACTGATGTCCTCATGGACCATAAGAGTGCTCAATACACTGCAGTTAGACTAGAGCAGAATCAATATAAGTAAACAGGCGGACTGGACTAAGTGGTCGTTACCATTTATTGCTACTCCGAGTTTCATGATATAATATTTCGTCCAGCTCAACTACTTTTATCTAGCACATATATATATAAAAGGAAATGCTGAAATGCCTTATACTTTGTCGGAGCCTGGTCTCCTTGAGGGGTTGAAATAAGCATGAACCACGCCCAGATTGGTCCTTCTTTGGGTTTCAGTTTCGATTTTCTGACAAGCATCCTATTCTTTGTGGGTCAATCGAAACGACTGTCGCAAGTAGTTTGATTAACGATGTTAGCTAACTCACCTCATACAAAAGTCGCTATAATTGGACAGACGTCCTTTTAAGTTGTGCTTTTCTTGTAAGGGTAGAAGCGGATTAACGTCGTGCTCTTCCGCGAAATGAATCCAGTTTGCTCCTTCTTCGATCTTCATACCAGCAAAAGGCACTGACTTCATTCGGCCACCAATGTAGTCTTGAGCCTCCAATACGAGAAAATCTGTGATACCTTTATCGTAAAGTGTCTTGGCAGCCGTGATTCCAGCAGCTCCCGCTCCCAGGATTAAAACTTTTTTCCTTCCTCGTTGTCCAGGGTGGATAGCAGAACCATCAAGTTGTGGTAAACTGAATAGAATAACGGAAACAGCGAGGCAAAGAAGCAAGTTGCACTTCATGTCGATCTACCCGAACTTGGACCCTATCAGTCACACAAATATCTATTGTTAAAAAATGAAAACAAACGTTGTTAGCCTTTTCGATAAGTACGAAAATCATCATGAGTAAATGCTTGCTCGGCTAGAATACTAGAAATTTGGACGATCAATAGCAGGGGCGTAGCGTGACGGATTTTGAAGGTGTACGCACGCTCGGAAGAAAAGTTATAGCGCCGAATGCGACCTAGCCTGCGCGCAGACGAAATTGAACTCTCGTTAACTCCGTCTGCGAAACAGCGCCGAAATCCTTGTTCTGGACTTCCAGCTGTGTACCCAGATTTGAGTACGCGCCACGATTGGCCAGTTAAAAAAGGCCTTTGTTTTATTTGTCGTGATCGCCAATCAGGTTGAAGGGGAATTCGAAACGCACTTCCGGTAATTTGTTGAGTCCGTTGGGGGTCCAGAACAAGGATCTCTGCGCTGCTTCGCAGACGGTACTAATCAGAGTTTAGTTATCGTCTGCACGCAGGCTAAATGCGGCCTAACCTAGGGGGTCACGGTAGGCCTAGATACAAATATATACAAAAAATGTTCTAAATTTCTTTCTAGAAATTCTCATAAAATTCCTAAATTTCTTTTGAATTTAGTCTAAGTTTCTTAAAAAAATCTTCTAAATTTCTCAGAAATATCATTTTTTTCTAATGTTAATTTGACCCATTTTTGGCTTTATATCAATTAAAGAAATGAAAAAAATATATACATTATTATTTGAATAGCAAAAGATGTATATTGCAGGGCTGGTTTATTTTAAGGTATAATAAGTAAATAAAAACATCTAAGCAACTCGATTTCATCAATTTCTGTTTATTAATTAAATATTGCAATTTGCCATAAGTGCTTTTCCAGAACACGGATCCCAGATAACCGTCGTAGGCGTGACAAAACTGAAACAACCTCATCTTCTCTTCCTCTTTGTTCTTGTTCACTCGCCTGTTCAATTTCCACTTCGATAACTTCCGCCATGTTGACTGATTGATTCCACATGGCGTCGAATTAATTGGTAGGTACTTTGTATATGGTGCATCTTATTGTACTGCAGAATAAATCTGCTGAAATGGTAGTATCGCTGGCTCGTAAAAGGACACGAAATTAATATAAACCTCTTTTTTTGTTCTTATGAAGTATCTTTTTTGTGATAATTGCTCTAAATATCACTTTTTTTTTTCTAAATTTCTCAACATTTTCTAAATTTCTCAAAAACTTCTAAATATCTCAAAAGATATCGCGATATTTGTATCTAGGCTTAGGTCACGGAGGGCATGTTCCTCCAAAAAATTGTTCAATTTATAAGGTCTCGTCAGCCATTTCCAGCGTTTCCTGCAGAACATTTTCAGTAAATTAATACGTGGGAAAATGCAATAGTTAGTTGTTTATTTTACCCATCTCTAGTGTTGTCGGTAAGGTACAGTGTTTACGAAAAAAAAACCAGGCCATGGCTAGTGACACCATCAGAATTATGGAACAATGAAAGGTAACTGAGATTAATACTAACGCAATGACACCAAAAGAGTGCGAAAAATGTATCAGTCATCCCGATTTAACGATGAAAAAAGGCTTTGCAGGAAATAGAAAGTATATAATTTTTCCATATTTCAACTGTACGCACGGGCGTCTCGGCCTGAATGTTCATCTCACAATGGCTCATATAAAACTAGAAATACGTGTGTCGCAGAACCACAAGAGGCCTAAGGTAAAGGGCCGACAGAAAAAAAAACAAACAAACAAACAATGAAACAAAACAAAAACAAAAAGAAAAAAATAATGTTGCGCTTGGAGGCTAGTAAGTAGCCTGTTCTAGGCGTTCAGATAGTAGAGCCGCGGCGGTCATCTGAACGCCTGGAACAGGCCAGCTTGTAAGGGACCGACCCACTCGCGATCACTTGCGGCAAATGTAGACAGATTTATAAATCTCGCTACGCGAGGAATAAAAATGGTGTATCAGAGCTTAGATTTTCTTAAAGCAGGAAAAAGTTATAACAACAAGCGGAAATAAGAAGCGAAGGACCATTTTCCTAAAATAGCAAATATTCGAGGAAACTGTACAATTACTTCACGTTTGTTGTTCCTTGTTTCCTAAAAACTGTAATGACAATCAAGGTCACTTTAACAAATGTTGTGGATCTAAATTCTATTAAATGCTGTGCTTTTTGCTTTCACGGATTCTATTTTACAAACTGTATTTTTTTTAATGCGCGATAAAAATATCTATTCGTTTTTGCCCGCGATTGCGTGACAAATTTAATTAAAAACAAGTCTCCCACAGTTTGTAGTAACTACGAGTCTATGAACCTCGTAAAAATGTCTCTAAAAATGGTATCGCCCATCATTTATCGTCCATCGTCCATCGTCTATCGTCTATCGTCCAGAATCCATCGTCTGGGTTTTAGCACATGCCGCTGGGAACGTCCTTGGACGAAAGCGCAAGCGAGCTCGTGACAAACCTGTCATTGCTTGCCTTTGACTTCCGGGTCAAGTGTGACTCTCGGTCACATGTCAATGCTTCGCTCGCCATTTTCTCCCTCGTCGAAGTTAGTCTTGCAAATTTATTGACATTGTCTGAGAGAAGTTTGGTCTTTAACTTCCTTGAATTGCAATGAATTCGCGGTCCAACTTTGCGGTTATTTCCCTTGCTTGTTTGTGCCTTCTAAACATTTGGTCATCGTCGGAGAGCCGTTCTAGACGGGATACAGCTTTAGGTATGTTTACGGTTTAGTTGCAGTTCCTAATAGTTCTTCAGCAACAGGCAGATAGCTCTAGCGAAGATCCCGAGTTGGTAATAAGCCTTAATTGTACACATTTGATTCGCTGTTAGTTCGTCGTATTAGCATGTTCTCACTTCAAACGAGCACGTAAGGATCCAGTATGCATGTATTCAATTTACAAGCTTCCACTAAACACCAATGTTAACTATTAACCGCGCGACAGACGCCTCTATGATCAGAAATATTGCTTATCAAGTTAAATTTTAAGCAAAAGTCTAACTATAATTAAAACTGGGGTTGTTCGTAGTAATAATGAGCCATCCTTACTTAAAGGTTGGAGCGCGAATCACGCTTTAATTCAGTTTAAATTGTTGGACCAAATTCAATAATAAGGAAGCGGTTGAAAACATTTTCAGTTTTTAATTGGCTGATATTGTTTTTGTTGCGAAGCAGTGGTTGGAGTCAAAATCTTCAAGCCATCTCGTTGCATGGATTACATTTTCATTTTCTTTAGCATGATGTGAAAGTTTATTGAACTGAAAGATAAATGTTACTTCATTTGTAAAATAAATCGTCGCATAAAACTCTAAACAGGTTTATCAGGGCTGAAAGCTAAGCTCAAAGAGCTCAAACAACGACAAAGTTGTTGACGAACTTGATATGGGCTTGTCTACCGTAACGGTGACAACGGTTATGTTGTTATGCCACATGACAGGTGTTCTGGGAAATGACGCGCGAAGTGATCAAGATATTGTCATACCGACCATACGATTGCACTACGGACGCGTACGAGCTATACCAAATCCGTGTGCCATATACACCATTTTTACCCCTAACGCTAATGTACTAGTCATTTGAGACCCTCGCCCCCACCCCTCCGTCGGGGATGACCGGGGCATTCACTTTTTATGCAAGTGAAAGCAAGTGGATTCTCCGCTCCCCGGGGCTAAATGAATGGTGAACTCCCCCGCCCCCTTATGACCCACACACCAAGAGACTAAAAAGGGGACAGAGAGGGCATCCCCCATATACACCCTACTCCATAGGTAATTCGTCTCGAGTTATTTTTAGAATCGGGATGAAGTTACCTCGCGCGAGGCGTGGATGTTTCGTGGAGGTTTCGCATGACCAAACGCAGTGCAAAACATGTCGGGCGAGAGGCAATGAAAGCGTAAAAAGATCGAGAGCATTCCTGAATATTGATGAAGCGAAATTAGTCGGCGCTCACCTGGGAAAAAGGATTCGCAGGACTCTTTGACAACCCGTGAAATCAGTTTAACTCGAAGTTGTCGTAACCTCAGTGCTTTAATAAAATGAGAAATTTCGCCGGTCTATTGAAACCGGTCGTTTGTACAATTTAGGGACTTTAAGATCCAACGACGCGGACGACAACTAGAACCTCAAAAAAACAATAGGTTTAATTAGCAAAACAACAATTTCGCACGTGCGACACACTTTTTTGTTCATTTCTTTCCCGTTTTTGCACGACTACGACGTGAAAATGCCTAATTTCGCGTTTTATGGAGGACGTAAATAAGAAACGACGAAATTTTATTTCTCTTTCTGAGCTTGAATATGGTCCCTTGAAATTCAGCTTTAGGAGGGTTCGCCTACAATTGACAAAGTAAGTGGGTAGGAATAATCGCTATAAAGACTGAAAAAAATAAACATCAAACGAGAAATTGCTCTCTTCAAACTGTAAATTATAAATGATCCTGAGAGAATATTCAGTGTGTTAAGGATTTCCCTGCTCTACCGTTAGCTCTATACAAGAGAGGAAGGGCGATTCTTTTTTAATTTCGGTTTCGCTGACACAGCTTTCGCAGAAATCTCGCTGTAGTCGTTTTCGTCGACAAAAGGAATAGCAAAATCGCTCTCCGCGTCTTCCCCCGTTTTGTTCTGCGTCATTTCGTGAAGGACGCGTGGCTCTCAGCGTGGGTCATCCACGCGGAACACATTCGCGCTATGTGATTGGCTATTGTCTAATCCCCCTTGAGATCTGTGGTGTTGAAAATAACTCGAGACGAATTACCTATGGAATAGGGTGTATATGGGGGATGCTCTCTCTGTCCCCTTTATAGTCTCTTGCCACACACACAATACTCCCTTTCAAATTTTACAACTCTAATCGTGTTACCGCCAAGAACAAGGAATGACAAATATGATGATTAGAGCTGTGGAAGAACTTGCCTGCGAATACAGCCGTTTCTACTTTCTCCTCACCGCTAGGGATAGACTGCTTGCAGTCCGTCTAGTTCTTGATCGCATCCAGCGCGATTGCAAACCACGATGTTATTATATAGGGATCGAGACGAGACGAGAAAAGACGGACTGCTGACTCTTTTGTAGTAAACAAACCCTCTTATTTTTTCTTCTCGGGCTCACGCCCTCGTTTCTCGGGGTAAGCGGCTTCGCCGCTCGCATGCTTAGGTTTTGCGTGCAGTAACTTTGCAAAGAAAAATAAGAGACTGCTCGCAGTCTACGCTAGGGACGTTTCCCCTCCCTAGCAATGAGGAACAAGGAGAAACGGGTGTATTCGCAGGCGACAGGAGCAGCTATTATAACACCTGTAAACTCTCGAAGGAGAAGGAAAATGACGACAGGAGCCGATTACCTGATGATGACTATTTGATAACGACGCGATAACAACAAATTTTAACTCATGTTTTACAGCCTTTTGAGATTTTTATGAAAAATAAAAACACTACTATGAAGAGGAAAATAAGACGCGAACCTCTCGTATAAATGACAGGAAAATGTGCTGGCGTCTGACGCGACGCAACTAAGACACACGTGATATGCCTGTATAAATGGTATAGTTTATGTCTTCTTTAAGACTTATCGTAGGTAAGCCTCGCCTTATTATTCCACGTTTAAATGGCCCCAATGAAACACAACAGACAACAACAATGTTGTGGAATACAGACGAACTTAAACTCTAAAAAAAAATACTTGTGAATGTTTAACCAAAAGTAGCGGCCAATATGTCTTTTTATTCAGTCGAAGCCCTCCTTGTGACCGCTCCCGTAAGCGCTACCACGTTTGGGATTACCCAGCTAAACTTTTCCTTTGTTTTTAAGCTCTCGTAAGTCACCACTCAGAGTCCTATTCATATAAATCAACATGAAACTGCACGCTGCGCTGTTGGTTCGTTGATAAAGATCTGTGGGTTATTTTGGTCTAAAAAATATGGACGTAAAGGTTAGCTCTGTTCATATCAGATGTAAAGACACTCATTAAACATTAATTTTTTTATTATGATTATTTTTCTTTATGAATTATTAATGAGTTTCTCGTAAGCGACCAGCTCTAGTTAGGACCACTTTTTCGTATTTCGAGGTGGTTGCTTACGAGAACTTCGACTGTATATGAAACCTTAATTGATATCTCTTCAGGAGTAATGGTTGTTTTAGCAGTTATGTTACGATGCATGCAGCGCGAAAATGAAAACCGCTGACTACAGAGTGACTTCCCCGCTTATTCCCCGGTCAGGGAGGCGAAGACCTCCGAATTTCTAGCGTATCCCCCGCTTACCGGGGGACAAAAATGGAGTGAGTATGAATTGAAAGGCCCTGCATTACCCCGGTAATCCCCGATGGTTTCAAATGACTGTTGCATAATTCATTTGGAAAGAGTTATAGATGTGTGGATACGGTATATTGTTGACGTAATTGTTTTACTATTTGTGCCATTAGCATAAGGACTTAATAGCAAAAGACCGCCGTAAATTAAATTTTCTCTCAAGAAGACTTTTCATTCGCAAATAATATCATCGACTCAGTTTAAATCTACAGAAACAGTAAAACGGTTGCGCATTCGCAGATAACCTTCTTGCACAATGAATCGTTTCTCTGAACAGAAGTTTCTAGTTATTGGGCGGCCCATGAGGGTAACGCATAATCAAGAAATACCTTTGGCCATGTCAAAAAAAGACAAAATGGCGGACGAAACTCTCAGGAGACTTTGCGTGTCCCATTCCCCCTTGTGATGGGGCCGATTTTTGCGGCGAGGGGACGGGTCATTTCAGGGCGTCTGGTGAACAGACTTAGAAGTCGATTTGGAACAAACTCAAAATTATTGTGTGGAATTATTAGCCCTATATCAACGCGGAATGATCAACTTAATACAGTATTCGATGATGTAGTTCGCCTGCGCGGGAGATGCAGAAACAAGCGGCCTTCCCACGGTCCCCATGGGAACAGTTCTCTCCTTGCGTGTGGAAAATCTTTCCTTACAAAGGAATATGCTATTTATAGATCGCCCCGTCAAATAGAAACATATTCACTTGCCATGGATTGTTAGAAGGACTTTAAATGTAATATCCGACAGAAATAGAGCTGAAATTTGCTTTGCGAGTTTTAAGGAACAGAATATCACTGTTATTTAACAGTATATACCATTCATCGGAAATCAATCGATATCATCGATATAAGTAATGGTAACAGGACTGAGTGGAGTCCAATTGGGTCTGTAGTCATACGAGTGATTAACAAAATCGGACGACCGCCGTAGCATTGTGGAAATGTCCCAGTTGAAAATAATGCTAATCGTTTCTTGTTTCTTAAGGCTATCTGGCCAATTTTTATTCATAACGGTAGAAGTCACTATTCAGCCCTGGCTTAAAAACGCGCACTCGGCAGCCCAATGAACCCCCACTATGGGGGTCTTGTTAAATCTTTGTATTCATTTTTTTGCCTCCTTGACATATGCCCTTCATTTTTTGAATAAGCTATTAAAAAGGAATCCCTTTATTTTATATTTTGTTTGTATTTCACTTAAGGCGCCGTATATTAAAAAAAACACACACTCAAAATCGTCCTCATTGTGTAATTTCTGCAGTCCCAAGCTAGACGTACGCAAAAGTGAAAAAATGGCAGAAAATAATGTTCAAGTGACATGTACTGTCTTGACTAGCGAAGTTGATCTATTTGATAAAACGTAAGTTTTAATTTACTTCTACTTTTTTAAAAGAATTTCTCTCATGTTTTATCTTGGACTCTACTGTTTACCTTGTTTTGCATGCTAGAATCATTTTATTTTGTTATCCATTCCACTCATTCGCTTACTGGACAGAGTTTTTCATTATAACCTTGCAGAGTTAAAATGGCGCCATTTTCATATTTTACAGAGCAGAGCCTTCAAGCATTGCATCGGTCTAAAGGGTTTCATAACTTCTTTCAGGACCTAAATTTCCTCAGCTGGGTTTTTAATTTAGCATAATATCTTTTCTAATAACGAAAAGAAAAAGATCTGTTTACCTTTGCTGATCCTGGCCAAAACGTCGGGAGAAAATAAAGAAGCAGCAGCTCGAAGAACAACTCAGAAAGAATTAGTTAAATTATTTGAGTGTTGTGACTTTTGTATTTGTGGCTTTGACAATAAACTGTCTCTCTATTGGCGAACGTACACTGACACAATGGAGATGACGAGTGAGATTAACTGATTATACTGTTTCGTAGACAAAGCCATAGAAAACAACAAAGATTTTGTACTGGAAACGAATATCACACATTAACTTTTCTCTAAGTAAACTTAATTTCCATACGTTCCTTTATTCCTTAGTTTTCGCACGACGTCGAAACTCCCATGGGAGAGAATACTAGTGTCACCTCCCGCCAAATATAAATCAGTTCAGGGGCACCCAACGACAATTTTCGGAAAAATATCTGTTCGGAAGACGATTTGAGATCTAGAATTTTCGGAACATTTGTTGTAAAATTTCTTGCTTGCCTGCCTCTCCTAGGATTTTAGGACATCTAAAAAATGGTATAATTGCCTATTTTTAACGTATTTTTACCCTAAAAAGGCCACCTAGAATTTTCGGGAGCCTTTTTTCTCGCTAAAATTTTCGAAAAAGTAAGTTTTGATCCCTATAATTTTCGGATCACTTGACTTTCAGCTAAGAAATCCGAACAGATGAAAAATTTTTAGGGGATAAAAATATGCCTATATCTACCGTTTAAATACTAAAATACGTTAAACAATTCTATGTTTAAGTGGTTTTGAACTATATTCTCGTTGGGTGCCCCTGTCAGTTACCGTATACATCTAATGCAAAACAAGTACTTTCTATTTAACACATGGGAGATCCATTTAGTTTAAACGTACGATGAATTCTTATCGTTGCGAATTCACAAGAGAGCTGTGTCTGGCACTGATTTTGCTCAGACAAATAAAGGATGTGCACTTCAAAGCTGTGTGTCGCAAAAGATGTTCATAATACGTGTGGTGAATAAATTTCATAAATTAGGATAATTATGCGAACTGACCAAGGTGTACAAAGAAGTGGGCTTCTATTTTGTTCAATCCTGCCTTTAAGACGTGCGAATGCATTGTATTTCTAAATACAAAAGCTCTTAGCTTGAAATAACTTCTACAGTCAACTACTTCTAAACGGACCGACCTCTCTTTAAACCTAGAGTTCGTCCCTGTATTTCTTTCCTGCTGTAAGTTGACTCCTCTTTAACTCGGGCACCTCTCTAAGGCTCTGACTAACGCGAACAGATTGTGCCGGTCCTAAAGGTGTTATATTAATATGCACTCAGACTTCAAACGAAAAAAAAGGTGGGAGAAAGATGATCACATAATTCTTTTTATCGTCGGTTTCATGATGAATTGATAGATTCATGATCAATTCGTCAAAAGATAGCTGCTTACAATAAAAAAAAATCATCTTCCATTTTTTAGTATTTGGAGGAGCACAGAAAATGAATTTCGTCTTCGATTTGATCACATTCACAGTCAGGGCAAACGCTATAGACTCTAACATGTGTCTAATTACAGTCGAAGCTCTCCTTGCGACCACTCTAGTAAGCGACCAGCTTCGGTTACGACCACATTTGTGATACGCGATCGATGGATGGCTTAAAAGCGAATGAATGAACGAAATAACTTAAATGAAAAATAACCAGGTGAGTAAGAATGCCAAGTGCACGGAGGCAAATTAGTTGGCAACTCACAGGCGTGGTCAACTGGATTATATTGGAACCCTAAAGGGGGGGGGTACTCCTGGGAATTATTGGTGGGGGTGTGCCGCCCGGCTCTCCAAATTTCAGACCCCCAAATTTCTTTTTTCACTCCCGTTTTCAATAGTTTTGCATCTAACAAGATAAAACCATCGGTTAATGAAACAAACTGGAGTAGTTTGCCAGCCAGGACCTGTGCTCTTATTCTCTTTATTTCGATTTGAATATTTGATTACAAGCCCGGAAAGTTACCGGGGCTTTCGAGTAACGGGCCCTTGGGTCCCGTTTCTCGAAGGGCCGGTAACTTTTCGGGTCCGTAATCAAATATTCAAATCAAAACCTGTTGAATAGCAGCAAAGTTCCTAGCTCACAAACCGGTCAATTTTGCTTCTGATAATTTCTGAACTGATAAATGAAATAAACTGATAATTTCATTGTGTCATTTTCGAAATTATTGAAACTTTGATGATTGAGTGAGAACACGGCAAACATAAAACAGCTTTTCGGGCCCGAAAAGTTATCGGGACGTTCGAGAAACGGGTCCCAGGCCTCTAAAATCCATACCCGTTTTCAGACCTGGCTTGTAAGAAATTATGTCATCATTACTTAGATATAAGAACGCCAAAACAAAAGATTCGTTAAAATCCACTTCAAATTCGCATATTTATCTCTCTTTCCTATTCATTTAGAATTGAAACGATAAATGCGTTCATACACGTCCGTAGTTTCCTCGAAAACCATACCCGATTCAAGACCAAAATAGACAAAGTCTAGACCCCTTTCCTTGACCAAAACGGCCCAAAAACCATACCCTTTGGGGGGGGGCACATACCTATATGGCTTATATAAGGGAGTACCCCCCGAATGTGAATTCCAAGGCGATGATCAAGACAAGGCCGTAAGTGTCTAAGGTCGGAACACACAAGGTGACACGGTCGCTACAACAAGTCGCGGCGGCATAATCACGCCTTGTGTTCCAGTGTGCTTGTTCGGGATACAAAAGTCTGTTCGGAGACAAAGATTTTCACCAAAAAAAATTCAACTCTTCAATACTCACGAAGCGATTGTCACCCAGTGAACTGTACCGACCTTTAAGCTTGAGGCCTCCGGGTTTCAAGCCTGGCCCCCTTAGATCTTAGCCACGCTGCTTCCCCACTTTTCTTTCACTAATTATTTGACTTTTTTTAATTTTCAGGAGAAAAATTGAGCGCGTTCTTAGCTGGTTTGAAGGGCCGTCAACTAACGGAAGAACAGAAAAATGATATCCTGATCATGAAAACTGCATTAAGGTGAGTTGTGTGACTAGAGTGGTGTTTATGGCCTTTTTACATTTAATTAAAGTGAAACAAACCGAAAAAACAACAAAGAAAGAAAAACTACAACACCATAAGTCACTAAGTAAACTCGCTTACCCGCACTAACTGTCCAGTCAGCATTTTGCAAATATTGTAGTAATATAGAATAAAAATCAATATATCTTTGCTGCTAAGCTAACATTAGATGTTGTCATTTCCGAAAGCACAGGAAAACAGAAATGTACTTTTTTAGTTTTACGCAGATTCCTACCGCCATTCACCAAGAACTTAGAGCTAAGTTAAAGCTGCCATTACTACATTTGCTACGTTCATACTATACCGGTCGTTTCGATACAGGTCTTTTCGATACAAATTTATTCACTCGAGGTGTAAATAGTTCCCCGTACTTGGCTTAATTAAAGAACGAAGATATTAACCCAAAATGTTTTTCTTGTTCACACGCAACTACTACACCTGAGGTGAACAAAATTTTTGTGCAATTTCACTTCTTGAGTTTGTATCGAATCGACTTGTATCGAAACGACTTTTTATCGAAACGACCGGTTTTAGGTTTCAACGAACCAACCCGTTTGACCCATGGCCACTGCCTGAAAAGAACTAAAAAAAGTTCCGGTCTCAAAGCTTAAAAACATATGCCAAATAGCAGATTGAAGCTGTTAGAGATGTTGCGGACGATCTTCATCGTTTAAACGTTCGCTCCCTTGCAGCCATAAATGGTTTTCACAATGACGACATCAAATTGTAAAGTCAAAATAGCGAGGTTTCACGAATTCCTATTTACACTAGGTTGAAGATAAACAAAAAAAAATCTTTGTACAAGTTTCCATTCCCGTAGCATGTTTCATTTCGAAAATACAGCAATTTGAACTTCCAAGTTTTGACAGTGCGTGACACCAATTGAAAATAGGAATGCTGTCTCGTTGAAAAAAAGTCTCTCCTCTTGATTTTCCGCAGTATAACCATTTCAGGTATTAGAAGATATGTCTATGCGCCCGAATTCTAGTACTCGAGTGAAAAAAAGAGCTTTTAATAGAAAAAGTGAACTCCAGATGTTTTTGTTGATTTCTGGCGGCCATATTGGCGTCCAATCAGTGGCGTCTCCATACAAAGCTCTACAAAGGTGCGTGAAACGTTTCGGCAAATAACTCAGAAACTGTGGTTTCACAAACACCTGAGACTTGGACAAATTGTTTATAAATTAGTCTTTTATAACATTTCGTCTTCTTGGCTTGTTCCACTAAACGGTTTCCAACTTAATTTTTTGTTGCATGACAGTAAAAACGATCTATATCTTAGCTTCGCTATTTTTAAACGAAACTGTCGAATCAGGTCAAATTTTTGTTACCTGCCCATGCGCAGACAGCGCTTCTTAAGCTAATCCAAAATGGCGTTTTCACTCATCCATGCAACCACGCCTTTGCCGTACAAACATTTTGACGGCCAAATTTTCAATCGCACCGACTAAAAATTTTATCGTTAGCATGGTTTCGTGTGAACGAAACACCTTAACCCACTAATTTCCATTTGGTCCAAAATTGGTCGGTAACGTGTTTCAACAACGTTAATTAACGTATTTTAAGGAGGACCTTAGATAACAATGACCTCAACCAGTTTGACGTCCAGCGGTTTAGTGAAAACAAGGGTTTGGGTGGGGTGCTCAGTCTCGCGGGCTCATAAAACCTGATTGTTATTTAAGGATTTTCGTATTTTAAGGTCTAGAGCCTACTTGACAAGCCCTCAAGGTCATGTGGGAAGCTGAAAGCTCCTTTGTATTCTGACATAACATCTGGGTTGTCACAACGGTATGAATCTTGCCTCGTCGCTTCTTGCTCAATGCATTTCGGACTCGCTGGGACCACGTGACCCAAAACGCATCGGCCGCGCGCAATAATAAGGTCTAAAAACCAGGCATAAGCGCGTCGGTATGTTTATGTTTCGAGGTTGGCCGCTAGCTCTGTGACAGGTCTCTGGCACTGGCGGTAATCTAACTTATATTATTGACTAAATATAGATTTCTTTACTTTACTTTTATGGCTAGTTCTTTAAACAAGACGCTAGCGGAAAACCAGGAAATGGAACCAACTTCTGAGCCTAATGAACCTACCACACGGCAATCGTCAGATGAAGTGTGGGCGTTCTTAGGTGAATTTAAGGGCCGTCAACTAACGGACGAACAGAAAAATAATATCCTGATCATCAAAGCTGCATTAAGGTGAGTTGTGTGACTAGAGTGGTGTTTATGGCCTTTTTACATTTAACTAAAGTGAAACAAAAAAAAAAAAAACAAAGAAAGGAAGAAAAACTACTAAAGACCTGAGACTTGGACAAATTGTTTATAAATTAGTCTTTTAAAACATTTCGTCTTCTTGGCTTCTTCCACTAAACGGTTTCCAACTTAATTTTTTGTTACATGACAGTGAAAACGATCTATATCTTAGCTTCGCTATTTTTAAACGAAACTGCCGAATCAGGTCAAATTTTTGTTACCTGCCCATACGCGGACAGCGCTTCTTAAGCTAATCCAAAATGGCGTTTTCACTCATCCATGCAACCACGCCTTTGCCGTACAAACATTTTGACGGCCAATTTTTCAATCGCACCGACTAAAAATTTTATCGTTAGCACGGTTCCGTGTGAACGAAACACCTTAACCCACTAATTTCCATTTGGTCCAAAATTGGTCGGTAACGTGTTTCAACAACGTTAAATAACGTATTTTAAGGAGGACCTTAGATAACAATGACCTCAAGCAGTTTGACGTCCAGCGGTTTAGTGAAAACAAGGGTTTAGGTGGGGTGCTCAGTGTCGCGGGCTCATAAAACCTGATTGTTATTTAAGGGTTTTCGTATTTTAAGGTCTAGAGCCTACTTGACAAGCCCTTAGGGTCATGTGGGAAGCTGAAAGCTCCTTTGTATTCTGACATAACGTCAAGGTTGTCACAATGGTATGAATCTTGCCTCGTCCCTTCTTGGACAATGCATTTTGGACTCAATGGGACCACGTGACCCAAAACGCATCGGCCGCGGGCAATAATAAGGTCTAAAAACCAGGCATAAGCGCGTCGGTATGTTTATGTGTCGAGGTTGGCCGCTAGCTCTGTGACAGGTCTCTGGCACTGGCGGTAATCTAAGTTATATTATTGACTAAATATAGATTTCTTTACTTTACTTTTATGGCTAGTTTTTTAAACAAGACGCTAGCGGAAAACCAGGAAATGGAACCAACTTCTGAGCCTAATGAACCTACCACACGGCAATCGTCAGATGAAGTGTGGGCGTTCTTAGGTGAATTTAAGGGCCGTCAACTAACGGACGAACAGAAAAATAATATCCTGATCATCAAAGCTGCATTAAGGTGAGTTGTGTGACTAGAGTGGTGTTTATGGCCTTTTTACATTTAACTTAAGTGAAACAAAAAAAAAAAAAACAAAAAAAGGAAGAAAAACTACTAAAGACCTGAGACTTGGACAAATTGTTTATAAATTAGTCTTTTAAAACATTTCGTCTTCTTGGCTTCTTCCACTAAACGGTTTCCAACTTAATTTTTTGTTACATGACAGTGAAAACGATCTATATCTTAGCTTCGCTATTTTTAAACGAAACTGCCGAATCAGGTCAAATTTTTGTTACCTGCCCATACGCAGACAGCGCTTCTTAAGCTAATCCAAAATGGCGTTTTCACTCATCCATGCAACCACGCCTTTGCCGTACAAACATTTTGACGGCCAATTTTTCAATCGCACCGACTAAAACTTTTATCGTTAGCACGGTTCCGTGTGAACGAAACACCTTAACCCACTAATTTCCATTTGGTCCAAAATTGGTCGGTAACGTGTTTCAACAACGTTAAATAACGTATTTTAAGGAGGACCTTAGATAACAATGACCTCAAGCAGTTTGACGTCCAGCGGTTTAGTGAAAACAAGGGTTTAGGTGGGGTGCTCAGTGTCGCGGGCTCATAAAACCTGATTGTTATTTAAGGGTTTTCGTATTTTAAGGTCTAGAGCCTACTTGACAAGCCCGTAGGGTCATGTGGGAAGCTGAAAGCTCCTTTGTATTCTGACATAACGTCAAGGTTGTCACAATGGTATGAATCTTGCCTCGTCCCTTCTTGGACAATGCATTTTGGACTCAATGGGACCACGTGACCCAAAACGCATCGGCCGCGGGCAATAATAAGGTCTAAAAACCAGGCATAAGCGCGTCGGTATGTTTATGTGTCGAGGTTGGCCGCTAGCTCTGTGACAGGTCTCTGGCACTGGCGGTAATCTAACTTATATTATTGACTAAATATAAATTTCTCTACTTTACTTTTATGGCTAGTTCTTTAAACAAGACGCTAGCGGAAAACCAGGAAATGGAACCAACTTCTGAGCCTAATGAACCTACCACACGGCAATCGTCAGATGAAGTGTGGGCGTTCTTAGGTGAATTTAAGGGCCGTCAACTAACGGACGAACAGAAAAATAATATCCTGATCATCAAAGCTGCATTAAGGTGAGTTGTGTGACTAGAGTGGTGTTTATGGCCTTTTTACATTTAACTAAAGTGAAACAAAAAAAAAAAAACAAAGAAAGGAAGAAAAACTACAAAAGACCTGAGACTTGGACAAATTGTTTATAAATTAGTCTTTTAAAACATTTCGTCTTCTTGGCTTCTTCCACTAAACGGTTTCCAACTTAATTTTTTGTTACATGACAGTGAAAACGATCTATATCTTAGCTTCGCTATTTTTAAACGAAACTGCCGAATCAGGTCAAATTTTTGTTACCTGCCCATACGCAGACAGCGCTTCTTAAGCTAATCCAAAATGGCGTTTTCACTCATCCATGCAACCACGCCTTTGCCGTATAAACATTTTGACGGCCAATTTTTCAATCGCACCGACTAAAAATTTTACCGTTATTACGCCGGGTTCCGTGTGAACGAAACACCTTAACCCACTAATTTTCATTTGGTCCAAAATTGGTCGGTAACGTGTTTCAACAACGTTAAATAACGTATTTTAAGGAGGACCTTAGATAACAATGACCTCAAGCAGTTTGACGTCCAGCGGTTTAGTGAAAACAAGGGTTTAGGTGGGGTGCTCAGTGTCGCGGGCTCATAAAACCTGATTGTTATTTAAGGATTTTCGTATTTTAAGGTCTAGAGCCTACTTGACAGGCCCTCAAGGTCATGTGGGAAGCTGAAAGCTCCTTTGTATTCTGACATAACATCTGGGTTGTCACAATGGTATGAATCTTGCCTCGTCCCTTCTTGCTCAATGCATTTCGGACTCGCTAGGACCACCTGACCCAAAACGCATCGGCCGCGCGCAATAATAAGGTCTAGGAACCAGGAATAAGTGTGTAGGTATGTTTATATTGTTTAGGGGTTGGCCGCAAGCCGGAAACAGTTTTATGACAGGTCTCTGGCACTGGCGGTAATCTAACTTATATTATTGACTTGATGTAGATTTCTTTACTTTACTTTTATGGCTAGTTCTTTAAACAAGACGCTAGCGGAAAAACGTGAAATGCAACCAACTTCTCAGCCTAATGAACCTACCACACTGCAATCATCGAGTACAGCAGGATTCTCGACCAAGGAAACATCAACTACTACTGAAAAAACTACACATAGATCAAAAACTACAACCACTAAAACAGAGATCGCAAGCACATCTTCAACAATGAAAGTGGCTTCCACACAAAAATCCTCAACTTTGAAGGTAAAGACGACTTCAAAGTCAACTGAAGCAACATCTCAAACTAATGAAATGACTACAATACAATCATCGACTATAGCAGAATTATCGACCGAGAAAACATTAGCCGCTACCCCAACAAGTAAACCCACATCAAAAATCACAAAGACTGATACAGATGCAGATGTAAGCACCTTACCTTCTACTCAACCTCCAACGTCAGAACTAACTCCTAAAACGGCCAGAGAAAGCTCAATCATGAAGCCTTCACCACAAGAACAAGCCTCTACAAAAAAGTCTATAGCTCCCAGTAACCCTTCAAAAACTTCGAAACAACCGAAAAAAGGTACGAAGAGACCCTTTTTTCATTAGTTTTTATATTACTATGGTAAGAAGCTACGCATGTTTACTTCTGTAATCCTAGGGTGCGTTCCTTTGAGATGATCTGGATCAAGATCAGTGATCCGTGATCACTCGGATCATGGTAGATCAAACGAACCGACGAATCCACTCTGAACAAGGATTCATTGGTTCATTTGATCTACCATGATCCGAGTGATCTCGGATCACTGATCCTGATCCGGATCATCCCAAAGGAAAGCACCCCTAGTCTCCAGGTTGCGTGCGCAGAATGTAGGTATTCAACCTTCGTCTAGACTTCTACTAAGAATGAATGGAATGTATAGAACGAAATATGATCAGACGCCGGCGGTGTTTAAACCCTCAAAACTGTCACTCGTAAACTGATCACGCGCGTTTTGACTATCTATCACGTGAAACGTATGCAAAGCACAGCGTTGTAACCTGTAAAAGCAGCAAGAGCGTTTTGATCGGTACGTTGCCGATGTATCCCAAATACCGTAAAAAAAATACGTACTGACTTGACGTGAGAGAGACGAGATTGTTGGGGGGGAGGGTTGGGTAAGCGCAAAAGGTTGGTAACAGACGGAAGTGCAGTTAGATTATGCAGCTGCTGCTGCTACTGCTAATGATGATGATGATGATGGTAATAATGATGTTAAGGATGTTGATGATGAGGAGGAGGAGGAGGAGGAGGAGGAGGATGTTGATGGTAATAATGATGATGAGGATGATTTTGATGATGATGATGATGACCAGGATGAGGATGATGACGGTGATGACGATGACGATTATGATGATGGTTCGCGGAGTCCATAAGGCAGTTTTTTTTCCGAGACAACGCATCTCGGTTTCAATTAAAATGTGAAATCGTTCTGTAGGACTGAATGCAACTTTCGGGGCTCAATTTGCCGCTTTGCCATCGGTCAAGTAAGTTTTTAGTTTTGCTCACAACTTCGTCACTCTGGTCACGTTGTCTTGTTTAATCTGCCTAAAAGTGGTTCTCGAAAGATTTAAAATCACGGCCGCACGTATGCCCAGAACCTATTTAAAGTGTTTATTAGAGTTGGCCAAAACGTATCGAATTTGAGATGATAAGAACAGTTATTTTAAATTTGAAATGAACAGATGATCGTCGCAGTGGTAAGTGCAATTTAAGCAGTTGCAAATAACCCAAAACTAATTTTGGGACTTCAAAGGGATTCAAACCCATGGCTTCCGCGATAGCGCTGCAGTGCTCTACCATTTGAGGTACGAACACCCATACTTAGGGAGCAGGCCAGTACGTTCAGTTCGCATCAACTATTTCCTCCTTGCGTTGTCTACCTTGCTTACAAACTGCAAACCTGATACTGCTTCTTGGTTATTTTGGTGAATTGATGGGAAAATATGTTTATTTGTTGTGCTGACCCTTTGAAAACTTAATTTACATTTTTTGAAAATAGATGGGAGTACGACGACTTCTTACAGCAACACCAGTGGATCTGAAGGGTGAGTTGATCACTTCGATGCACTTAGAACATGCTCAGTTCACCAAGCTCTGAAGTAAAAAGCGATTAATGAGGGAATGCCTCATGCATTCTTTCGTTTCATTATTGTGGGCGGCAAGAGGAGCCCGCAATCCTAATCTCCAGGTTGTTATTACGCATGCGTCGCATGTATGTAGCCAGCATTCGTTTGGACTCAATCTCGTACCCAGAGTCTTCGGACTTTCTGACCAAAAAGCCAGAAGACTCGATCTGGGTACGAGATTGACTTCCACTAAGAATGAATGGAATGCACAGAACGCAATTTGATCACGCGCCTTTGGACCTTCTATCACTCGTAATTTCATCACGCGTGTTTTGACTACGCAAAGCACAGCGATGGAGCAAAAGCGTATAAAAAAGCCTGATCGCAGGTTACCGAACGTTTTCGCCGTCACTCTAGATCTGTGACCTTTGGTCATTGCTATTAGGGTAAGTGGTAATTAAATATCAGTAGCTACATTTCCTGCTTGGATATAAGGCCCTGTTTATATGGAGAAAAATTGTCCCAGAAAGGAGGAACACCCTCCCACCTGAGTCAACTTTAGCGCGCGTTTATATGAGAAAAAATTTGACCCCTCTGCCCAAGCCAAGTCCACTGGCGCATACTTTGATTTTCTCGCCTTGACCGAGTTGACCCGGCTGGGCGAGCCAAAGCGTTTATATGGAGAAAGTTGGTCCTGCTAAAGGGATGATCCTACCATCGAAAAGCCCCCTAACCCCACTTTTTGTTTCTCTTGTAAACGGGTCGCCAAGTTTTGTACGGAAATGTAGGAGAAGTTTGCTCGCCCAGAGTAGCTCGGGTAGGTGACTGACCCTTCTGCCAAGGACACATTTTCTCTCTATAAATGAGGCCTAATTAACTTCAGCTATTTTGTCCATCTTGTAGGTTCACTGATCGCCTTTTTAAACATTCGAGTAATTTTCCAGCGGTCTTCATGGTGATCCTTGTGGTCATTGTAGCTATTTACTTTGGTTATCACCACAGAAACAAGGTAAGTTTCAGATCAGTCCGCTAGAACTGATGTTGAATGAATAGCTTTTCAGCACCTCGAACCCTATTTACACAATCAAGGTTTCTTGTTAGGTAGTACCCTGTTCCCAGAAGTGTTTCTTGTGATTTTTCAAGAAAAACCGCCGTGGGACCAGGGTCGTCAGGGAGAAACTTGTCCTTATGATAACTTGATTAAACTTGCTAGAGGTTCGCAGAGACTTACCTTTTTTAGATGGCGCGAAACAACTTATGCAAATAATGACACTTTTAGTTTGGTCAAAAGAAGATTTCCCGATGAATCTATATTTGCAAACTTTGCGTTTTTTGTTGTTGTTATTTATCGTTGTTTCGTTTTTTTGTTTTTAAGGCAGCACTATGAATTGTTTGACTAGGCACTCAGTCTATCTTCACTCGAGTACAGTTAAGGTCCTTAATTAAGGCATCAACAAACTTGTGCGTTTGCTGCCTTCGTCAACTTGCCAAAAATGCAAGGATTATTACAAACGTATGTTCATTAGACGGTCTTGTACACATCCTCTTACGACCAAGTCGTTAAAGTATAATAGTTGGTGGTGCAGCCCGCGGTCTTCCTCTTGCTCAGCAAACCAGTCTTGAACTGAGCTAACAGGGCGTTTGTGCCTTCCTTTCACGTGCATTTACAATCGTTTAAACGGGTCCAGTCGCCAGGGTTGACTGAGGCTATTGCAAAGGGATAGTTGTTGTCGCACAGACAACCGTAAGCACACGGGTGTATGCAAAAAATAGAACGAACTGCTGTAGGTAAAGCTTAAACTTTTGATTTGTTAACGCGCTGACGGAGACTGATCCACATCGTCAATATTCCTTTTTCTCATGTCTTTCAGCTCCATAATTTTATTAAAGAAGGTTTGTCTCAGCCAAAGCAACACAGGGGGCCAGGTTACCTTAAAGTGAAAGTGGAGGATGACACCATAAATTTACCTCGCGAAGCTAACAGGGAATACATTTATTAACACGAGTGAGTTAAAACGAGAGCAGACAAGGATCCATGCACCGTGCTTTGAGAAGGCTGTCATATTTTCACTTGACTATTTACAAACCTGGAACCGTACGTATGGGGATTTCAAGGCGATACTTTTCATCGCAAAGTAGAGTTAATTTTGCAGTTTTTTGGGTTTGAAATATAACTTCAAGCGGGAGAACGCAGAGTTTTAGAGTAGAACTGAAACGTCACTTTTTTTGACATGCTGGTTGCAATATCATCTTTTTAACATGTCTACATTAAACTTTGTAACCGACAAAATCAAAGTGGATAAAAGGCTTTTCCAAGAAACCGAACCCTGCATTTTTTTACATGTCTCATACATCCTGTCCCGCAGTGAGCGGTTAGATTATTCGGCGATGAGGAAGTTTTCTAATAAAAAATAAAGAAATTACTATTTTCCTATAAAAAGGAGAAAAAATATTACTCTTCAACTCTTTTATCTCCATGGTACACGTGACGTACATTTGTCATTTTCTGAGCTAAGCTGCTTAGTTTTTGTACGGCGTCTTCCTAGGCCTTCTCGGTCAATGCGTTTCAGTGACTCAAAAACTCGCTCGTACCACGTGACCCGAAACGCATCGGCCGCGCGCATTAATGAGGACTGGGGACTAGGCAAAGCTAAGTATAGAGTACTTTGAAAACAACGGTAGGAAAGATTTAATGTACTGTATAAATACAAACGGGAGATCTGTATGGGCATTGTAAAGTCCATACAGATCGGACTCCAATATTTTTATGCTAGTTGTGAAGTGAAACGGTCAGAAGAGATCTGTATCAAAAGTGAATGAATGCTAATCACTGAAGCTATCAGAAGTTAATTCTACTGTTTTATACCTGCCAACTCTCACGCCTGCGGGTTGAAAACTTCGATCTCACGCCGGCTCACGCCTGCGGGCCAATTTCTCACGCCTGATTGAAAAATGTGAGTTGTTGCCGTCCTGCTTGACACATTTTCCAAAAATATGTTAACTCAGACCCATGTAAGGAACGAAATCCATGTGTAAAATGAATAAATGGCAATTCCTTCCTCGCGATCTCTGATTTTTCAAGTGAAAAGCACTGGGAGCGAGCTCGCGTTTGGCAGACTTCGGCAGACTTCGGACGTCTTCGGGAATCTTCGGAAATGATCGTGTCGTCTTCAAAAATCCCAGCACTCCCAGGATAAAAATCTCACGCTTATATCTCAGAAAAAGTTGGCAGGTATACTGTTTAATAATTCATCAACCCAGTTGATTTTCATTAGGGTTTACAGAGGTGCCTTACACACTACCTATTAATAATGGCCATACCTATCATGAATTATTACTAAATTTTACATATCCTTTTCTCCAATCATGATCTTAAAACTTAACCCTATTTTTATGTTATTTTTTCTTTATTTTTTAAATTTATACTAGCGAGGTAGTTACCAGTATGTTTTTACATAAGAAGTTTGAACAACCAAGTAATGATTTTTATCACTCTCATCGTTAGTTAACGAATTAAAACTTACTATGAATGAAATCGATATCTTTACAATTTTTTAACAAGAGTACATGCATTACAAATAACTGGAGTAAAAAAGTAAAGTTTCTCTGAATAAAATAAACTTAAAAAGATCTTGGTTGTTTTTTGTCATTTATTTAAACAGTACAAGTGGCTAGACCTATCCATTACAGCTCCTTTCACCAGTGATTTATGATAACTTGTTGGTGGAAGTTGTATAATAATCACTCTTCTTTAATAGCCGGCTTGTTCATTTGCCAGATGGAGTAGTTTAGTGCTGTAGCAAGAGTAACCCAGCCTAGGTAAGGCAACATTAAGCCTGCTGCAACTTTGTTGATAGGATAGAATGTGTAGACACATCCTGCAATGTTTAACCACAATAAGCAGATTTCACCAAATGCCTACAGGAAAAAAGACAAAAAATAATAGTTACTTGCTGACAAAAATAGGCACTTCAGAGGCATGTTTGGCTATACAGTCAGCTCTCTCTAAGACAGACACCTTGGAGAACAGCACTTAGTGTCCATCTAAGAACAACGTCTGTCTTATAGAGAGTCAAATAAAGGGAGCAAAGAAAGGCAGGAACCAACTCTAGGTGTCTGTTTTACCAAGGGGTCCATCTTAGAGAGTGTCCATTAAGAGAAAGTCAATTGTAATACAGTCAAATCTCCATGTGACCACCTCTCGTAAGCGTGAACCTCCCATACACCAAAATTTCCCCAGTCAAAGTCTTAAAGTTAGAACCTCTGGTAAATGACCAGCTCCTGTAAGCAACCGCGACCACTTTTTGAGCGCGAAAGTTTAATGATTTTCCATTGTTTTTATTCTCTTGTAAGTGACTACTTAACGCATTCAGTGATCTCTATGGTTTTCTGTGTGCACTATGCTACTTAGAATATATGAAGAACTTTAATATGGAAATACAAATGTCGTAATTTATCTTCCATATTTAGTAAATGTGCCTGAACCTCTTCTTAGAAGAGGCCCCCTGTGGTTTGATTCTTGTAAATGGCCACCTTCCATAACCGATCACTCAGTCTTTGCATTGTGGGTGGTTGTTTACTGGAGGTTCAACTGTAGCTTGGGGCCAGGCTCCTTACTGAGAAATAAGCCAGGGAAAATAACAGGGGAAGAGATTTAAGAAAGAGGAGGACTCTTGCTTGGCTTGCTTTGCCTGACAATTTTTCTTGTTCAGGCTGTTATTCATTACAGCAGAACATTGATTTAACAAAGGGCCAAGAGACTGGCAAAATGTGTTCACCAAAATTATGTAATGAAGTTTTGTGATACTGAGTTTTTTTTCATATATTTTACTATTACTGAGGTAAAGAAAATCAATCATTATACCAAGGACTTCGTTATATAGACGTTCAACTGTATTTATCTTTTTCTCCAGCAAGAGACCTGGTCTCGAGCTAAGCTGTAAAATCTGATAATTAAAACAAATTACGGTATTATGAAAACCTCCAACTCAAAGTGCATATCCCAAAAGGGAAAACATCCGTGTTTTGCTTCAAATGTCACCCTTCTCCGGCAAAAATAATACGGTGCCGGTCGTTGGCGTTTCAAGATGAGGACACACCTAGCGCAAGCATTTGATTGCTCAAGATTTCCTCTTGGCTAGGAGTTGTTTCTAATTCAACAAGCCCTACTGCAATGACAAGACACCCCGGATACTATCATGACTTCTCCAGAACGTGATCAAAGACTAAGATATGAATGAAAAAAGAGGGCGGTACATTGTGCCTGTTCCCATAAGTTTTCCTCTGCTCGGTAGATTATGAAGGAAGGTTCTTTTTCACTGCATTGTCAGAACAAAATGCACAGGGTTTTTTATATCTTATACTTTACCCTGCTAGTATTTAAGACAATTCTATGCCAATCTGAAATAACTAAACGCATCTTTTTTTTTCTGAAATGGTGGGGCCCAGGTCGTTAGGGCAGAATACAAAATGATCACGGAGACAGATCCAAAGTTATAAGATTCAAGTGCAGCATAAAACGAAGCTACATCAACTATGGAGAATTGCATTTTGACTCGGTAAACTCCAGACTTCCCATGGAGTGGTGGGTCATGTCTATGCAATACATCTAGTTCTGACTATTTCCCTGAATTACAAAATACATAAATAAATATGGAAATGAGAAAAATAAGATGTCATCCAAATTTATACTGGGTTAAAAGGCAGAGGGGAATAAAGCAAAGAAATGATTTATTCATTCCTAAATTTCAATGAGATTTCTTTTTTTTTTACAGCTTTGAAACCAAGTATGGATTTGAATAATACAAAGTGGCTCATTCTGTTTAACACGAAAAGCGTCAGTATTGGAAGCTGCAGCTTCATTTTTCCAAAAGCAAAGACAGTTAGCATTTTACCAATCCCAAAATTGACCCAGGGTGATAAGTTTATAAAATTCCATGAAAATTAATTGTTTCTTACCAATCCTAGCTTATGGGAGCCGAAGAAAATAGGTGTCCAGAGCCAGTTCAATGCTAGGTTTGTTCCATATAGAGCAAGAGCTGTTTTTGCATCACCATCAAATCCACCGCCATCTCGCCACACAAGATATGAGGCATATCCCATGCCTGAGTACAAGCATGTCCACATAGGACCAAACAGCCAGTTGGGTGGTCTCCAGGAAGGCTTCTTCAAGTCTTAAAAGAGGATATTACAGATTTTGTGTCCAGCAAGAGATCATTTACAGTGTATCTATCAAGTTTGAGTTGATTTACAGCTGTAGAGTTGAATTTGAGTTAAAGAGGCTGTGTCACTGTTCAGGGTTCATACAAAAAAATGCAACCATTTTCCAAGGACTTTTCAAGGACCACATTAGATTTTCAAGGACCACCTTCTAGGAATAATTATATATAATTTCACAGATAGTACAAAAATACACATTCCCAGTATTCTAATAAGACTTTTAGGCCTGAACTGTTTGCTTCACCGACTTCTCTACATTCTTCAGTTCACTTGTCTCAAACTGATAGTTAATTATTGCATAAAACATTGAGCACTTTATGTAAATAACCCTTAAATTCTCTGAGCTATGATTTATATTCTGTCTTAGACAACCAAAAAGCATCAAAAAACACTTTCCAGGCCACTACATTCAAAGTTGAAGAAAATTCAAGGACTTTTCAAGGACTTGCACTGAAATTTAAGGATTAATTTTTCAAGGAAAAACGGAATTCAAGGACTTTTTAAGGACTTCCCCTAAAACTAAAGGACTTTTCAAGACTGTGCGAACCCTGCTGTTGTCTGGCTCATTTTGTTAATAATATACAACTATCCCCCGAAGAGGGGGTAAATAGTGGTGGATATAAACGGAGACGCGAACGGTCGAGCTATATATCTAGCTCGCTGTTCACCGGCCTTGAGGGGGATAGTTGTTTTAGTGTTTACCAAATCAGTTGGAAAAAAATGAAAAAAGTAACGTTTTGTAAATTAAAAATGTCACTTAGTAGGAACTTTGTTTACAATTTACAAACATTTCAGGGATTTTGTCAAGTGCATTTTTACAATTTTGCTGCAAATTTAGCATGAAAATAACTTTCTACCTACCAGTAAACAATGACAAGCCAAAGTTCGTCACTTTCTTGGTATTTGCTTGTACGGCTACTGTTTTGGGTGTTTAGTTTTATGTTTCACTCAATTCATTTGCATTTCCCACCATTTGAATTTTCCTAAATTCTGTGACACCGCTCCTTAAGTTTGAGTTACATGTACAAAAAACTGTCCAGTATAAGAACTGTTCATTTATAGTGTAATAAATACCTTTGTCAAACCAGTCTTTAATCTGAGATCTAGTGATAAAACCTCCAAGAAATCCACCAATGTTTGGAAGTATAACTGATCCACCAATCACTAGCCATGTGTGTTGAGGCATAGTTCAGTTTATCTAGGCAATTAATCAGTTCAACCATTATTTAACTGCATTTTATATTAAGTTTTGGCTAAAAACCAATTTTGGTTGTACCCCACTCAGAAAATCTCACAAGCGATCCTTCAGACAATCGCATCTATGACAGGGGAGGGGTGGGGTCATGTAAAACATTCAGCTGGGTCACACCCCTGGGGATACACCCATAAATTTTGGATAGGTGTGTGGCACCTAGAGCCTCAAACCCTGATACTTTAAGGATAAGAGAAGCCAAAACTGATACCCTGTTTAAGGACCACACCTGAAGGATGAGACCCAGTTTAAGGAAAACAAAAACTAAAAATTTTCAAGCAAACATACAAATCTTACTTAAATCGTTTTCCCAATGCTATAAGGTGAGGTTGAGTTTTAACTTGTGATTTGTTTCTCTTGTAACTGGATATTAATGCACACACACTTGAATTGTAGCTGATATAATAACAATAGGCCATATCACGGTTTTGACGAGTAGGCAAGTGCATGAGAAATTACAGTGTTTCTATGAGAATCTAATGTCGAATGAAAAAATTTGAGGTCGTCATATGCAGGTACATGCGCTAGAAACACTTTTTAAAATTTTCGATACAGTTGCATGTAAAAATTTCCTGGGAAAAATTGCAGACAAATAATTATATGGAAAATCTAAAGCAAGCATTTGGAGTAATTTAAGTACAATAAAGACCCCCAAAATTTGATAGTAAAACCCTTTTCTGTGTAGCTTTAGTTCACAGTTCACATTATTTTTTTCAGAACAGCCATTTTATAAACAGTTATTGGAAGAGGCTTTTGTGATATCCAGAATAATCAAGGTGGAGGTAGGGGCTATCAGCCGAAGCTGACGGCTGAGGCTGATAACCCTTACCGAGATATGTAATAAAGAAAATTATTGTTTTATTATACATTGAATAAAAAAAAATGGTAACGACAGTAACAGGAACTGATAATTTATTTCTAATCGTGTGAAAATACCTCACGTTCTCTCAGTTTTTTCTCTTTCACGTAATTAGCGAACAGCTCATTTGCCACCTTCGTCAACCTTTTTGTGTTATGTGAGTCCTTGTCTTCAACTATTTTTTCAATGTCTTGCTCAGTCAGCGAAGCAAACTTGGAAATCATGTTTTTGCTTCTTAACTGATGGCAAGCAACACAAAGTGTGCAAACTTGACATGATTAGCCTTAGAAATCATGCACCGTTGTCATACATGACATGATTACCCGTGACCTTGAGTGTCCTTGACATGATTATTGTATAATCTGCAGCTAAATGACGTCCAAGCACTGATTTCGAAAATTCACTGTACACTTTTAGCCAATCAGAAAAGAGATAGTGAGTTGAATGTATAATAATGGAAATTATTCAACATTAGATTCGCATACAAACACTGTAATTTCTCATGCATTTGCCTACTTGCCAAGATGGTGTCGAAAACTGTCATAAGTCCTATACCCTATCAAAGAATCATATCAGGAACACGATGCTAACAAGGGCAAAAATGATACCCTATTTTATACGGACCGAGAACCTCAAACGGGCGGCACATACTTATCTAGCCCATATATAAATGGGAGTACCCCCGGGGGGGGGTCGATCACACAAAGGTCACACAGGCTCACTGCACTTGTCCCCTATCATAAACCCTCCATGTAAGATTGGACTAGACCAGCATAGTTTCATCCGAAACTTCTCTCAATACATTATTCGGAACTAGCGATTGGTAGTGATGTGAAAAAGGTTTCTTCTCCTGCATTTAACGCTTCTGTTTACATGGAACGCCGCATCTTACGTTAGGAGTAAGCTTATTTGATATTGGCCATATGAAACGGCAGAAAATTTTCCATAGACAATAAAGACTCTCCACAGAAACTCCACTTATTTCTGTTACACAATTTAGAAAGGTATTAAACGAATTTTTCTGGTTCAAAATGCGAAAAAACAAAACAAACTTACCGATTCAATAACGCTAACCAAACACAACGACTATCTAACACATTGCAGCAACACGCAACAGCTGGGACTGGAGCCTGAAACGAGTCTAGTCTCTCGCGGTCAAGCTCGTTCAACCAGAACGCCGTGAACTTTTTCCAAAAGAAGGAACAAGCTGGAAGGTTCCTTTAGTGAAGGGAAATGATTTTATCGCCTTATGTCCTTTTCTCCTTCTCTGGTGATACGAATTGTTCCTGAAGAAGGGGAAGCTGTAGATTGGACGGCTCATCAAAATATTGTTTTCCGAGATGTCTTGGTATGTGTGTAATCGATGTATTGAATGACTGCTAACATTTTTTTTTGTCAGAGTATGAGACTTACGTCTAAATGTATGTTTATTTGAAAGTAATTGATTGAAAGTGTATGCGTACACGATAATGAGAGGAGTAGGTTATGTTATTTATTTTAAGTTATGGTGACTTCAGGACGCAAAGACCACGAGGAATAGCAGTGTTTCTAATAAATAATATTGGAAATACAGCAAGTGTAAGCGGATTTCAGTGTTCCAATCTCAGCACTCTTACTTTTATCATAAAAAGAATCCTCATCATCTGGATCCATGCTGCTGTGTCTGTGATCAATAAGAGTACTGGTATGACAATGGGAAGTGCGGTAGATTTTAGTTTTGACGATAACAAAAAACTAAAAAAAATAATAATTAGCCTGTGCCACAGACAAAACTACCGGCGCTTTAATCCATTTAGTCAAAAATTAATTTCCAGAAATTTCCAGTTCGGCGGTAAATGGAACACATTTCATCGTTTCTTCCCACTGGAAAATTCCCAGAAAAAGTGGAAAATCTAAAAAGGTGGTCCCGTTTTCCTGGTTGAAATTTCCGAACGGAATTTGGCTTGTTCCATTTACACGTTTCTCGTAGTTTGTACCAGTTCCAGGTCCACGGTCGGGCACCGTAAAGTACCAGGGTTTACGACCAAATGGAACAACTTTTTACCAATCAGAAATTCCACTTTTGCTCCCACCAAAATTTCCGGGTTTTTTTCGTAAAATTGTAAAGCTCCCTAAACCTCTTGTCAGTCAGTTTACGGAATAGTGCTGGAATCCTTGGACACTTCCATTTAGTCAAAATTTTTGAGAAATTTAGGCTCGGTAGAAAATGGAAAACATTTTGTCGGTTCGTCCCCCTGGAAAATTCCCGGAAAAAGTGGAAAGTCTAAAAAGGTAGGCCCATTTTCCTGGGCGGAACTTTCTAATAGGATTTCGTGTTCCATTTACACATTTCTCATCCTTTATACCAGTTTCAATAAATTGTTTCCAACTCGGCAGCCATCTTGTTGTCTCATTGGGTAACCAGCTTGGTGCTGTTCGGGGTTTACGATCAAATGGAACAACTTTTTACCAATCACAAAATCCATTTTTGCTCGTATTGAAATTTCCGGAAAGCGCCCCTTGGGATGGGATTTGTTCCCACTTGTATACCAGGATCTAAGTACACCATGACTGGCCAGTTCAAGAAGCCATTGTTGATTTGCCAATTTGAAATGAGCTTCCAGTAGTTTGTTGAGTCCATTAAGGCCCAGAACAAGGATCTTGGCACTGCTTCACAGACATTACTTACAGGGGTTAGATTAGTATATATAATCAAATGGTGATGAGTGAGATTAGGGAACAATTTCACGTGCTTTTTGTCTCAATCCTATTAGGATTTGGACAAAACGCAAGAGAAATTATTCACTAACTTCACGAGAAATCCATTTTATTACCTATTAATCATAGTGGATGACAAATTAGGCTCACAAGGTAGGTTTTTTGACATGTTTAGCAAATTGATTATTGATTGACAACTCCAAGATCTGAAAACTTTAGAGCTTAAATTTTGGCCTAAGTTCATTATTTTCATAATTTTTCAGCAAAATATGTGATAGAATCCATCTTGATGTGCTCTTTTATGTGTTTAGGTTTTCTAAGTCATCTTTTAATGCTCTGGCATCTTCATTTATCACATTTTAAAACTTTGCCTCAATCTTGGCACTGACACATACGGAACGTTGCCATTTCAATTTCGTAACTTCACATGTGAAATTAAAAATTAACACTGAAATTTTGCACCAAAATTAACAAGTAATTTGTCACCCAGGTCACCCCTGTTGTCACTTATGATAATACATCTGCAACACACTGGCTAACAAAGAAGGGCATCCCAGGCTCTCAAATGCCTGCCTAACTGAACTGGAATTTGATAATGGACAATATACTGCAATTGACAACTAATTCCACTATCCTTCAGTTTCTCACTGAAACTTATTTGTAGTCAATTTGTAGCTTTATTATTTATGGCATGCAATTATTTGTCAAGGCTCGATTGCTTATTAGCTGAATCATGAAGATTTTACTGGTGGTGAGGGATTTGAACCTAGACTACATTTATGGGAGACAGGGACCATCTGCTTTACTCCCCAGAGATGAATACCCTTCTTCAGAGGCTCACCACGTAACAACCACTTAACAATTCAAATATTTTTAAAGTCATTATGCATGGGGGGGAGGGGCACATTTGAATTGAATAAGCCATAATTAGGGTTGTGGATATTGAAAACAGACTTCATATACGGTATATCTCATTGTTATTTTTTACAGGAAGCAATATCCCAAGTAATGCCTCATACAACAGCCACTGCATTTGACTGTGAGTTTTCAGTACTTTATGCTTTGCATGTCTTTGCTTGTTTGTTGCTTTGTGTTCAATTGCGTTTTATTCTTTGGAAACTGAAAAAGCAACCTTTACTGTTATGTGATGTGTACAATATTATGATGATACATGTACATTTGACTTGTAAAGGTTTTATGCATATGATTAATAATTTATCATATTAATCTCCGTGCAGATGAAGATGAAGAAGGAGACAGAATAACAGTTCGAGGAGATGAAGAACTCCAGGCTATGATAAATGGGGTAGGTTTTAAAATTACTTCCATTAGTATCATTATCATTAAATCATTATTAGGTATACTTGCTCATGTATGCTGTACCACTACATGATTGTATTATTGGGATTGAAACATTGGATACAGACTATAGATAATATGTTACAGGTCAACATTAAATTCACCTTAAAAGTTTTTAACCTACATGTAGGTAGATTCTCAATTTCGTTTGTATCCAAGCCCTAACCCATGAATAATTAGGGTTAGGAGACAAAGGAAATTAAGAATCAACTTAGGTAAAAAAATTTGACCTGAATATAATTTTGACCTGTACGTACCATTTATATTAGCCTGTGTGCAGACGATAACAAAACTTTGATTAGTTAACCAGAGTTTAATTTCGTCTGCGCGCAGGCTACATTTTTATAAGTATTATTGATCATTTCCTTAAAATGTAAATAATCATTCTCGTAAAAATTAGTTTATCTGTATTTTCTCAGCATCTTTGGATGAATTGTGAAAGGCTCAGAAGAGGAGTTACACTTGAGCCTTTAATTGTCTATCCAAAAGGTAAATAAAAATTACCAATTTCATGCAATGGACACGGTGTGTACGAAATGCTCAGTTTTCTTTTAGACTTACAGTACATGTCTATACGTGCCCACAGAAACATGTATTTTGTATAGTTAATATCAACTTAGTTAAGGAGTTTACCTCCTTTTAGTGCCCAATCTATCACCAAGCTTGTTAACCTATAAGTAAGTAAAACAGGAAGTACATTTAAAAATGAGATCTGCAGTCTGATGGGTTGCACTATACACCCATAAAGTAAATCCTACTAGAGTTACATTTTTGTTTAATAATTTGTCATTTTGTATTTTCAACTGTTTCTTGCAAGACTGTCACATCATGACTGTAGCCTTACCGCACATTTCTAAGCGTGGAAACCTAAAACTGGCCAGAATATAATGTGGCTGTAAAGCTTCAAGACAAACAAGAATCAGCAAACCAACAGCTTTAATCTTTTATCACTACTGGTCACAGAGTACATGTATTTATGAGTCATTTGAAAAGTAGAATTAATGTTAAACAAAAATGCAGAGTAAGTCATTATTTTGTTATATATTTTGGACCAGCTTGCAGGACTTCAAGGAGAAGGAATTTCTGTGGACTCACTGTAAGCAGATGCATATTTACCTGTATTTATGTATTTATTAACAGGGGAAGTAGTCGTCATAAGGCTTCACAATCAGTAATGAAATAATCTGAAATGTATTACAAGAAACAAATCTTAAAAGACATCTATTTTCAAAACCAACTTAAATTCTTCAGTTTTCACTTGGGGAGTTTGAAGTCATGGGCCCTATCTCTAAGAGCCCTATACTATTTAATATGTTTTATTAATAGTTTATTGATTCATTTAGTTATTAGTTTATTTTGTGCTGTAGAATACAGTTTAATAAGGCCAAGGAATAGGGGCAACGAGTGTTCTAGCCTATTCAAAGATGTCACACTAACCTTGTAATGATATTTTTACAACATTGAAGGTTAACACAAGAGCTGCTCCAGTAAACAATACAGTACCTACGGCTGCCAAGCGTGTTCCTGATGTGTAAGTTGAAAAATGTTTTGTTGATTAAGCATGAAAAAAGGTCCCTCATTCAGAAAGTATTTTTTCCTGTGTTGTGGCATCTTTTATTGCTTTATGGGCCAGTCCATATAACTTAGACAGTTTTGAGTAGACAGAGGAGACTGAAGCAAAAAAAGAAAATGGTTTTTATCAAGCCTAGATACTGTTTTCATGTTAAGATGTTTGGAATGTTTTACTTCTGATATGATAAAATAAAAACTTACAAGCTAGCGTGGCTGTCTGTAGTCTGCTCTGTAGCCATTCTTTGTGTCGTCACACAACGCTCCTCCCTTTGTAGGTAGGAGTGCTGCGTGATGACACAAAGAACAGCTGTGAAGCAGACTAGGCAATCTGCTGAAGATGTTTATTTTTTTTTCTTGTCCTTGGTGTCCTTACTCTCCTTTTGCTGTTTATGTAGATTACACAACTCAGAACATGGCGATATAAGGAGTATTTTATCCAATGGCCAGGTATTTAGTGGCTTATTAGTAAATGGTACATTCTCTAAGAGGTACATGCATTTATATTTTCTCTCTTGTTCCTACAATTTTGCCGTAGCTACACTCTACTTTGATGGATTTTTAAAAGTTAGCAACGCACGCGCGGTAGTAACAATTGCACCGCTATTGTGCCATATCCATTTCTTATTCTCTCTTTTAGTCATACCTTCAATCATTAATTGTCATTGTCGGGCTTCAAAAGAACCAGAAACCAATCACAGCGCTTGTAGCTGTGATTCACATCATTGTATAACTGATTATAATTAAGGATGTCCCGGTATTGAGAATTTAGACTTTCCTTTATAGTATTGTACAGCTGTATGCTAATTTGAATGACTCAACACCTCTTAAAAAAATTAATAACAAGTTGTTATTAATTTTTTGCAATATTATACACATCCATAGGTTTCCCATACAGACATCCAGCATCTAGACATTTTAGGTCATGGAAATGGAGGAACGGTTTACAGGTTTGTATCTTGTTGTTCCACTCAGTCATGTGAGTTGTAACTCAAGTGTAAAGTCTGGAAAAGAAACAGTAGCTAAACGTTTTGCAATTTTAACTCACATTATTTTTTTCATCTCTTGATTTTAGGGCCTTACACACAAGCACAAACAGAATTATTGCAGTTAAGGTACTTGGACTTTCGGACTTCGCGTAGAATGCATTCGTTTCTAACAAATCACTGAAGAAAGTCTGACCCTCAAAGTGTTGATATCCTGCTGTTTAGCTCTATTCACCTATCACACAATGATCGGACAGGTTGACGTTTTCTCCACGTTCAACTCTCAAACTCATCCCCAGGTTGTCAAGTTTTTTTGTCTTTAGGGGTGTTTACATGAGAAAACTCGCACCGTTGCGAGTTTCATACCGGGATGACTTTCTGATTTCGTATCGCGTTTACATGATGACTGAGTCATTTCATATCTCGTTATTTGGAGATACACTTCATGTTGATAAAATACACGTGTGATTCAAAATCGCAAACATTAGGCATGCGCTACCTGTTCCAGTCTACCAGCAGACCGATTTCAAACCGAAACGGGTGGACGTTTCGCGTTTACATGATACCGTTGCGAGATTTCGTACTGGGGTGAAATTCTCGCCCCGGTACAAGAACCGGAGTGAACTCACGCCGGGGTGACTGGCGCCGGCGTGACATTTTGTGGTGGTATCAGGGGCTCCCAACGGCAATTTTCGGGAAAATATCTGTTCGGAAGACGATTTTAGATCTAGAATTTTCGGAGCATTTGTTGTAAAATGTCTTGCTTGCCTGCCTCTCCTAGAATTTTCGAACATCTACAAAATGGCATAATTACCCATTTTTAACGGATTTTGACCCTAAAAAAGGCCATCTAGAATTTTCGGGAGCCTTTTCCTGGCTGAAATTTTCGAGAAGGTAAGTTTTTATCCCTATAATTTTCGGATCACTAGACTTTCAGCTAGGAAATCCGAACAGATGAAAAGTTTTTAGGGGATAAAAATATGCCTATATCTACCGTTTGAATACTAAAATACGTTCAACAATGCTATGTTAAGTGGTTTTGAACTATATCCTCGTTGGGTGCCCCTGTGGTATCATGTAAACAAATATAGAGCCTGAGAGCATGAGAGGGAACCGAAGTGAACTCGCTCCTGGGCGAAACTCGCCCCGGTGTCATGTAAACACCCCCTTATTAGTCCCAGAGCGTGCGCTGGTCCGACCTGGGTATGAACCCGCGACCTCCAGCTCAGCAGATCGGCGCTCTCCCAACTGAGCTAACCAGGCGGCGGATATTAAAATAATTATCATTTGTAACTCAATTTTGTAGGTTATTCCTTTAGATGTAACTCCAGATGTACAGAAGCAAATAATATCAGAACTGGAAATACTTTTTCAGGTAAACGCTTGGACTCATGCAGTACGATATAGCGATAGCTGTTTGTTAGTTTCTTCGTCTATTTTTGGCGCCTTTTTCTTATTTTGGCTTTGTAGCACTAATCTGATTTGAGGCGTATAGATTGAGGTCTGTTCTATTCTGTTCTGTGAGCAGTGTTGTTCATTAATTTTTGGTTTCACCGTTATTTTATTCCCTCTTTTTAGTGTTCGTCACCCTTCATAATTGAATTTTACGGAGCATTTTTCGTAGAAAATAGGTAGGTTATAACCTAAATTGACACACTACTCTTACAGATTGGTTTCTTTAACTTACTTCATGTTAACTCAATAAAGATATGCTGAATACTCAACTGACTGATTAATAAGCGTTGTTTGAGAAATTTTGAGTTTTCAGAAACAACATTGCAAAAAATTTGTTGAGCGTTCGTCATGCTAAAATCAGTATTAGTTGTTAGATTTGGACCGTGACGGGAGGAAAGTAAACACGTTTTTTGACTCAAGATTCTCCTATGATCATTATCTTCTTGAGGAGAGGGAAACGTTTGAAATTCTACTGAATGTTCCAAATAATTTTTTTTGTGTGTGTGTATGTGATACATTAAACTTACAGCCTCTGTTGATTTGATTGCATTAGTATTTAACGTGTACGCATGAAAAAAGTTGTAAGAAATAAATTAATTGTTAATGTCTTGTTTTTTTTTCTACAGAATATCTATTTGCACAGAATATATGGATGGTAAGAATATCCTACAATTCGTGGAATAAAATACTGAAATGGTCTGCCGTTTTTTCTGAATTTTTATACATTATAATCTCTTGTTATCAACTCAGTTGAAATAACCAATTTTAGGTAAATTTGTTTTCGGCATTTTTTTTTCTTTGACAATTATTTGATTACTTCGTGTAACTTGCAGTGGACATTTATTCTCCTTTTTTTGAAGCTTTGTTGAATGTGTCGAGTGAGGCCTGATGTATCAAAGAAATAATACAACAAATCGACCAAAGATAAAAATGTTGAAAGCTAGTAATGCGACCGTTTACCATTTTTGTCTGTAGGAGGTTCGCTCGACATGTATGGCTGTATACCAGAACCTGTATTAGGAAGAATTGCAGTCTCAGTAAGTAAACAACAACAATAAAAATATTTGTTTGGGCCTTTTTTGTGCTATTTCGGGCATGAGGCCTTTTATAACATGAAAACAGGGAAAAAAGAATGCTTGACTCTGCATCGGAACATTGTTGGCTTAATCATGCAGCCAAATCTCTCTTAGCAAACTCGTCTGTAATACGGAAAACACCTCTGTGTTATGGAAAGCTCACTTGGTTCCAAAGATACCAAGCTTTGCCCCTTCGACGTTCGTAGTGACGAGGTTCTGCTGGAAAAAAATGTAACAAAAAATCCTCTGTGTTTATGGAAATAGACGGATCGAAACGCACTCATTACTTTACGGTTCCAAAGAACATCACCAAACTGACAGACGACTTTCGCGACGTAATTGACCAATCGACGTTCGTAGTGACCATCAACTGACGTGATTCACTTTGAGTCACTTTGTCAAAATGTAACAAAAAATCTGACGTAATTAACTCTTTCACTCCTAGTGGTAGCTAAAAGAATTCCCCAAAAAATCGAATTTCCTTTTGGCTAGTGGTCTAAAATGATAACAGTATTATGCAAAAGTTCTACAGAAAAGTTGCCATTGAATCGTGACACCTCAGCATTTCGTCAACGTATTATAATTAGAAATAAGGCGATGTCCATTTACCACAAGATTCCGGAAAATTCCAGTTTGGATGTATTAAAATGGAACACATGTTTTGAGGGCTTTTTACTCGAAAATTATTGGCAATAAGGTGGTCCCTTTTCTGTTTGGAAAACTTCTGCGGTTGAAACGTGTGTTCCATTCATGAGATTGGACAAGGTTTCATCAGTTCTCTATTCTGAATTGAGAGTAGGAAAAATGCAACTCGTCTCAAATGGAACACTTTCTTCACGTTTTTGACATTTCCCTTCTAAAATGTTTTAGTGCAGTTTACAGAAAACGCCCATAACCTCGCCATAACCTGGTTTAGGTGGTTAAACTAAGCTATTGAAATGCCATGGGAATGTATGTGTTTTTTTTAGTTGCAGATAAATCTCTGAAAAAGTTTTTTTTTGTCTTTTTCGTTACAGGTCGTCAAAGGGCTTCGATATTTGTGGGAACTGAAAATAATGCACAGAGGTAAGGATATGAATTAAGATTTGACAATATCCACTCATACGAGTGACGTTTTGTGAATCATAGGGAGTTTAACGGTTAGACATCTGATGCGTGGACTATTTATACGTAAAATCTGGAAAAAAAGGGTCCTTTGAAAAATAAAGAGTATTAAAATTTGTTAAAACCGTTTTATAACAAAAAAGATCGAATCAAAACAAGCTGTTTGGATAAACAGGGGTAATTGCTGCCCCACCCAAAATTCAGAAAGTTCTCTCTGTTATCATAAGGTACTCTTTCTCTAAGATACGCTCGCTAACCCTTTCATGTATTTGATGCGTTTCAATCATACGGATGGCCATCTTGTTTTCAGACGTGAAGCCTTCCAATATTCTCGTAAGCACTAGAGGACAAGTGAAGTTATGTGACTTTGGTGTCAGTCGACAGGTATGTTGTTATTGGGCTGATAAGTTGCCTTCCGCCTTACCCTATGTTCCATTAATCACTGTGTTACAGCGTATATGCAGAGCCAAAGAAAACTGATTTCTAACTTACCAATTGAAGTTACTTCAACGTTTTGTTTCCCCGAGTGAGTTACTTTCTTGTCTGAGTTAATGATTTAGTTAGAAGATGACCTGCCTGGACCCTCTCATACGGCAAGTGAGTATGAAAAGTTGCTCGTCTAGGAGGAAAATAGACCTTTAGATTTTAAGACGAGTACGACTTCGAGGACGCGATTTCCTTACCACTAAGTAGTGCGTAAGCGTGAACCAGCGTCATTTTGGCGGGGAAACTTGGTAGCCGTCGTCATTCTACTCGAGCTACGAGTTTAAGCGAGAATGTCGTGATGGCGGAAACGAGTCATCGAATGTTAGAACTTTTATAATTTTGCGATTGAGAGGGGGACTTAACCTCCTTCAACATAGATAACAGTGCTATCTTTTCTGATGAAAAAAAGTACAATGAAGCTTTCCGGGGTATCTATTCTTTGAGAATACGCGAAAAAAAACTTTAAGTTAAATGTCCTTCTCGTAATAGGCCATTTGCACTAAGAGGCATGTGACATCGTTTTTATGAAAATGAAAGTTACATGATTTTGCCTTCGAAAAACGATTAGTGGGTCACATCTTAAACAAAATAATAGCGATTTGGTTTTTCAAACCCGCACCATTTTCTTAAAATGAATAAGTTCGTAAATGGTCACGTGACCAAAATGTGATTTTTAAAATTATGAATTACCTCTCTCTGAACACAAATTTTGCACTTAAACTTCAAGGAAAATGTTGAAAAGATGATGTGATAACGTTTACAGCACATCTGAGCGTAACTATGAAACGTTGAACAAGATATAAGCAAGAAGTAGTTTTGTCCGCCATGTTGGACGGCAAAAGCATGCCCTCCAACATGGCGGCCAATACAAATCATACTACTTTGCTGAAAAATCAAAGTGCCATAAAATATCTCCCTTAAATGCGTTTCCTCTCAAATTTCGGGTGTAAGATAATTTTTGTGTGCTCTAACAATTTTTGGCATCAGCAAGATTCCAACTCATTGTTTAAAGGAAGCATTGGTCACGTGACCTCTTAGTGCAAGTGGCCTATCGTTATCGCTCTCAAATCTAAAGGTCTCTATTGTGTGCTTTTCCTGGAAGGCCGGACGGGACTTTTTTCGATATGGAGGATTTCTCGGTCTTCATTTAAATGGTAGCAAGAGTCAGTTTTTCATTCGATTTTTTCTTGGTTACACGCAATACATGTATGACAATACATGTCTGACAATACGTAAAGTTGGTTAACTATTTTTTGAAACTTTCTTTTTTCTTTGACGTCAGCTCGTCAATTCAATTGCAACTACTTATGTTGGAACTCATGCTTATATGGCGGTAAGTTGATTATCGTTTCTTATCTGTTAGTTTGACGTTTTGCAATGTAGCCTAAAATATGAATAGGTTAATAGTTATTGTCAAAAATGTACGAATTCTGCGTGTTTCTATGTCCTATGCAGCCCGAACGCATTCTGGGAGATGAATACAGCATTCGATCAGAGCTATGGAGCCTGGGAGTTTCTCTACTTGAGGTAAAAAAGCGCCGAAACACCAGTAGTATAGGATTAAAGGGATAGCCATCTTACCCAAACCTTTTAATTCTACATTTACATTTTCTTACGTCTAATGGGACGATATAAAATGCACTGAAATCAGTTAGGGGCAGTTAGTCTGGAAGACGACATCTTCTGTTGTCGTCACTACCTGTCCCTCTGTCCCCGTGGATTTATATTTAGTTAAACTTGAATTTTTTTTTTGTATTCAGTAGGAATCCGGTCGAACTCGGAACTCGAACTCCCTGCTAACTCAAATACAGTCCCATTTCCCTTGGATTTTTACTCGGATAACTCGACTTCCCCGCTAACTCGAACGTTAATTTCCCTTGATCAAATTTACCTCGATAACTCGAATTCTGGGTCTTACAGGCGGGGAATCAAACGGCTTTTCTTTGGTTCTATTTTTCTTCTTTTTTTCCAATAAAAGTAGCCGGGGGCCACTCTCTTGATTCAGTACGAATGCCCCTGATTTTAAAATTAGCTCCTCTTGTCCTTTAATCTGACTAACACTACAGCAATTTGTTTTTACCTTGATAAGTACAACCAACAGATCACGTATTTGACAGCCATTTCGCGCTGTTAGCATAAAAATGTATAGTCGTGTTACAGTTTCTGAATGGAGATACTTATTTGAACTCTACTGTACTGAAGTGCTGTAATTTCAGCAAACTATCAATTATTAACATGGCAAATTGAATATTCAATCGACGCCGATAACTCGAACCTAAGCTAACTCGAACTGTTTTTCATTTCCCTTCAGAGTTCGAGTTACCGGGGTTCTACTGTAGATAGTACGTAATGACAAGCGTCGTCTTGCAAAGAGTTTGGTCAGTTAAACGTGACGCTAATGTACCTATACCAGATAAGGGCATTAAAACTAAAAAGTATGCTGTTTTTACCTGGTTAACGCCTTTTCCAGTGCTAAATCAACCAAAGCTACCGATAGTTCAGTAGTTTCATGCATGGCTATTCTAAGCTGTAGTGAGGATGATTTAAAAGCAAAATTTTCTTTGATGGCTGTTTCTAATCCACTTGATTTTAAATCTACTGGTTGAAATAAAGTCTTTTGTGCATTTCTATTGCAGATGGCCTTAGGAAGATTTCCTTATCCAACAGTGAGCACGATTATTTTATTTTTTTTATCTATTCTGTTTTGTTGCAGTCGTTGTTGTTTTACTCTTTTTTCCTGTCTTCATTGTTAATCAGTCATTTTGCAGAGGCGCGAAATTGTTTCAGTGTTCTAGTTTATCATTAGTATTCAATAACATACAATCGTTCTCTAACATAATGCTGCAATGTTCATTTGACGTATAATTATTTTACAGGAAAGTCATGGAGGCGCTGAAACCTTTTTGGTAAACTCTTTTTATTTGTATTATATAAAGTATTTTTTTCAACATGCTTTGTTGAAAGGTAAATTCGGATAAAATTAGGAGAAAGAAACAATTATGTTTCAACGTTAAACCCAAGTCTGTTACAGAATGTTGCTTTTTACTTAATATCTGTACTTTACGAGCCCATTTTTCTTTCAGCCTATCGCACTTCTTCAGTGTATCGTACATGAGGTAAGTCAAATTTATTTCGCTTTGCCCTTGTTTCCTTGGTACTTAAGGCTTTGATCTCTTACTAATACAAAATGAACTAAGCTAGAAACGATAAAATAATCCTCACGGTGATTATGCTAATGACCGTTGCCGGGTTACGAAAACCTCTCCCTTTAAATTATGAGGGTAGGTGCAAAACTTTTCATGAGTTTTCTTTGTATTTTTTAGAATAAAGCTAGCCTAATTTGATGCGTTTGTTCGATTGATTGATTGATTGATTGATTGATTGATTAATTGACTGATTGATTGATCGATTGATCGATTGATCGATTGATTGATTGATTGACTGATTGATTGATTGACTGATTGATTGATTGATTGATTGACTGATTGATTGGTTAATTGATGGATGGATTGATGGATTGATGTCCTGATGATTGATTGGTTCACTGATTGATTGACTGATTGATCCATTGATTGATTGATTGAGTGAGTGAGTGAGTGAGTGAGTGAGTGAGTGATCGATTGATCGATCGATTGATCGATCGATCGATAGATGGATCGATGGATGGATGGATAGTTGGATGGATGGATTGTTCGAATGATGGATTGGTTCACTGAGTGATTAGTTGTTTTGATTAATTGCTTGATCGATTGATTGATTGATTGATTGATTGATTGATTGATTGATTGATTGATTGATTGATTGACTAATCGATTGTTAGTTATTGGTACAGTATCGATACATTACTGCACTCTTTCTTTTTAAGAATGCGCCATGTCTACCTGCGGATAAGTTCTCCCCGTCAATTGTGAATTTTGTATCTCAGTGGTGAGTATTAGTCCTCGCCAATTTACTGGTAACCACAAACGGAACTAAACTTCTGGGCCGTCTTGCGTAAAGCCGGGTTAATATAACCCAAGGTTAAGGTGAAATTTGAATACAGATATGAAAGCTTAAAAAGGAAATTCAGTGTAATCCTCTTTGTCTACAATTTGATGATTGGATGCTCAAAAAATAATGGAGAAAATTTTCCAAGAAACCCGGGCTAGTAGTAATCACCCTTCGAACAACCCTGGTAAAGCTCGTCAGCGAAACGGCGCCGAAATCCTTGTTTTCTTTCCCCACCTGTGTACCAGGATTTGAGTACATGATTGGCCTGATAAAAAAGCCATTGTCGATTTGCCAATAACGTTGAAGGGAAATTCGAAACACGTTACCAGTAATTCGTTGAGTCCGTATCGGCGCTGCTTTTCAGACGTTACTAATCGGGGTTACATTATGTCTGCGACGCAGGCTAATTTACTGGTACATAAATGTGAAAAGACTTCCTCACCAGATTCTCGTTGTTCTTTTTTTTCTCAGCATGCAGAAAAGCCCATCAGCAAGGCCAACTCCTGAGGCGGTTATGGTAGGCTCAGTTTGACCTTTTGTTTACCAATTGCGGTCGCAAAACCGTTGTTGTTGTTGTTGTTATTTTTTAATCTCTCTCTCTCTCTTTCTTTGTGAATGTTAGACACATCCATTCATCGCATCAAATGATGACGGAAATGTGGACATTATATCCATGTGGGTGTGTCGTCAGCTAGAACAGAGAAGATCACGTGACCAAAGCTTGGACTCGCCAACTTCAGAATCATCTTGAAAGCTTCCGCCTTCCTTCTTTTTTTAAATTTTTCTCAAATGCATTGCTGAGTTTGATGCAAGATGAAGTAGAAACCCTTAGAAATCATACTTGCTGAGGAGTTTGTATTCAAATACCAGAAGTTTTCTTATTTGAGCGATAATACTTTCTAGAAATTTGCTTTTCATTGGGACATTTTTGATATTTACTTTTTTACCTTGTGTTAAATAATTCTCCTTTGTCTAGGGAGTGCGTTAAAGATTCCGATTCAAGAATTCTTCCGGTGTTTTGCTTATAAATTATTGTTTGGTCCTTGGAATCCTTTTCCCTGTAAATAACTTCCCCACCCCCCCACCCCCCCCCCCCCCCCCCAAAAATAAAAAAAAAATGAATAGAAACTTGTGGACTGTCATGAAAAGGAAATGTAAAATAGTGTCAGATCCTAATGTGGATATTAATTTAATATTAAATCGTATTTTTTGGTGGTTGATTGTTGTCAACCTTGTAATGTTGAAATATATAATAGTGTCGGATTCTAATTAACGTGGATGTTAAGTTAACACTCGTATTTTTTGGTGGCTGATTTTTGTCAACTTTGTACTAATCGCTTAAGGCGAGAAACTACAATACAATAAACGTAATCATACACGGCTTGTTTCGTTGCTTCGTTTCATGAAGAATTCCTTTCGTATGCTACCCTCATGTAAGCCTTCGAGGCGTCCTTAAAAAGGGTGGGGGAGAAAGGGACTTTGGGCTCTTTTCTCCCCCTTCCCCTCAGTCTTTTGTCTCTCCCCTCCCTTTCCTCTTTCCCTTCCTCCTCTTCCCCACTTTTTGTGCCTGCCTCGTTGTTCAGTCTCGGTACGGCGTTTTCCCATACCTCCTTGATCAATGCCTTTCGGAGGCCCAGGGACAAGTCAACCTGCCTGGTAGGCTACCCCTATATGTTGTCAGACCCAACCCTGTCGCTGACTCTACATAATAGGCTGATTTAGCAGCAGTAGGGGAACGTCAGTTGACGACTGCGCGCGCAAATCAAATAATTGGCTTGACCAATCGCTGAGCGACAAATTGGGCACCGGAGTCGTGTTTAGTCCTTTCCGCGTGCTTTCTCGTCGTCAAATGACATTCTCGTTCTGTTGCAAAACCAGCGGGGTTAGGGTTACAGTAGTTTCAATGATCATTGCCCTTTTTTATATTACCTGCGAATTTTTAAACACGCTCCAAACTCTGATCGCTGAAATCGATATTGCCTAAACCAGCTGACTTAGCCCAAGAAATTGTTATTTTCATTGCTGAAGCCTCAGTATTATCCGCAAGAAAAAGGACGCTGTGGCCGTGATCTAATTTGCATAAGGTATTTCTGCGCTATTTTAAACTTTGATCTGCTTCCTCTGACATGACAGACTGGTTTCCCTGACAGAGTTGCAGTGATTTTCTGGGATACTGATACTGGGCAGATGACAACAGCATTTAAAATTTTATCGCACAGTAAGTAAATTTTCCCTTAATTTCTTTTTGTTTAAAATGAACCGGCCTTTACTACTTTATAGGGGAATATAATAGACATTGGCCTGAAGCCATTGACGCTGCGACACTGCGGACCACATTAAGAAAATCCGGGCCATCTGGTCAGTTAAGTACAGTTAATAGGAACGAAATCATGTCAAAGTTATGTTTGTTTGAATCTGAAAGAAGCCTCTTAAGAGCAAAGGGGAAAACTGTCGACCGTCTGTCAAGTGAGTCACCATTAACACAAAACCTGGCAACTTAGTGGTCGGGCGCACCCGGAAAAGCTTTCAACATCGTTTATTACTCGCTAAGTGACCGTTAAGGAGCACTTTTCAGTGTTTTAATGGCGATTGGTGATCAGTGTCATAGTGTTCTTACTATCATTAGCAATAACTTTGTCACTGTCAACCTTCGAAAGGCTGCGACAACGGTTGTAACCACTTCAAGTTAAGAACAAGTTAAAAACAACAATGCTAATGTATGCCATCAGCGATAATAACCCCGGAAGAGAGGAGGTAAATTGGATAAATTCGAGTAAAAATATAACAGCTGATTGACCCTTTATGATGTTTAGAATCCGTCCTTCAAAAATCACTGTTCACGTCATATACTTCGCCTTTTTGCTCTCCTTTGGATATGAAAATATTGATAAAACATGAACATGCAGTTTATTAACATAAATTGAGACAATCAGACCTATGCAAATTTGCCTCCTCATTCATGTTCCAGATAAACAAGAAATCATAAAATATTCTACCAAACGCTCGCTCCGTTTATAGGCTGTATTCACCTGTGTATTCGGAGTAAGGCCGGGGTTTTATCTGAAAATTTTCTGAACACGCTTAGCCAGTTTTCTACACATGAAAAGGGAAAACATCCATTGAAGCTCCTGATCCCATGAAAAACTAATAAATGTATTATAGATTATATACACGTATCTCTTATATTTGACAGAAGAATTGCAATTCTGGAATTCAGCGATTGACTTTGGTGGAACAAAATGATTTCCTTGAAGGCTTTGACCTTTTTAAAGCTCATACAATTCTATTCTGGTAAGAATGTTGTAGCACATTGTTGTGCAAGTTCGAGTTAGTATTCTTGTGACTTCGTTCAAAGTCGATCAGAAAGCATTCTCTTTCATATTGGTGCCATGCTGGACTGAATTCATAACACGAATGTAATTATAACGTTACTACTAGCATTGTCGGCTTTTGTATTTTTTGAGCATTATAATGATTTATATCTTTAATACTCTAGTTTTTAATGTTACTCTGTACATAAATTTCACAGCCTTTTAGTTATAGCCTATTAGTGCGGGACTGTGCAGTAATTATAAGGAGCCGCGGCTGTAAAACCAGAGAGGGAGGCACCTCGTAAAATCGTACTAGCCTAAAGGAGGGCCGAGAACATATAGGGTAGTAGTATCTAGTTTTCTTTTTGGCAATCTGTTTTACCAACAATAATCAGTGCTGGTTTCTTTCGAGGATCATTTAACCCTGGGACTTAGAAGGGGGTGGGGATGCCCCCCCCCATAAGATTTTTCTGAGTTTTTTTCCTAGAGGATAAAACATCAGTACCTGACGTTCGGTAGCTGTTTGTTCATCCCTCGCGCACATTATAAGACAAGTTTAGTGATGGTCATTTGCTATCGTTACGAGATATGACGACATAAGTAGCAGGTGGTCAAGGCAATTTTGGGTGAAAAGACATGTTTTTTCAATGTCTTTCAACAATAAAAGTAAATCTTGTGGCTAAAATCATACAAAGTGCTTATTTAGGTGTTATTCTTCATGTAAAGCAAAAAAATTACAGTTTCTTACAGTTTTAACCTTATTTCTTATTCTTTGTAAAATCCAAGATGGCGACAATTGTTGGTGACGTCACAGGCCTCCAGCAGCGCCACCACCATATCAAAAACTCCAGGGAGGGGTTCCATCTACCCCCCCCGTACCACGGTGGGGGCATGAATTTTTTTTTTATTTCTGAGAAACCAAACATGATTTATCTGTAATCAAATTGCATAACAAAAAATATCAAAGAACGAGCAGTACAGTCGAACGTCTCCACAACGGCCTCCTTGGGGATGGAAGAAAGTGACCATCGTGGAGAGGTCATGGGGAGGGGGGTAGGGGTGTAATATGACAATTTTTTGAGGGGAGAAGAAGAAGTTTATTATGCCAAGTTCATGCCTATTTTATAAAATAATGGTAATCCAGTCATAAATGGAATATAGAGATAAAACAAACACACACAAAAGAAAAAACTTAAATAATGTTTTGAATCAAAATGTTTACACGACAAAACGAGTAAGGCTCTCAACACTCGCTATAAGTATTGTAGACAATTTATACTTCCTGTATCAGAATAAATGGAACACAATCAAAATAAGATCGCCGGGATTAACCACCAACGCGCCATAAGGATCGAATTTCGCGACCATTCCTGACTTTTTGGCAGCCGCTGAAAAAACTAGCCGTTGTCGAGAGGATATTTTGGCAGTCGGGGACGTAGTTTAGGGGCCGTTGCCGTTGTCGAGAGTTTTAAATAAGAGCCAATGTATGGACTGTCCGCCGGGACAAAAAAAAAGTGTGGCCGTTGTAGAGAGGTGGCTGTTAGTGGAGGTTGGACTGTAGTTTGTACCAAAGCCGTGAAAAATTCTGGTCACACGAGATTTTAGTTTACTCCTACTAAGCAAAGCAGGGGTGTATCCAGGATCTCAAGAGGAGGGTGTCCCTTTTAAAAGACAAAAGTAGCTAACAGAGGAGTGTCCCCTCTGCAGGAATTACCATTAAATGAAAAGACATTTTCTGCCGAAAGGGAGTGTCAGGTGACCATCAGGGCACGTGAATCTCAGCGCACGGAGAGACTACTGATCATGGCTAAGATAAGACAAGATAAGATAAGAACTTTATTTTAGCACGATAAAAAGATCAGCATTGCATACAACAATTACAAGAAAAATAAGGAGTACCGAAAGCAAATTGTACAATTAAAAATAAAAAACTGTCAAAAACGTCAGTAACCGATATCTCAGTTTCCAGTTGCAGCTAAATAGCTTGTCAAAATGTGCAATTGAAAATGAAAACTGTGAAAAGTGTTCGTAACCGATATCTCTATTTTTAGTTGTAGCTAAAATTAACAGGTTCGAAATTCATTTATCAGTATCAAATTTTACAAGACAGCGTTTAAATTCTTTCAAGGTTTTAGCCCTTGTTTCCTCGTTCGTTAAAGTATTCCATGCAATTGCTCCTCTAAAGCTTATTGAGTTCTTGATAAAATTTGTTTCCCGTCTTGGAAGAATGATGTTCTCATATTTCTTCTGCGGCCTGAATTCCCCTGTAAAAACAAACCTTTAAATTCCGTGACGGTGTAACCTTTTAAACACTTGAAGACAAACTCCGTTAATCGCAGTTTGTACATTGTTTCCAGACTGTCCTATCCAGTTCGCATTAACACATCTTCAGCGCTAGTGTCCCATGGCAACCCATATACAATCCGCCCTGCCCTTGCATGAGATTCTCCAAGTTGTTTAGGTGCGTCTTGTTGCACGATCCCCACACTGTCAGACCGTATGTAACTGATGGCAGTATCACTTTTGTGTAGAAATCTTATAATTGCTTCTGAGGGAGGAATCACATGCGTCGGAGTAGACTTAACTTGGATGCGAAAGACTTCGCTACATTTGCAGCATGATCTGACCATGACAACTTGTTGTCAACTTGTCTTCCGAGGAGTCTTTCTGCTGTTGTCTATTTTATGATGTTGTTGCCAAGACGAAGAGCTTGGATAGGGCCAGTAAATGTTGATTTACGCTGCATGATCATTGCTTTACATTTTTCTGGGTGTGGTACCGTCGAATTTCTGTCGCACCATTCCTGGAGTTCAGCGAGAACATTGTTTAGTGAGTTTGTCAGCAAATCCATCGTTTCTGCGATACAGTATATTTTTGTGTTTTCTACCTATAGATAAGTTTCCTCAGAGCGTTGTGATTTGGGGAGGTCGTTTGTGAAAGAGCGAGAATATCGAGGGTCCGAGGACCGACCCTTGCGGCACTCCTTGAGTTATAATGTGTGTATCGGAGTCGGGTTGATTCTGACGAATTGTCTTCGTTCTGTAAGGTAGTTCTTTAACCACAGCCAGATATCTCCTCTGATTCCAAGATAGTTCAGCTTTTGTAGTAACATATTGTGCGACACTGTGTAGAAAGCTTTAGTGAAATCCACAAACAGTATTCCCACAAGAAGCTATCTTTCTACTGCTTCTCTCCACCTCTCAGTTAGGTGTATTAAAAGCTGTTTTGTTGACTTTCCCTTCCTATAAGCCCATTGCCTGCTATCAAGTAAATTTTGCGTAACCATGTTATTAGTGATATTACTTGCGACGCAGATACGCTATCTGGCCCCGTAGCTTTCTTCACTTTTACATGTATGTATGTATGTAAATCTTTATTTAAACAGGGGAAATCATCAGTTAAGCTTAAGTTAAAAACTAAAACTAATTACAACTGCTTTACATGATTGCCGTGTGGGAATCCGATATATCAGCTACCTTCTTGATATTTCGCTTACAATACTCAACGGATGCAGCATTTTTTTAGTTTTTGGGCAAGTTATTCCATAACATGGCCCCGCTGTAAGAGAAGCTTCGTTTCAAATAATTGGTGCTTGGTTTGGACAGGGTCAGCCTTCCCTCAGAGTTTCTTAAGTTGTAAGCAGAGTGACGCTGAGTGAAAAGACTTTGTAGATATTCCGGAGCAAGGTCATTCATGGTTTTATACATCAGTAAGCCTTTTTGTTTCTTTCGTCGAAGAGATAGCCTCCCCCAGCTGAGGGTGGAGAGAAGGTGGTTTGAGCTCGCATCAAAGGGTGATTTAGTAATAACTCTGGCTGCACGATTCTGTAATTTTTGGAGCTTTTCACGCAAGTAACCACTCAAACAGTCCCAGACGGGGCTGCAGTAATCAAAAAAATCTCTTCAACGTGTTTACCCCAAGAGAGTTGAGCATCTGTGGTAAGACCCACGGATTTGGTATGATCGACTCTCTTGATAATATGGTCATCAATTCTGATTTCTACATCGTCACATTGGGCAGATAGTCTTTGTCTTGGTCCAATAATCATTAGCTCTGTTTTAGCAACATTTAGACTGAGCTTGTTAGCTTTCAGCCAACAGCTAAGGTTATTTAATTCAGGGGTTAGAGCTACCTTAAGCTCTGTCAACGTCTTAGCAGATAACGTAAGGTTGGTGTCACCGGCAAACATTCTTGGAACGGCGCCCCGCAGGGAGTTGGGAAGATCATTAATGTAAAGTAAAAATAGCAAAGGACCCAATATGCTACCCTACGGCACGCCGCAACTGAGGGTACGAGCAGATGATAGTTTTCCACTGACATTACATCTTTGGGTTCGGCCACTTAAGTACGAAGAGAACCATTTTATAGCTGCCTGATCGACACCCAAGTATGACATCTTACGCAAGATGATCTCATGATCAATGGTGTCGAATGCCTGAGTAGGGTCAGTAAAGACAACGCCATTTAGAAGGCCATTGTCGATGTTTACTGACCAAGCATTTGTTGCCTCAAGCATAGCCGTGAGCGTACTATGTAGAGAACGGAACTCTGATTGGCAACCTAGTAGCAATTTATTATCATCTAGATAATGGAAAAGTTGATTATAAACAATTCTTTCAATTCTTTTTTATAGGGATTACAGATATTGGCCTGTAGTTGTTAGGGTCCGATTTAATGTCCTTTTTAAAAAGTGGAGTCACTTTGGCTGTTTTCCAATCGTTTGGATATATCCCAGTGAGAATAGACTTTGAGAATATTGAGGTAAGAGAGGGTGCGACGATATTAGCAGCCATTTTCAACAATTTACTCGGAATCATATCAAGACCGGTGGCTTTCTTTTCATCAATTTTCCACCAAACGTTAGAAACAAAATCAACACTCGGAATTTGCAGAGAAAACGAATGATCAGTGGGCTTTAAATAAGACTCAGGATTAACATCGACAACAGGAATATCTTGTGCTAATACTTGCGCAACGTTTGTAAAGTGATCGTTCATAGTTTCCGCAATGCCCATAGGGTTACTTACTGTTTATTATCTACCTTGATCTCTAAAATATTCCTTGACTTACCACTGTTACGTGAAGTTAGCTCGTTGATAACATTCCACGTTTTGCGCAAATTCGCCCTTTGTTGGCTTCCAGGTTGTCAGAAACATAGAGTTTTTTTGCGAGTTGAATTGCGTTATTTGCCTGGTTTCTTGCACACCTAAATTGATCCCATATAGCCAGGTTATTGGAGGAGATTGCCTTCTTTTTAACGAAATCTCGTTTTCGGATTTTGCTCAGTAACTCTCTAGTAATCCATGGAGATCGTTTTTTCCGAATACTTTTGGATTTAACTGGTGCGTGTTTATCGACGCAGCCAAGAAACATTTCTTTCCATACACGCCACATTTCATTGGGATCAGAATACAAATCAACATAGGCCCAAGGTAGTTGGTTGAGGTCACTTAAGAATTTTCCTCTGTTTAAGTGTTTAAATTGCCGTGTTTCAATCACGCGATGGCCAATACGGCAGTGTTGAGTCTTACGCGACAAAGAAACAAGAGAATGATCACTAATGCCAAGGTGAATACACCGTATTCACAAATGGCGGACACGCGGAAAAAAACTGGTGCCTAGTCATGAAAGCGAGGCGTTGGAGGGTAAACAAAAATTGCAAATGAAGACTTTCAGTGAACTTGCAGAGTGTTTAGCACGGATTCCACCTAAAATAACTTTGTATGGACGTCTTTTTAAATACAATGACGTGGGACGTCTTCTGCTTTTAATGTTTAGTACTGATTTGCTGTTTGCAATCAAAAGGGACGCGTATATCTTCGAGGAAACAGGATGATTTGTTGGTTGCCGAAGCATCAGAAGCTCGACAAGTGGGTGATGGCTGGAGAAAAGCGGCAAACATGTTGGCCCAAACTTCATGCTGGAACCGAATACGAAAGCCAGCTTACTGCAATTCTGTAAAACAGAAGTAAAAACAGATATTGGTGGCAAGAAAAAAACAAATAAGCGACGGATATATGGCCTACTTGTCAACGGAAGAGACCTCCGCCATTACTCAAAACAGGTCAAGTCGAGAGCGGGTGAAAGATTCATTCACGAGACTCATTCTTTCATGTCAGTGTCATTTTACACATATCTATGTATGTCTGTATTTACAACTTCCTTTGGATGATATTATAATTCCGTCGCTTTGGAGTGAATTGTTAGAGGTACGTTGGCAGAGCTTAGCAAATTCAGTGCAAATTTAAAATCTTTTGATTTCTTTGTCATTGCGAAATAAAATAATTTTATCAAAACTAGACGCTCTAGTGTATGAATCTTATGGCTTGCTATTTGCCTGGTCTCCTTTACGGCATTATCTCGGAGAGCTCTTGGTAAAAAAGTGGTATAAAGCTCACATTTTACTAGGTTAAACTTTTAAGGCAATGTTTATATCAGGACTGAACACGGCAAGCTTCTGTTTCGAATAATTAAATGCGAGTCTGGATCCGTTTAAGAAGACCATCATTTTAATTATTTATGTATTCTTCACTTTTAAAATATTATGGAACATGAAGTTAAAACTCTTAACAGCTAAAGATAAGAAATAGGAAAATTACTCGCTGAAATGAAATGTGGCCGGCTTACCGAGTCTGCCGAGTAACAAGTTGAAATTTTGAGCTTACTCCACTCGATCGCTCCTGCATTTATACCAAAAAGATAGTTCTAATTGATGTCCTTCATCGATAAAGACCAGAGAATAACGTCCTGGCAAATAAACACCAAACATAACTTCATCCAAACCTCAGTCACCGCTTCTTTCCTTTCTTCCTTTTTTCCATCTCGATTTGAACTGTTTTGTTCAATGGCACACGTCTCTTGCGTTAACAAGTAGCCCATATATCCATCGCTTATTTCTTTTTTTCTTGCCACCAAGATTTTCATTGTTTATATTTCTGTTTTACCGAATTGCAGTGAGCTGGCTTTCGAACTCGGTTTCAATGTGAAGTTTGGGCCAACATGTTTGCCGCTTTTCTCCAGCCATCGCCCACTTGTCGAGCTTCTGATGCTTCGGAAACCTAAAAAATCAACCTGTTTCCTTGAAGATATACGCGTCCCTTTTAATTGCAAACAGCAAATCAATACTAAACATTAAAAGCAGAAGACATCCCACGTAATGGTATTTAAAAAGAAGTCCGTACAAAGGTATTTTAGGTGGAATCCGTGCTAAACACTCTGCAAGTTCACTGAAAGTCTTCATTTGCAATTTTTGTTTACCCTCCAACGCCTCGCTTTCATGACTAGGCACCAGTTTTTTCCCGCGTGTCCGCCATTTGTGAATACGGTGTATGACACCGGAATTTGTAATCTTCTCTGGGGAGTTCGTTATACATAAATCAATTAATGTTTTTGAGTCCTGGGTGACACGTGTTGGTTCAGTGATTAACTGACTAAGACCATATATATCGAAAATGTTTATCAGATGGGAAGAATTAACTGTAATTGCTTCAGGCAAAAAATTGCAGTTGATTTCACCGAGTAAATATAATAAAGATTGTGGGACAGTTGGACTTACCGCGGTCGGTACCCTTATGGACATCAGCCGAGTCGGATTCCCAGACGGCAATATCCTAGTCTACACGTAAATGGTTAATCAAGTTTTGAGCTAGGCGCGTGGTGCCTTTCTTGTTTAAATGAAGACCACTTCGATTTAAGTGGCTAGTTATTGAAATGTTAGAGTGGTCAACAAAGCCCCAGTTCTTTTGCTTGCAGCATTCCTTAATAACTTTGTTCACGTCAGGTACTTTACAAGCAAGGGCTTCATCATCAGATCTATTGATGAGACCGGATATAGATATCATAGCTGAAGATTCAGAGCTGACTGCTTCGGCTAGGTCAATCAGTTCTACTGCACAGTCACGAGGAGTATTGGAGGATCGTAAACTATTGGTTCCCACATGGATAATTATCTCGTCTGGGTTTCTGCGTAGTAGTGGCTTGATATGATCCTTCATGTCTTGCGTTGTGCATCCCGGAAAGGTGGCTATCGTAACTTGTGAATTCTTGGACATTTTATGGCTTTGTAGGTATTTAAGAGTAGAATCTCTCTCTATAATAACTGTCTTCTGACGGTTGGGCTGTGAATGATCAAGTTGATTTGACGAATTGATTAAGTCAGTGTTTCGCGTTCTGATCTTTGAGGACGACGAAGATGTTCTGTGTTCTGTGACAGCGCTATTCCCATTTTGATTGCTTACATTTGTTTCAATTTGATCTTCACCTTGAAGAAGCTCAAAAATTAAATCCGTTACGGGTTTGTATTATATTAGCGGGCATTGTTTTCTGGCTATGTTTTGCATTTGTACTTCTCGGGTGCGGCTTTGCTAAGGACCAACGATCACTTGTTTGTAGTTGATTGTTTTCAACTTCACTCTTTTCTCTCGTAATGATTGTTAGTGCTAACTTTAAAGAATCATTTTCTTGTTCTAATGACAGAAATCGGCTTTCAAGGAACAAACATTTTTCTTCCAACTCATTAATTGCATTGTCTTTTTTGGATATAGTGGATAATAACTTTTCACACTTCTTTTTGTAGTCGAGGAGCTCGACACCCAAAGCATTTCCATCTTGTTTTTGAATATTTTCCATCGACAGAAGCTTTGTATTTTCTTGAACTTGCTCCTGAAGGATCAATAAATCGAGTTTCAATCCCTCAATATCGGCAATGATTTCTGAATTTGGTCGTTTTTCATAACCATTTAGCAGACTCTCACCATCAGTCGACGTTTGAAAATTACTCTGACCACTGTCGGTCTCCTGCAATAGTGTAGATGGTTGAAATGATTGTTCGCTAGAGCTCAGAGAATTGGCATCGTGCGTTTTAGTTGTCTTTCTCGGTTTCTTGTGAACTAATTCTATCAGCTTATCCTTTAAAGCGGGACCATCGCGGCCCTGAAAATTCAGAGTTTGTTGTTTCTTGCCGTACCAATTGATGATAACATTGCCGTTTGAACATTTAAATTGCTTTGTATTCCCACCAGGCGTTAGCCACTTTCCTTGCAATTTTAAAACATGTTCCACGAATTTCTTTAGAGATTCCAAGTCATTCATCCATACCAACTTTTCCGTCATTAAGATGAAGATACTCTAGCTCACAAGAATCTGGATTGAGCGAGGAGGACTCGGTTTCTAAAACATGAACAGCATCAGCATCAGAGCTACAGATTGAACGTCCGTCCGCCATGCTTGTATCAGTGTCTAGATGCATTACAGATTTTTTCTTCGATTTCCTTCTGACTAATCGTGATGCTGGTCATAGTCGGCGTATCCACATTCTCACGGCTCACCATAAACAGGGGCAGCCAACGACGGTTTCCCCCTAAAGGCATTGAAAACGCTTTTTAGGCTATCCAGCCCCGGGGGGGGGGGCACTTTAGGAATTTCTGGGTGGGGATGTGCCGCTGGGACCCTGGAACCCTTGACCTATACCAGAGCTAGTTCAGCTGAATTTTGCTACCCTATACTAGAGTAAACTTCCAAAATCTCCCTATCCTAGAGTAGCTGTTTCCCCAGTCTAGATAAAATCTTCAACCAACTGATCAGTTTTCTAAAAAATGATACCGTATTCTAGACCCAAACGCTCTGATTTATATACCCTATCCTAGAGTAAACTGCTTGAAAACCATACCCGTCACAGCGGCACATACCCATATAGCCCATATATGGCAGTACCCCCGGGTATCCTGCGTACTTTTGGATTTCTAAAAATGTATTTTAAGCGGCGTTACAAAATTTGTATCTGTTCGGTCATCCTAAGGCAACTTGAGTCTTTTCGAAATTACAAAGGCTTCGGTATTATTTTACCGAAAATTTTAGACGCGATTTAAAGCTTTACGAAAGTCGCATAGCATCGCATTTTCGAATCCGAACTTTTAGGTTTTCTTTTACTACGAAAAAAAAGCTTAATCTGGGGAGTCAAATGCGAAAAATCGTAGGGAATTTATAAGATAAGCTTCAAAAATTGTACATGAATGAAACAGTCATCTAAAAATTTTTAGCCTCCCTCAAGCAATAGAAAATTCTAGGCAATTTTTGCTTCTCCGGACAGACATTTTACAGAAAACAGTCATTGGGTGCCCACTGCATAAATCAAAGGTAGGCACGCAGATGACTCAGAGCTGCAATCCAGTGATTCACAGGACAACTCAGAGGACGATGCGCAATCGGACTATTTGGCTTTGTCGAGCAACATTACAGTAAAAAACGAGTGAACATTGGCGGATCCAGGGGAAGGGCCAGGGGGGCCCGCCCCTCTTATTTTTAGACCAAAATGACGCCCGAAGGGCCGAAAAAAACTTTTTGGAGACCGTCCCTCCCATCTCAGGGTCTAGATGACCGCCCCCTCCTTATCTGAAGGTCTGAATCCGCCACTGGTGAATTCGTGTAAATGTAAGTAGAGGAGTTGGTTATAATTTCTTTAGTGACCAGGTTAGAGCTAGCGTGCCTTTGTTAGCAGGGACACAACTTAATAACGCTCTTTGTAAAGCTCAATTCAGCCCTTCCTCCTGATGATTATTGCACAGTTCCCTATTCCATTAAAGGAGAAATAAAAGCTTTGGGATTCTAACGATTTCATTTCAAAGCTTACAACGGGGAAGGTCGAAGAAACTAATTAATTTAATGGCTAATGTTACAATCGATAGTCAGACCTGCCACCACTAGGAAACTATGTTAAATCTGTTATACGGACAGCCCTCAGGATTCATTTCCACTATAATTTTTACGTGCGTAAAATTTAAGTTCGCAAATAAAATAGGGGCAGTGTATGAGAGGTCTCACGTAAGCTTAAAAGTAGAACCTCGCTTAACTTCACGTTTGATCTCAACACTTTATATCCTGCCTCTGTTTTATTTACGTGATTAAAATTTACGTGCGTTAACGTGCGTAGCCAAAACCGCATCAGTGGAAATCAACCTTTAGACCTTGGCCAGTTTGAACAGCCTAATAACTTGATCATAGTAGAATTAACTTTTTTATAAGATTCAGATATTAAATATTATACAGTATTTACAGTTGTATGGTTAATGACTCTTTGAAGACTCTTTCAAGACAGAATGATATTCTCTCTTGTAGTAGTATAGTAGGGATGTTTTACGCCTTTATTGCGGTGGAATTTCATTAACTTGCGATAGAATATATAAATGCCAATAACGTCATGCCTTTTTTCTTTATCTTACAGTAAGCTAAGATCTAAGATGGGCTATTTTTAGGTGGTTAAGGGATCTTGTACTTATTTCACTTAAAATCACTGAGCCGTAACGTAATAGCCCACTTTCGATTTATTAAAACTCCAAGATGACTCCTATAGGCTTTCGGGACAAAATTGCAAATTCTTCACGACCCATTGTCACGCAATACGCAGCAGAGACTTGAGCACAAAGAAAACCAAACCAAATATAGAAAAATGACCAGAAAGCCTCGGAGTCATGTTAGAATTTTAATATGATAAACGAGGCTATTTTCTAGCTCTATGTCCTACCGCCTTCATTGTCCATTGCAGACAACAAATTGTTCCAGTTACGGTTTACACGAGGCAATTATACATATTAACGAGGACGAAGGCAAAATAGCTCTTTCTAGCACAAAACACAATTTTTTAAATACCCCTTCCCCTTTCTGCTTACGCGCAAATTAATTATTACGCCCCCCCATCAAAGCTTTATTTTCCCTTCACCACCACCACCACCACATTTCTATTCTTTCCTTTCTCCTCCTCCTACGATTTGAGCGCCAAATAAGGACATGTTACATCATCGCTTAAACCACCAAAATATAGCACATGACCTTATTTTATTGAGATTCTACCGCATTTTATTTATAACATTAACACTTAGGGCTATCACGTCAGAGATTCTTCCTTAAAAAAAAAAGTAAAACATCCATACCCTACTATTAACATTTCATATGAGTATTATGCTTATAGCGATCGTAACCGTAGTGATATGAGGTGATTTTGTTGTTTAGAAACGAACGTTCGACTGACTGGCCATAACTCAACCTTTGCTGGTCGCGTCGAAGTGTTTTCACATGGAGTCTGGGGACGTGTCATAAATAGTCCTTCTTATTGGCGTAAGAAGGAGGCTGACATTGTGTGTAGGCAGCTCGGTTTCCCAGAAGCCATCACCGCCGTGGGGTACTCAGCTTTTGGAGAGGGTTCAGGACCGGTTTTGATGTTAAGTGTACGGTGTCGAGGCACGGAGAAAACTTTACAACGATGTTCATACCAAGACTGGGTCGACAGCGATCTTTCGCCAGGTTATGAAGTGGGAGTGATTTGCAAGACTTCTAATTTACCACCTGATAACAATGGTAAGCAATTTTTATAAAGACAGGACTTTCTTATTTAAGTTATCTGGTCACTGATCATTTCTATCGCCTACATTACTTTCCTTTAAAATTCAAATTTCCTGCCCCCTGAGAATTTTTGAAAGCTCAAAGGCTGATTGCTGTAAATGACAACAAAAACCTTGCTCAGTTTTCAAATCCACCCTAACCCATCTCCCAATCTGATTTCTTTGCTGGTGATTGCCGGAATTTATTTCTTGGCGTGTCAATCTTATCGATTTTCTGGTCGTAGAAGAGTGTTCTGAAAAAGTAGTCCCGGCCTTGACGTGAGGTCCCTAGTGGCAAAATTGGGGCCGGGAAAACACTCTATTTTGTTCTTAAAAGTAAGGGATTCTGGTCGAAAGCCTTGTTTTCTGTTTATTTCTGCTCTTTTTCAGCCAAGTCTACAATCGGCGACAAAATTGTTGAGACAAAAGAATCCACACCCCTTCCCCCTCCCCATTGTTCAAAGCTGGGGTGTTTGTTGTTTTCTCTAAGTAGCTCGATCAGCGGCACAACATTGCATGGAGAGGATGGGGAAGGAAAAGCTTTATTTTCTCCTTTTGAAGTTTTCTTCTAACATTTTTTATTGAATTAAAGACAGGTTTTACAATGTCATTTAAGAATAATCATTAATTAAATAAATTATACAATTCCACTTAATAAATACTAACCTAAGAGAAAAAAGAAAAAGGATAACAATTATAACGAAAAAAGGAAAAAAAAAATTCAACAACAACAATAAAGATACAAAACTGCTAAGGAAGAAAGTGGCATTTTTGCGAACCGCTTTGCAATAACTACTATTAAGTGCATTAGTTGGCTTCTCCCACTTTTGAAAATGGAAAAGAAGTTTATTTTTCTACCTGGCGATATGGAGCGATGACACGTCTTGCCCCAGCAATAAAACCTCTAATCGAAGGTACGCTATTTTGACATTTCCTATAGTAGATATAATATTTACCAGTTCGCAAAATATGATTGATTAGAATATAGTCTTCTACAATATCCAATTTTCGAAATATCACATCTGATTGATTAATTGTCCCAACATGAAGATCATTATCTCTTAACCAGGACAAGACATGTTTCCAAACGTCAGAAGATATCCTGCAGGAGAAGAGTAAATGCTCGACGGATTTCGCTTCTTCTTTACAGAAAGTGCAGTTTGGCGATTCTACTACACCAATTAAACTAAGTTTCTCGTTTGTTAAGATTATACAATTTAAAATTCTGTATTGAAATTCCCGCCTCTTAGGTGCTATACGTTTCCTGAGGGAAACATATATCGGCAGAAGAGTTAAGCAGCCAATTAAAATTAGACTTCTTTCTACCAAAAGAGGGAATTCCGCGAACATTTAATGACAAAAGTTTATGTTTTGTCGCCCCATGTCCAAAGAGATAAGCTGTAAACTTCAAATGAGAAGCCAACGCTAAATATCATATAGACGTCCACCACCAAAACAAGGTGCCACTAAGCTCATTTAAGCTGACCACCGGTAATTGGTCAGTATGTGTATACCCTATCTACCCTAATTTCTTTTCTTCGCATATCAACATCATTTCCCTCGAAAAAAAAAAACAAACAAAACGCCTCGTTAAACGCCATGACGCGGTCGGTCTTTTTCAGCTCTTTTCCTTTTTCTTTGACGATTAGAAAAAATAAAAAATAAAAAACGGAAACTTTTCCTCTACAGCACTCGGTTTAATATTAAACCAGTTAGAGATTTCTAAGCTCTAACCCTTAAACAAAGTTTGTTCGTTCGTTACCGGTGTGATATGTGTATGGACAACACACCAAAAGAATTTTAATCCCATTTTCGTAGACAATCTGATTCGCCTTCAAGGATCCACCATACCTTACGCTGGCCGAGTTGAAGTGTTTTATACAGGAGTCTGGGGAGCAATCAGTGTCAGCAAGTGGGATATAAAAGACGCCACGGTAATTTGTCGTCAGCTTGGTTACTCTGGTGGAGCGGAAGTGGCTTTAAGTAACGGTGTTTATGGTCCAGTAAGCGGTCCAGTTTGGATAACCAATCTCCAGTGTACTGGAAGCGAGTCAAATGTTATGGAATGTGTTCATGATGGGCTTGGAAAGAAAACTGAATTGCAGCATAGAGCCTACACCGCCAGTGTCATTTGTAAGGACTCGTCATTCACCAACGGTAACAAAAAGTTTCACTTGTATAGTCACACACAGTTCTGCCGACGTCTCACTTTCTAATCGTTACACTGCTTCATATAATCATTAGTTTTTAAATAATTTTATGAATTCAAATGGAGTTAATTAACGTTTAATGAATGTCACTAAATCTGATCCAACAAGCAAGCATTAGCTTCAGCATTTTTTCAGTTTGCTCAATAGGCCACTTCTGAGTTCCAAGAACCTTCACTTTCAAAATGAGGCCAAGTGCACAACCTCTCGTGTGAAAATGAGTTTTATTTGCATGAGAATGAAAAATTATTTCCACATTGAAAGGCTAAGCACTTAACCTCGTTTTGATAGAGAGGCCCGGGGAAACTCGTAAAAGGCCCGCCTATTTTAATCCATTGCAACTGCCGGTTATTGTACCCCTGAAGTGAACAGCCTATGTCAATTGTCCATGTGTTATTGGTCTAATTGAAGCTTCTTCTATCCACAAAATATTGCAGTAATGCCGATTAGGCTACGAGGGTCACACTCATCAAATATGGGACGAATAGAGGTTCATTACGCTGGAACGTGGGGTTCAGTTGATGCATCAAGATGGGACATTAAAGACGCCACAGTCGCGTGCAGACAGCTGGGATATCATTCAGCCTCGCTTTCAGGATACGGAATTTTTTGTTCCTCCGATATCCCAATGTGGTTCACTTACTTCACATGTTTTGGTAATGAAACATCCTTGGAACAGTGTGCTCGGGATTTCAACCAGTATTCGTCGTCTACATATTGTGCAAGTGTTGTATGTACTGACAAAATGAATGAAGAAGGTGAGAAGTATAAGATAATCCTGGCTCTTGTTTCTATAATGGGGAACGGGAAACAAGCACGGGGACTGGAAAATGAAAAATGTGAACAAAAGCAAACTTGAACCTTAGCCCAGTTATCCATTTTCTGTTTTTTTTTTTTGCCAGTTTTCATTTTGCCGTTCCCTGTTCCTCTTTCTACTGAACACATCTATTTTTTCGCAATTTCAAGAACGTAATTATATAATCACAAAATTTAATGCTGGGAAATTCAAATTATATGATGTTTTCAAACTACAATAGAAATTGCAGGGCTGCTGTGATTTTCCGCCAGTTGATAGCTATGACTTAAAAACAAAGCCAAAAAACTTAAACGCTATATTTTCAGTATTTTTTTCTCCCACTTGGTGTGTACCTTTTACTGCAGTCTAATTCAGTATTGAAGCGCGCGCAGCGAAGCCCTATACTTATAGAAAATGGGAATTTATCGATGTCAGAAAATTTAGTTATGACGTCAGCGTACGCCCGAGCTCCCGACTGTCATACAGACTCAGAGAGTAGGGATAAAAACACTCGGTACAGGATAATTGTTACAGTTTTTGTCTCGTTTTAGTTTCGTCGGACAGTTAGGCGTAATTATTTCATGTCATGACATATACTTACTAATGCATCAGTCAATTCCTGCTCCGCCCAGCCCAGCCCACCCCCCCGGCGGCTAATGCCTGGCATTTGCCCCCCCCGTCAGTCCCGGGGGTGGGGCATTTGCAAATTTTGTGTTGCCCGGAGGCGGGCATTTGCCAAGCCCTGGTCTTTTCCCAAGCTTTTGACACGTACGCGGTTTCCTATCAGAATATAACTACACAGAGGTTTTTACTGGAAAAACATGCATATTGGCTCATCTGTCAAGGGCAAAAAAAAAAATTGAAGATTGTTGGAAAGGCATGTTCTCCATTTTATGCACGCATTTCTTCATTGCTTATCAAGCCAGAATTACACAACGAAATCGGGAGCTATCGACGTGAATTAAAGCTTTTTAGTTAAATTGAATCAGATTTTTGTTGATATTACATGTATTTGAAGAACATCTTTTCATATTTACAGTATAAAACTATTGGTCATAACACATATTAACTTTATAGCGCTCTATTAATTTTAAGGTCCATAATTTTATAACAATACTAAAACCATAAACTGGGGTCGTCGGAGCGTTAAGTCTTGATTGCCCCCGCAGGGATTTCGCCCAGAAGGCGAAATCCCGAGGAGGCACTCTAGTAGTCGCGCGTATATTAAGGAAAGTACTTACAGTTGAAATATACAGTCAATATAGAAAAAATCTCAATTTGCTTGAACAGGGGCCGCGAGGAATCGGTAGGTAATGATGACGTTTCTATGGTTTGCGCCCGCAAGTACGAAATGGTTAGGATGACGTAAAGACAGAGCATCACCAAGGGACCGCTTAGCTAGATTTTGTGACATTTATTGTGCAGTCATACTTGGACACTGGGGGGAGGGGCGCCTGGGCGCAGCTGGAATTGACTGACGCATAAAGGTTTGAGACAGAAAGACGATGTCAATGGCCTCGCGTAAAGCTTTTAAAAATATGCACAGGCTTAAATTAATTTTCTGATTGCAAATGGAAAGAGGAAGGTCTTATATAGGATACCCAGTTGCAGTAGTTGCAGTTAAAAAGTAAGGGTAATTACCGAAAGTCTTGCTTCGAGACTCGTTCATCTATTAAAAAAAAAACAAAAAAAAAACAACCAACAAACACAAAGAAAGACAAGGTTTTCGGAAACATTTCAGATTCTACTAGCTGTCTTGAATAAAAAGTGTTGAAGTTGTACATCTTTCATTGTAGTTTTATTCATGTTTTGATTGTCAGTCATAATTTTGCAATGTGTTATGCAGGTTTTTTCTTCCTTTCGAGGACTGCCGGGTCAGAATGACGAGTGAATAAAATGTCTGGAAATGGTTTAGGCATGGCGTGTGATTTGTGCCTGTGTTTACACATTAACGAACATATTTTCTATCAGTCTCGCCGAAAAGAAAGTACATATGTCGATTATTCTACCGATCGACAGACTCGTGACTTTTCTGTAGTTTACGTCTTAGCGCACATTTAGCCGCATGAAATACACAACACGCAAAGGGCAGTTTGTGTAGACAGCAAAATTGTGATTATTCATAGCGGGAAATGTTAAATAAGTTATCGACCTTCCTTTCCGGTAGGAAAAAAAAATAAAATAAAGTATAACTTATACAGCTACTGTTACTGAGTATCAGATATTGTGATAAAGTATAGTTTACACGTAACGGTTTGTCGGTCGAGTATTGCAAAGAAAACATATTTTCGGCTAAACACAAAAATCGGCCTAATTTACCATTTGGGTAGAATACCTTTGGGACGGAAAGATTCACCAATAAACATAAACTGACTGTGAACTGAATGACAACAAGCCTTTATTAAACGGCATTACATTTTATGGGCTATTAGCAATCAAAGGGGTGTGATCGGGGGTCGGTGATGCACACGTATGGGGAAGAATTCCTTTTGAAGACTGTTACTGTGATCGAATTTCACAATAATTTTCCCTTTTTGTTTTAAAATCAGATAAGAATAATCTTCTGGATTTGCATAGGTTGAAGCTTATTCATTTCACTTTTTTGGTTTTAAGTAATTTTAAAAAAGTTTTTAAATGGACGCTTCACTTTTAGCCTTCTCTAAATCTATATTATTCAAACTGGGATTTCCGGAAACATATTTAGGCGATTTTCGTGATATTTGTATCTAGGCCTAGGCTGAGTGGAGACTTATCCTTAAAATGCCACGAAATCTATTTTTTTACCTCTAGCACCCGAGTTGAGACTAAGCGACTCTCCAGTTCCTCACGCTGGCAGAGTTGAACTTCGTTTCAAAGGTATCTGGGGAACGATTTTCCAACACAATTGGTATTACACTCTCCGTCCTGGAGCAACTCGCGTAATATGTAGACAGCTTGGATTTTCGGACGCTGTGATATCTGCTGGTTATTCCGTGTATGGACCCGGAGTGGGTCCCGAGTGGTTGGAGAGTTTCGATCTGTATGGATGTTTGGGACACGAGAAGAACATATTGAATTGCTCATACAGCTCACCTCGTTTTACAAATTATGGTCATAGCAGTGATGCCAGTGTCGTATGCAAGCCAAATTCTCCACATGCCAGTGGTAAGTAGGAAAAGCTTATGAATCAGTCAATTCTACATGCCACCCTCACCCAACTAACACAGCACCACCCCCACTCACGCCCCCCTCTTCCCCCACGCGACGTCCCGGCAGGAAAGGGAGAGGGGGAAGGGTGATAGATATAATACTTGTTTAGCCATACATTGCACTTTTTTCTTCCCAAAAGCCGTGAACTACAATAAAATAACAACAATTAAACGCCTGTGATAAAATTGACACATATACATCAATCTATCATAATCAAGAGAGGATAAAGGGGACAGAGAAGGCATCCCCCATACACACCCTATTCCATAGGTAATTCGTCTCGAGTTATTTTTAGAACCGGGATAAAGTTACCTCGCGCGCTGCATGGATGTTTCGTGGAGGTTTCGCATAACCAAACGCCGTGCAAAACATGTCGGGCGAAAGGCAATAAAAGCGTAAAGAGATCGAGAACATTACTGAATGCTGACGCGAAATGAGTCGGCGCTCACCTGGGAAAAGGAAATCGCTAGACTCAGTTGACAACCCATGAAATCAGTTTAACTCGAAGTTGTCGTAACCTCAGTGCTTTAATAAAATGAGAAATTTCGCCGGTCTATCGAAACCGGTCGTTTGTACAATAAAGCAAGTAGGAAGCCAAGTGTTATTTTTGTTGAATAATGAAAGACTAATAAAAAAATAAATATTGAACCAGAAATTTCTCTCTTCAAACTGTAAATTATAAATGATCCTGAGAGAATATTCAGTGTGTTAAGGATTTCTCTGCTGTACTGTTAACTCTATACAAGAGAGGAAGGGCGATTCTTTTTTAATTTCCGTTTCGCTGACACAGCTTTAGCAGAAATCTCTCTGTAGTCGTTTCCGTTGACAAAACGAATAGCAATATCGCTCTCCGCGTCTTCCACCATTTTGTTTTGCGTCAATTCGTGAAAGACGCGTGGCTCTGAGCGTGGGTCATCCACGTGGAACACATTCGCGCTATGTGAGTGGCTGTTGTCTAATCACCCTTGGGGTTTGCGACTTCACAAATAGCAAGAGCGACAATTACCTGTGGAATAGGCTGCGTATGGGGGATGCCTTCTCTGTCCCCTTTATCCTCTCTTGATCATGATACCCTACCCTAGGAATAATCGTTATAAGAGTGTTCAGACAAGTAACGGTGAAGAAACTCGATAGAGAGATTGAGGGAATCTACTAGTCTCTTCCTAATAGCTCCGAACGATCTTTCGCATTTTAATTCGTCTGGTAATGCATTCCAGAATTTTGCCCTAGTACAAGCAAAACGTTTCCAGTAACAATCTGTTTTAACTGCCGGCGAGGCTAGATTGTATTCCATCTTGAGGTCTTCAGATTATATGCTGATCGCTCGGTGTTACTCGAAAACATTTCCTCTAATTAGGCTGGGGTCATATTATCTTATCATGTTTATTTACTTTTGGAGTTCGAATCTCGCGGGAAAAGTTGTGTTAGAAAGGGAGCATGGCCGTCAAGATGCCATCTCGTGCCTCCTACCTTGTGTATTATATTGTATGGAGGGTGAATTCGTTGGAGTGTTAAGGAAAACAACAAGTATATAACTGCAGAGTAAGTATTTAAATGACAGGTTGAACAAATCAGTTAATAATAATAATAATGATAATAACTTTATTTCTTTAGCGCTGTTATCCTATGTTCAAGGCGCTTTACAGTCATGTAAACAACATTACTGATAAATATTTACAAATTTACAACCATATCCTAATTATATTTACAATGAGTAAAAAAAAGGAAAAAATGAAAACTAAAGCAACTATTGAACTATTTTATTCGTAATGATTAAAAAGGGGAAAAATTAAAACTAACGCATTATATACAAATCTATAGAAACAATGATCTGTTATTACTGAATTTAGTAAACAAGTACGTCTTAAGTGACCTTTTAAAACTCGAATTGTCTGTTAATAACTGGAGCAACAAACTTGAGGATTTTATTGCATATTTGATCCAAACCAGTTCCATTGGCGACATCTAGTTTTGACAGTAACTTTAAACAGATTTCATTTCAGTAAACTTAAAAGAGGACAGTTCTCGTTTTAGGTGATCTTCAGCATTTATAGATGATGTTGGAGTTGTTGTAGCAGATTTTGTTTGGACCAATGATTATGGTTTAGGTTTTTTTTTCTTTCTAGTTTTAGTCAGTTAGTTGACTACTTAGTCTTCGGATAGCCATGAAGTTATCTGCCATTTTCTAAAGTTTACTCATACCAAAACAGCTGGACTGCCGCGCAGCTGCCTGGAAACGAGGTTTGATTGTACATTGGGGCAGTATACCATCGAATCGAATCGATTATATCTTGGCTACATCTTTCAAATTATTATGGTAAGCGCTTGATGAAGAATTAGTCGGAGGATTTGCAGGCCAATCAGAAAAGGAGAAATACTTTGAATTAATAATGATAAAGCCGTCTGTGTGCTTATGAGGGCAGGAGTATAAGCATAAACATAAAAGACTGCCAAATACACCATTAAAGTACCAAACTTTTCCGCGCGATTTGATTACAGACAGACTGTTGATATCGCAGGAAATTTGCTTCCTATATTTGCCTAATTGGGGCACAGTGTGGAACAGCAGGCAATAAAGGAATCGACATACCTATATCGCGCAGAATATCTGGACCACATTGATTTTCCATAAACAGCGCGAAGCAACAAGTTAGTGCTTTGAAATATCCTTGTTAAGAGAATAACGCCCAAATACGCACCCGTTGGGGTTGATCAAACCCTCCTGTTTTTATCCGCGTTTACCATTCATGTGTTTCGTTGCAGACTTTCAGGTTCGCTTAAATGGATCCAGCCTCTCTTCTGCGGGCACAATAAATGTGTTGTATTATGGAGTCTGGGGTGGCATTTCAGGCTATAATGTTGACATTCGTGTAGGGCACGTGGTTTGTCGTCAACTGGGATATTCTAGAGCTGAGCAGATTTTTAGCTACGCATCGTATGGGCGAGTGATAGGCCCGTTGTGGATACGGAGCATACATTGTAATGGCAACGAAACAGAAATATCTCAGTGCACAGTGGAAACTTGGGACAAAATCTGGAATACCTCATGGTATCACTGGTATTATTATTATAGTTATTTTGACAACCCACGATATGCAGCTGGTTTGCTGTGTAGTAAAGGAAATTCGAGCCTTTCAAAAGGTAAGTACGGTGATAAATATTTGAGAAAACAGTCTTCTTTTCCACTGCCCTTTTAACAGGTCATAGAAAAATAATTTCATCCCCCACCCAAAAAGGGACGTTTTTACATGTTCCTGGTCATTTTCAAAAATATATATATGAAGTTTAAGATGAGACCTAAAATCAAGAGGACGAATGGCACAAAACATCACAAAAGACTGGCTGCTTCTTCAAAGCAAACAGCGAGTAATGATTTTCAGGCTGCAGGAAGATAGTGGGAGGAGGGAGGGATATATTGAGTACCCAGAAATGTCGTTGACCCCAAACCATAATTCGCAGGTGATGAAGAAATACCGTTGAAAAAGAACTAACAAATCAGGAGTAGTAAAAGACCGAAAATCTTAATTCCTGTCTTCAGAAAGAAAAACCAATTTTGCTGATGAATCTTCTGTTTTGGAAGCAAAAGCTCCGAATTTAAAATCGTTCTCTCCAATGAAAGAACTCACATTTTTCTTACTTTTAAAAGTTTTAAATGTGAGGTTGGCTGGTGCAACGATCTCCAATGCTGGAAGAGTAGAAGTATTATATGCAGGTGTGTGGGGTACGATTTATGGCTGGAATTGGGATATAAATGCTGCTAAAGTCGTATGTCGCCAGCTGGGATACCCTGGAGTTATATCATTTGGAAGCAGCAATCAGTTTGGTATCGGAAATGGACCGTCGTGGTTTCAAAACGTGAGATGTCTGGGGAGTGAATCCAGTTTTGAAGAATGCTCAAAAGATACCCTGGGGTATCCGAATGGCGGCTACTCGTCAGTGGCAACGGCCATGTGTAAATCCAAACCCCAACCAGGTGAGATTAGTATAGAAGTGAATAATAATTTTTATGTTTGGTGACACTGATTGAAAGTTATCCTCAAACGATCATTTTCAAAAAGCCGTGGCAGCCAGGAAGGGTAGACTGATTGCCCCACAGTTAGAACATTTAGTAGAATTTCTACAAAATCCCTTTCTATTCTATTCTCTTTAATTTTCCTGGGTCGACTGTAACCCCAGAGGAATTAAACACTCATTCCACGTTAAGTGGGTAAATTACCATTTTTTGGTGTCCATGGAAATTTTGGGAGACTCAGATGGTTTTCCCATAATCATTTCGCTAAAAAAATACTTAAAATATGCCCAAATAAATAGCGACAGTACCTATTTGTACTCCTGTAGACAGTAACTTTGAGGGAATCAAGTCCAAAAGTGTCCAAAAAATGCAATTTTGCTATGTCTGCAGAGAGGGTGTGTATAGAAGGTTACGGTATATTTCTGTGCTTGTCGCCTTATACTATGGAAACTAATCAATCCAATGTGTCGGGAGGGACCTAAACTATAAAATCCTACATGATCATTTCTCACTGCAGGTCAGTTTTGTTGCTTTTAACTACAATGAACTGGTGTCCGCTATTTTTATGAAGTTCCGTTACCGATCTGAGGGTAGATCACAAATGGCCTGAAATATCGCGAATGAATTACATCGGGTAAATATCATTAAGTTTGCTCTTTTCGATACGCAATGCATAAAGTGATAAGCAAAAGCCTGTAGAAAGAAATTGCATCTCACAATAGCAATGATTTAAGGTGAACAGTTAAGGTTGAAACTTCCGTTATTAAGATTACAGTAGGAAAAAATGAAAAGTGGGTCGTGCTGATTTTTGTGGTGACGGAGGAACTAGTGAGGATTATTATGGAGTATGTTTGGTTTTTCCGTGTTATTAATTTCACTTAAAAGTGTAACAGAAAAGGTAGAATTTTAACTTCCGTTACCAAGAATTTTTCCGGTCTCTAAAACGTGGGATAAACGTCAGGTAAATTTCGAGAAATGCTGTCACACGATTGCCCCATCAAACAACTCAAGCCTTGACATCTGGTGAAGATTTCGTAACAAGTAACCCTCACACGTGTCCCATTGGTAAGACACCTCTCTGTCAAGTGTCACAAGGGAATTTTAGCTGAGTTCGTGGTTCACGGAGTTTTTTGCATAGTTTAAAGAAGTTTATTTTCCCTTGAAGCATTTATTGGCAATTTAGGAATATAAGATGAATATGACACGGGCATTTTGATAATTTTAATTTTTTTTAAAAGTAACGGAGGTTGCACAAAACAGGAAGTGGATTATTTGAAACTGTTTTTGCAAGTTCAACCTTCTTTTCTGTGAATGGACTTTACAATATTCATGATCTATTAAAATTCTTGTACGAATTCTAACAGATTACCATATGCATGCATCTGTTATTATTTTTTTTACTTTCAATTTAATCTATTTTGCTCATTTAATTTGTTCTTGTTAGCCTCGCTCCACCGAAAAATTCCAGAAATTCCATCCAAAATTGTTTAGTATTAATTCAATTCAATGGAATAAGTTATATGCATTGCCATTTAAGACGGTCTGTAATCCCAAAAGTGAGTCATCGAAAGAAAAATGAAATATTATCTTCCTTCTGTAAGTTCTTCAGTTACCGAAACTTAGTTGATAATCACTCATTTTCTACTACATCACATGTTTTCAAACTATAATACAGGTAAACAACACCTTCTTTCCTACACATTTAGCAAAATAATGTTTACTCTAACGGCTTTTTTAAAGAAAAAAACAGTAAAAACAAAACAGCAATTTCAAATTCTCAATATTTTGTTACGTCAGACCAAAGTACACCGCCATGGCAGAACAACTTGACTTTTTCATTCCTTGAGCCACTGACTGTAAATGTAAAACTCAGACCTTAGCCTGTCACGGATTTCATTTTAAACATTTTAGAGTAAGCCAAATTTTAAAAAAATAGATATAATGCAACAGTGTGCTGCTTCAAGCCATACAAAATATCACACTACATGCTATTAAATAACAGGCTGTAACCTTTTATAGATAAAAGATATGTTGACCAAATTTTGGTTTCTCACCCTTCAATAATACATCTTTTAGTTAAACTAACGACTTGTCTGATCTGTTGACCTTCGATTTTTCGAAAATCCTTCGCACAAACTTACCCACTTCACGTGGAATGGGTGTAAAAACAAAGGTTATACAAAATTTTGGGGGCAAACAAGGTGTATTATGAGAGATGTGCAAAGACTGCAAATAGTGAATGCCCAAAAATCACGACTGCTCAGCAGCAAAGCAATTCTTGGCAGTTTACTCAACTGATCCCTGTGTTATGGCTACTCGTGGAAATTCTACAGAATTTTCACGCCATCTGCCAATAGTTTTGTTCGAAAATATAATAACAAGTAATGCGTGAGGAATTTAACGGCTTCTTTATCATAAAACAAATAAAGAAGCCTTTCAAGACTGTACTCAGTTCTGTTCTATTGTAAAGCACTCACGAAGCGGCTAGAGAACTCAGGGAGAAACACTTGACCTACGTCTCGTGTTTCCCCTACGGCTTCTTTCGTGCTCTAGCCGCTTCCTAAGTGCTTTACAACACAACAGAACACAGTCAAGGCTTCTTTATTTGTTAACTGATTGTTTTACATAGATATTTCCCGGCGAGAAACACTTTCCTAATCTCATTAAAAGAATTTGGAATTTTTAAATTTCTAAGCATTTATGCGCTCGCGGTTATTTTGACACTTTTCTCAGATCGCTTCAATTTTCTTTAATTAACATATTTATGCATTTAGACAAAGCGTCATCTGAAAATTGCTCTACTACGACGTGTTCAAGCAATGGGACATGCATAAACACCTCATTTGGTCTTATATGCAACTGTTCAGAAGGATTCACAGGTCCAAGTTGTGAAATAAGTAAGTAAAAGCAAGGGTAAATTACAATTTCAATTTGTAATAAGTGGTATGTACTCAGTTAGGTTCGCTCTGTTGGTTTACAGGGCTTAATCGTAGTGTTTTGTACAACACGTCTTTAATCCTTTTACACCCAGCACCAGCCCTTGCAAAATCAAAAATCATCTCATCCATTTTTATTCTTAAGGGGCGCGATCAATTCAACCAAAATTTCGGTCCAAAACTCAATGGATCGGTTCGGTCCAACCGAAAAAGTTTCGAAAAAACGGGTTCACCTTCAACCTCGTCCCCAGGGCTTTTCCCTAAAAACGTCCTGGGCACGAGGTTGGTCCACCTTTTGAGGTCGACCACATTTCCCGGTCGGACCGGTTGGAATTTTGGTTGAATGGATCGTGCCCCTTGGCTTTCAAGTGACGTCAAAAAATCCGAACTCCAAATCCCAAGGACTTTTAAGGTTTTATTTCCATCTAGCAAAAGATCTTTTAAAAATAAATTTCTGTGCAAGTTTTCAACGAGATAGCGTTTTCTGTTTTTATAATATAGCTCTTTCTTATTTCCAAAGTTTACTCCGAGTGACATTAATAGGGACCTTACGATCCGACAACGGCAACGTCCATGAGAACGTCGCAGAAAAATAGACTTCGCATCCTTTAAACTTTTGGCGATTATCCCGATTCGCCCTGTTATTAAAAAGAAGTGACTTTTGATTGGAGCGGAAGAGAGGGGACCGTGCCCGAATTCAGACAGAAATGGTAGAATTTATCGCCTTGCCGTTCCCGTTCTTAAGTAAACTTTAAATTTTGCCATTTCACGTCGTAGTTGTGCAGGGACAGCAAAGAAATGTAAAAATAAGCGTGATGCATGAGCAGACTTGTTGTTTGCTGATTAAACTGTTGCTCTTTTTAGGTTCCCGTTGCCGGTCACCGTCGTAGTTTCGTAAGGTCCCTAATATGGCGACCGAGAAGGCCGTCACACATTTTAAAAAATAATTTTATCGCATGATATTATGCCCTTTGAATGGTGAAAGTATTAGAAAATGTATTAAGGGGAATAATTTGCTCTTTCGCAGTGAACAACTGATCAAATTTGTGGCGATAATGAAACCAGATGTCTGCATTATTTCCGGCCGCCATATTTGTTCTCCTCGGAGGAGCACAAATATGGCGTCCCCATAGTGAGCCCTATAAATTTCTGTTACACATTTTGAAGAACAACTCAGCAGCGGAAAACTGCACAGACGTGAGACTTAGCCAGGTTGTTAATTTATCGGTATTCTATAATATCTGAAATTCTTAGCTTCAGACATTCCACGGTTTTGATTTTAGTTTTTGATGGCATGACAGTGAAAACCACCAAAATAGCAACATTTTTTTCTAATTGCATTTTGTTACTTCGTTGTTTGTCCCGAATCACTGTCCCTAGCAGTTCGAAAAATAATGTTCTGAAAGATTACCTATCCCGCCAAGTATCCTGAAATAGAGAAAAATACACAAAAAACACTGGTTTCTATTAAAAAAAAAAAAAAATAGTTTGACAGTTACATTAGATACCAAAAAAAAAAACATTTCCCTTGCTTTGTAGGCAACATGGAGTCATTAGCTTTAAATTTATATCATTTTGATATGTCTTAGATGCTAGTTTTACATGGTGTTATAAAAGTGCTATTACCAACAACTAAGAACACTGGTAGTCTAAGAACCGGTTTGAATCGGATGGGGCCCTGACTTTTTGTCAATTGTGGCAAGCCAGGAAAGTGTGTTGCAGACAGACACACACACATCATTCTTGTTCAGAATGGAACTAGATTACGACATGAGAAAGACAACAGCGGCTAGGCTTTGCCTTAGAAAAAAGAAAAGCAAACGGTACTCAGAAAGAAATTCACTAGTATCTAACAAATGTTTCAGGAACACTAAGCCAGTGCAAGTCTTCACCGTGTCAAAATGGCGGTCGGTGTTTTAGCGATGGCTTTTCGTATCTTTGCACATGCCCAAAAGGACTTACAGGACAACACTGCAAAGAAAGACTAGTTGTGGGTAAGTTGTAAGTTTGAGATTTCTGTCCAGAATTCAGACAAACATTCAGATCATTATGATTTTCCGCGGAAAAGATAACCATGTGTGGCCGTTCTTAAGCCTATATAGTTTGACAAATGTATTATCCCTTGGAAAACATGAGAAGTGGTTTTGCCCTAATTTTAATAATCTAGCTAAAACTAAACTTGTACTTCACTGTAACGGCCTCGATTTCGGGAAAAAACAATTGAAATCTTTAGATGTAGGCTTTATTCAGCTAGAGTTTTAGAAAGCCAGCACCACAGTCCGCCTGTCACGGCTATGCCACTGACGAGTCTATAAAGCCTTCTTCACAGTTGGGAGCTTAACACTTACCGATATGTAATGAGTAATACTTGTACAAAGATCATGGCGTGTTCCTTTTTTTTTTCTTTTTTTTTTTTTCTTTTTCTATCTTGTATCACCAAAGCCAGCAACCCGTGTCAGAGCTACCGATGCTCTGAGGACAGTGCTTGTTATCACAACGACACTGACTTTACCTGCGTATCACATGCACAAGAGGACAGCAACAGAAAGAATTGTTAGATTTTCTCCAGTACCAGGCGCGGATCTAGGATAAATACGGACCGATTTCCTAAACAAGGCGGAGTCCCGGGGCATGCTTTCCCAGGAAATACTATTGGATTTAACTCCCCAAAGTCCCCATACCTGGGCTTCTGAGTCATTTGGACAGCATATTGGCCAGTTCCATTCTCCTCGGATGAAGCCTTACAAATCGGCGGAATATTATTATTGTTTCTAATGCCTGGAAATTAGAGGGAGAAAAATAATCCAAACCATTTTCTGGAAAACTTTTTTTTTTATGAAATATCTGACCGATTTCCGTAAAACCGTGGAAACCGGTGCGGATCCGCGCCTGATTACAGTGATTTTCAATTTTCCTGGCGTTGACCAGCCATTATATATGCTGTGGAACGGGTATTGTTTACTGTCCTTGAATCCTTTGTATTGCGACATTTACTCAAGTCTTACACCTCGAGGGTGAACAAAACTTTCTAAAACACCAGAAGTATATTATATTTGCCCCGCAGGCCTCCGCTTCTCCCCTCCCCTAGATCCCCCACTGAAATGCATTACGGAAAATGATGACGTGTTAATAATAATAAAAAGTAAAAAGACAGCAAATGTTTAATGCTACACGTTTAATTTTAATGAGGAAAATGGATTCACGGGTGTTGTTCGTATGTTTCGTAGCTCAATCTACCTCAACCAGCGAAAAAACAGTCCCTGAAACTTACCTCATCGTGGGCCTGTCAGTTGCCGTTGCACTTGCGTTTGTCTTTGCTGCTGTGACTGGCTGTCTGATCTTTAAAATCCGTCGGCTGACGAACAATCAGTCAAACCACTCAAGGGCAGTTTTTAGTAACAGGGCGTATCGCGCTGACTCGGAAAGAAAACCTGATGACGAAGCGTCAATAAACGAAGTCGACCTAGGCGTGGTACCAAGTCCGGTTGGTCCGGGTCCTAAGTCTTTCATCTACGAGAACCCTTCTCGCCCTCTTCCATCAGTTCCTCAAACCAGCAACACAAAGGCAGGACCACCATCTTCCTCTGCGAAGCAAACAACCCGAAGTCATTATGACAATGGGACCAAATCAGGACAAGCTGAAAGGCATTATATGGGATTGACAACTAAAAACGGGAACAATAACAGGCCATTTTCCCCTGAGCCAAGCAACTACATGTCTTTGTCGCCAGAGAGACCAGAAGTTGGTTCGTATGTAGCGCTTGCAACTGCTCGCCCGCAGACGCCAAGACCAGTGAAACCGCGACAGGGAACCCACAAAAGAAAAAGTTAAGTAAGAGATAGTGACACTCACACGAACACACAGGGCTAATGTTAATACGTGAAACAAACAAACCAAACTATTTTTAATTCCACAACCTGAAGGAGGTTTACATAGAGGGTGCAACTGAAATGCTATTCAGTTTAGTATTTAGATGTAGGAAGTATATTTGCGATAATTATTCCTTTCACTCATAGTAAAAACATAACGTGTAGAATTCTAAACGCACGGTATCACAAAACATTGACCATTTTTACATCACCAATAATACACCTTGTCTACTCCCCAAAATTTTGCGTGAGAATTGTTTCAGGGGCACCCAACGAGGATATATTTCAAAACCACTTAACATAGCATTGTTGAACGTATTTTAGTATTCAAACGGTAGATATAGGCATATTTTTATCCCCTAAAAACTTTTCATCTGTTCGGATTTCCTAGCTGAAAGTCTAGTGATCCGAAAATTATAGGGATAAACACTTACCTTCTCGAAAATTTCAGCCAGGAAAAGGCTCCCGAAACTTCTAGGTGGCCTTTTTTAGGGTCAAAATCCGTTAAAAATGGGTAACTATACCATTTTGTAGATGTTCGAAAATCCTAGGAGAGGCAGGCAAGCAAGAAATTTTACAACAAATGCTCCGAAAATTCTAGATCTCAAATCGTCGTCCGAGCAGATATTTTCCCGAAAATTGCCGTTGGGTGCCCCTGTTGTCTCCAATTTCTCCTTGGTTTTGGCATTCGTTCCAAGAATGAAATTTTTAAGGCAATTTCCTAATTGCCCAAAACCTCTGTTTCAAAGTGCAAAGTGTGAAACCATTGATAAGAAACTGTTTTTTTCTTTATTCCCATGCAAATAGAATTTTTTTTCAAGAAAGGTTTAGCATCGTCTTTAAAGTGAGAGTTGCTCTGAACTCGGAAATGGCCTATTGAAGACGGCTTAATATGCACAATTTTGAAGGATAAACAAGTTGTACTGTGGGAGAAAGTAAAAATGGTTAGTGTGAAAAGTATAGACTTGAACTATTAACCATAATGTTATTAGGTACATTTTTAAACAGTCAGTTACATAGAATTTAAGTTCATGTTTGAATGTAGACCCCAGCCGGGTAAATTTCGAACGTGAATTGGTATTTTAATATCACAGGCGTATCAACTGGCCAAGTGGTAAATGTTAACTGTCATGTCATACTGAATTGTACTTTTCAAGATTTTCTATCCAAGGAAAATGCACGGCCGTACTGAACTAAGAGGCGATACGTTAAATTCAGTTTAACTTCACGCCTTTGAATTTTAGATTTAGTAATAAATAAATATAAATTTTTACACTTCTATAATCCCTTTATATGGATACCACTTAGCCATCCATCTTGGGATAGAGGCACAGTTGCCATTATTATCATTTTTGTGCTTTGTAAAAGCGGGTTTCATTTTTATTCAAGCAATTTCCATTTTTAATTTAGAAGTAAATTAAAATACGTTTTCAAATATGTGATTGATGTGTTCAATGCTTATTAGGGAGTTTAAGATACGGCGACTACGGACTACGGCTATGGATAAATATGCTACTGCGCATGATCAAAACCACGTGACTGTTCATTTTTCCCGCGTAGTCCAGACTACGGAGAACATTTTGCTCGTATTTTGCCGTCTCGGTAATTCAAGAATCTCGTCTTTTCTTAAAAAAGTTTTCAATTCACCTGCTTTAAGTGAGAGGGAAGCGAAATATGTAAGTTGTGTCTAATTTCTGCTCAGATTTACGCTTTTAATCCACTGTTGTGACTACATTTTTATCTTGCTAAGCTCATGTTTAAATAAGCTTAGCTGTTTACACGCAGAATTCAGATTGACGGCCTAGGAGAAGAGAAATCATGCAGGTAATTTACTTTCTCTTCGCACTTGAAAAATTTCAGTGTTTGTTCGAACTGATTAGTGAGTCTTTGTACTTGTGTAACCTTTATTTATGCGAGTTTTTGTATCGCCCCATTTGCTGAATGAAAATGATGTAAACATACTCGAGACAATCGAAACTCGGCATTTCAGTACTTCAAACTACATCAGATCAGTAGTCGGAGAAGTCCACCTTCTAAATCTAATAAATGAGCTATTACTATTTCTGTCTATATCTTTAATATTTGATATAAGTATTCATGGGCGAAAAAGTAAAACCTGTGTAACCAAAACTTTGTTTACCAATTTCACCCGACGTAATTGCTTCCTTCAAGTATGGAAGAATTTGTTCATTGTTCTAAAGATAAGATCACATGCAAAACTGACTTGCATTGTTGTGAACTGTGATGAAAACAAGAAAATATTTGCGTGTTGTTTCCCTCTCCGCCTCTTCTGTCGTAGTCTATGGTCTTTAGTGCAATCTTATCGTTCTATATTTGCAGGACTCAACCCAGTGCTACGAATAAAGGACAACGCTCGTCCAGCCGTAGTTCGTAGTCCGTAGTCTCCGTATCTTAAACTCCCTATTATCACTTGCTAAGAAACATACCCGTCCTTCGTCGTAGGCGAGTGACCCTTTATTTGCGCATTTTCTAACTGTAAAACCTACCAGACAAATTCTGATAAAAATCAGAACCTTAATGCTTCTTCGGGTATCGTGATAAGGCCTCCGCCATATGTAGAATTTATTGGCTCGTGATCCGCTCCCCACAGGATGGACTCAGTCTATTGCACAACTGTTTTCAAAGCGTTAATCTCATTATCATCATATACATCGTCATCAAAAATGTCGCAATTCCATGAGTGGTTTTGCGTTACTATGCTGACTGGGCAAGCACTCGCTTCTAAACAATTGATTTTCTTGAAGAAATACCTCATGAAAAATGCTAAAAATAAATTTTTACATCTTCTAAACTTTCACAATTTTCGGTGGGTCACTCACCATATCCCCTTTTCTGTGCGCTCGCACATTGCAAAAATTAATTGAAATTAATCATAAAGGTTAAATACACTACTTCCTTAATAGGGTCGCCAAGCTTCGCCAAACAGAGTAACAATCAAGCCCCTCGCTTTACCCTAGCAGCCGCAAATTTCGCTTTTGTTTCTGATGAATACGAATGAGATGAGAATCGACTAAAATATTTATCGTTTTACTTAACTATAGCCCCATACAAGAGAGTCCAAGACACTCTTGGATTCTGGATTCTACGGCATGGATTTCTAATTCCAGGTACTGGATACTGAATCTTTATCACAGGTACTTGGATAACAGTTTGCACTCTTTGCGCTGTTGGATTGCACTCTTTGGATTAGTTTCTTCAGCATTTAACTAGCTGATTCACACTCAATCATAAGTCTATACGATTGTACTCAACTTTATGTTCGCCTTTCTCGCTAGCTCTTCAATCTCTCTAAGGCCATCAAGAGATTCTTAAATTTTCCTTCGCAGGATGGAGGTACTACACTTAGCCTTTAAATCATTCTCCCTCATTTTGAAGCATTCTTTATTCCAGTCATTGAAGATGTCTTCCAATCGTCTAAAATTAATTTTTAAGTTGTCAAGAATATCATCTCTGATTCTTCTGAATCTTGCACTGGCGTACTGTAGTTCCCAATAAACAACTCTGACATCACTTCCTGCTGTTGATGAAGTTTGATGACCGAACTTTGAATCAAATGATGTGATATTATTGTTATTTGTTAGTTCATTTGCAGGGAGATAGGGGATGCCATCTATATTGTCACGATGCCTCATCTAAGAAAAATATCATTAAAAATTATCATTATCATTACTTTTTTCCTTATTAAAGGGTCTACGTTACTCAGTTTAGCTCATTACGTGTGGTCATTCGCTATGGAACCTCACCTTAGAAATTTCTGACAAAAACACAGCTTCGTGTAAGACAGATATAACTGATATTAATGTCTTAACGTTATTATATTAAACGTTACAACAAAAAAAGAAAAGATTTGAAAAACTGTCAGACTTTTTTAAAAAACACCATCGCAATCCGTTTTTCCATTCGCGCCTTCTTTGTATGTTTTTTCTGTGTTATTCATACCCTCTTTTGAATGCTTTGAGCGGTTATTGTTATGTTTCAGCCAATTTCCAGGCAATTCCAACTGGTTGAATTTGTCATAAATTTCCAAGCTTAGCTCCGTTAATTAGATTAAGATTATTCCGCTTCAAGCTAATATAATGGTAATAGGAATGAGTGGAGTCCAGTTCGGTCTGTAATCATACGAGTGATTAACAAAATCGGACGACCGCGTAGCGGGAGTTTGATATGTGTAACTCGAGTATAATTACAGACCGAATTGGACGACACGAAGTTCTGTTGCCAATTAATCATAACTATAACAAAATTTATGATATTTTGAGCTCCTCCAACAAAATTAAAACACGGGATATTCCGATTCAATACCAATTCAAGTGCCCGCCTACGATGGAGCTTACTGTACAATTACTTGGGCATGACGCCTACTGTTCTATTACACTGTTCTATTAGTATAGGTAACAGCATAATTTGTAGTGATATTTGGCATAAATACCACGGGTGATATTTCGAAATTGTTCTACTTAATTAATTTTAAGAATTTTGAAATATCAATCATGCTATTATTTGTTTATACTAATACCCGCAAAAGGTTTGTAATTTTCACCTGTAGGTATTTCAAATTAAGCTGAAATACCACTGCTCTAAGCCAATCAAATTACAAATTATTTTTTACCTCTTTAGCCTCTTCTATCCACAAAATATTTCAGTAACGCTGGTTAGGCTACGCGGGTCACACTCACCAAATATGGGACGAATAGAGGTTCATTGCGCTGGAACGTGAGGTTCAGTTCATGCATCAGGATGGGACATTAAAGACGCCACAGTCGCGTGTAGACAGCTGGTGTATCATTCAGCCTCGCTTTCATGTAAGCCTTCGAGGGAGGAGTCCATAAAAAGGGTGGGAGAGAAAGGGACTTTGGGCTCTTTTGTTTCCCTCCCCCTTCCCCTCAGTCTTCTGTCTCTCCCCTCCCTTTCCTGTTTCCCTTCCTCCTCTTCCCCCTTTTTGTGCCTGCCTCGTTGCCCAGTCCCTGTACGGCACGCTTTTCCATACCTTCTTAGTCAATGCATTTCGGAGGCCTAGGGACAAGTCAACCTGCCGGGTAGGCTACCCCTATATGTCGTCAGACCCAGTCCTGTCGCTGACTCTATATAATAGGCTGATTTAGCAGCAGTAGGGGAACGTCAGTTGACGACGGCGCGCGCAAATCAATAATTGGCTTGACCAATCGCTGAGCGACAAATTGGGCACCGGAAGTCGTGTTTAGTCCTTTCCGCGCGCTTTCCCGTCGTCAAATGACGTTCCCGTACTGTTGCTACATCAGCTTAATGTTTCTTATGAGACTGACCATTTAAAGTAGTAAAAAGCTCTAACGAGCAAAGGTTAAAATGTTTCAGTTTTACGCTAAACCTTTTGGACGTTTTATGGCTATAGGGGTTGGCTATCTTTTGGAATAAGCGAAAAACGTACGTCTGAAGGTAACATTGAGAGACACGGAAGAGGAGGCTGACAAAGTCTGTAGTAAGGTACAAAGAACTTTTGACAATGCAGTTGGAAAACTACCCGCGGTTCCTTACTTCAACACAAAAACAAATTTGAGCGCTTTGAACTACGCCCAAGACTTTGGAACCTTTTTTCTTTGGACTTTCAAAGTGGGCTACAGTCAGGAAAGTCGAATTGTCCTGTGTCTAACACTTTAATTTCGGCCAGCCTTTGTGAGCACTCTCAACTATACGGTCTGTCTTATCGCTGCAAACAGTGACAAAAGAAGATGAAGTTGTGATTAGGGACTGGTTAGATAACTTTCGACCTATTTGACAGCGAACTAACTCAAGATAAAGCGGTACCTTTACCACCAGCGTTATGGGACTATGTCATGCTATTTGCTATCTTTTTAAAAGAGCCAAAACGTTTTTTTTTTTGCATCCGTTGAATTCCAAAAATGATAGTCCAGTTTTGTTATTTCAGACCATAATTTGATATTGATATTGTTTCCCGTAGTCTGTTGCAATGGATTGCAAGGATTAAAAATGGATTGAAACTTAAGCTAACAACAAGATACATGACATACAGCAACCAGATGATTACGAGACCGGTTCAGATACGGAAAGTGACGAAGAAGATGACTTTGAAGTAGTTTTATAGCAGGCTATGTATGATCAGTACGTGACTGGTGCGTCTCGAAATATGAGGCCGGTGTCCTCTTTTTTTTTTTTTGTAGTACTGTAAACTTTCTAAAACATTTTTCTATTAACTTAGCGTCTCCAGTTAGCTTATGTATTTGCTAAACACAAAATACTTACATTATGTTATGTTCTATAATTTCAGTTACTTAGAAATTGTAATAGTCGGGTGGAGTTTATGTGAATGCAATTTACTCCTTGATTTTAGTAGGAACCTCCCCCAAAAGTGATTGACGTGCTCAAGTAAAGAAAATTCGGTTTATGAC